CTTCTTTTTGTCTGGCTGTGGTTGCAAACCCGAGGCCTGTAAGAAGATTGACCAACAACTTTCGAAGCGGTGGGAAGACATAAGCAGGGTTGACACTGGATAGTCGACCTATGATACAGATGGCAGCTTCTTTGACCTCGAAAACCTCATCATTGACCGCCAGGAACAGGCATCGAATGTTCTCTGGTCGTGCCAAGTGACGGTCAAACTTGCGGTCCAGAGACCACAACACGGTGCGTCGAATTTCTGGGTCAGGGTCTCCGATGCCCACGGTCAGCAGCTTGTCGATCACCTCACTCACAACCTGTATGGAATGTCCACTGGTTTGGTTGATGATCGGGTCGTGAACGAATAGTTGACAGCACGTCAAGGCTGAGGCCTTTCGAATCTCGGGGTTATCATTTTCCACGTAGTTAATGGCAACATCACGGACGAATTCATTCAAGATATGCCCGGAGAAGTCAAAGCTTCCTAATGTGTGAAGTGCCAAAGCGATATCGGAATCAGCATGAAGCTCGTGAGGTGCAAAGTCCTTTGCGAAAGATGGCATGGGAGGAAGTCGATTTTCAGGGCAACCGAGGGGCCTAAATGGGGTTCCGCAAAGAATGATGCTCAACATGTCAAGGAGCCTTTCTTGAATCATGGGTTTGATAGGTGGGATGTAATGAGCCATGTCAACGAGCGCCTGCGTTAAAGACTTGCTGAGTCCGCAGGCGAATATGGGATCCAGAAGAGCCTCCATGTATTTGCTTAGGGCTTGCCCCACTGCGAGGGACAGCATGCTGATACACTCAAACATCGGTGCCTCCTGAATGCCGGCTCGATTCCTAGCCTTCATTGCAAGACCTTCGCGGATGTAAATAATGATACCATCAAGGTATTGGCCGATGGCTGGGCCCACTGCATTGGCAATCTTTCCAATGGCAATAAAGGCGGAGTTCCGCTCTTTGTCTCTCTTCAGCTGTGCTTGGAGATAGATCATGAATCGGTGGAGATAGATCTCAATAAAATCGGTAGGAGCATATGATGCGAGAATGGGGATAGTGAGGACGACCTGGGTGCGGATCTTGGGGTCGCGGTGGTCCTTTAGGCGGAGTATGATTTCGCAAGCATTGCGGTAGTGCTCTTTCATGAACATTGTGCCCTTGAGAATCAATTCCTTGAGAATCAGAAGGGATCCATGAATCCAATCCACATTGTGGGACTTCAAGCCGAGAAGGGCCTCGTCGTGTATCCGCGCAAACCATGACTGTCGAACTTGGGTATCACGGGCCACAATGATCTCAAAGCATTCACCTACGGCTTCAGCAGCGGTCTCCCGAATGAGAACCTTGGGGTCTCGGAGAGCAACCCAGACGAGCTCAAATATTTGGGGGACGAAGCCGTATAGAAGTGTCGGCGAGCCCTTGGCAAGTTCCCGAATCACAAGCACCGCCGCAAAACGACGGCTTTCCTGGCGTTCTGACTGCAACCATTCTAGTGCAGATTGTATTTCACTTTCCACCAGCTCTGCGGTAAGAGCTCCGCCGGGTTTCGCGAGGCGGCCCAGCGATCGGGCCGCGCAAACCAAAACCACATTGTCGTTACTGCGGAGAGCGCTGCGGAGGTAGCTGGCAAATCTTGTCGTCTTCTGGGCTGCATCGACACCATCAAAGTCAATGAGTCGATCGAGGGCCAGCAGACCACCGATTCTCTCGTTTGCGTCACCGCCGGTTACCACGAGTTGGGCGATACGTTGGCTAACCGCGTTGTAAAATTCGACGAACTTCTCGGCAGGCCAATCTGTAGAAGTGAATGCATTAGTCAAGTCAGACAAATACCGAAGACTGAAATCGTGGTAGTACCTCTGGAGACAGAGAGAACATTGTCGTAGAGCTCATAGGCAGCTCTGGCTCTGGCCTCCTCATTCTTGGACTTGAGCTCCACGAACAGTCTTTGGGTGACGTCCGTCATTGCACCTGGTTGTGCCATATTTGTAAATCACACCCCAGGGTGGACATTGGAAATCAACCTCTAGGGGCAAAAGAAAGACGCGAAGCGCATAGAGTTGGTAGAGGGATGGTCATGTGTGAGGCCTGGAGAAGGTCGAGAGGCGCACGGGCCACGGCATTCCCGACGTGCGACCCTCAACTCTTCCGACGTCTAGACATGTCTACTCAGTAGTGGCATTTATTGTATTCTATTTCATGTCTTTCCATATGGATAGAACCTTGCTCCTGGAATATGAGTGTTAGTTCGTATCAACATAACAAGAAGACTCGTTGACACCGATCTTTGTCTTGACGCCTCATCCTTGCTTGCTATACCATCATGTGAACTATCTCTAGTAACACTAACATGGTCAGCCCATCTTAGAATATGCACAGTTCTTCTGGATTCTGACATTGAGCTAGAACAAAAAAATTAGACGACGCACAAGGGTCACAGAATTTAAGATGCATACAAGGTTCTATAAGATGACCGAGTCCAAAAGAAATAAAGAGTGCATGGGAAAGAGGCCGTCGACTTATCCTTACGTCTAGGTCTATGATCCACTTTAATACTGACCAGAGATGATCTACTAGATCTACTAACATTGCTTTGATGGCGGAGAGTTGTCTAGGATATTGACCTCCATCTAAGGGATATGGCATACGCCACGGCTCATTCTGTTTCAAGCGTTCTATTCAATTAAAGAGGACTTATTGCAAATCAGCCAAGACTACTATTACCAATAATGACTTTATCTTCCCCTTCAAGGGACTGTAGCTCAGCACCATCTCTACCGATGATGAATAGCGCAGAGTGGCTTCAGCCTGTGCAAGGGATACTAATGAGAGAATGCGGCTCTTCTTAAGGAATGACGCCCCATTTTTAGGTACGCAAAGATTTCTTAGTGAGCAGAGACGTTCGCCAGTAGTATACCTACAAATTCGGTGCCTAGCATGTTAAAGTCCGAAAGGGAGGCCTGGAGCTGGTTCTTGATATGGCACTTCGTTACTGTGTAAAAGTCAGGATGAATCTCATCGTATCAAAATAACTTTTGTCCTACGAACGTACTTGAAAATCATATATGCACCAGCAGAATCATTCAACACACACTCGCTAGATATTAGTTCAACGGATGTGCAAGGGTTATTGAAAGATTTTGATATGTCGAGCTTTCTAGTCAACGTGGAACCTTTGAATGGTTTCACTGTTTGTCCGAAGGAGACATCACTCAGTCTGCTTGTTTATCTAGTCTGCGATGTGTTCAGCTGCAATTGAATGTTTAAGCGGTGAAGACTAAAGTAATCAAGCATGGGCCTCGGGTCCTATCAAGGGCCACAATTAGGTACACGTACGCTGGTTGGAAGCTCTGGCCAATGGGCGGATATACTCGGATACAGGTTATATGGATGCTTCCATTTGACCCTATCCAGTATTTGTAATCTCTCCAACCCCTCAACCTTATCGGTGGAGCGATGACGGGATGGAGGGGCCGGGATCCATAAAAGCCAAGGTCCTCCCTATACTTCCTGTCTTCCCCACGTTCACTAAGACACTAAACACGATGGTTAAAGTACTCTTGACTGGTATGCTGTGTCACCAAATAGTATTGAATTGGTCTAACTTTCTACTTTAGGAGGCAGTGGCTTCATTGCCGCCCACATTGTCGACATTCTACTACAGCATGGGTATGCCCAAGATCCCCCCGCCTTTGAGGACTGGCTCTTAATCACTACGTTTTAGCTTTGACACTGTAGTGACTGTTCGGTCGGAGGAGAAGGGCAAGCAAATCCTCAAAGCTCATCCCGACGCATCAACGGAGAAGCTTTCTTATGTGATTGTTCAAGATGTGGCCAAGGATGGTGCATTTGACGAGGTCAGTATAGAGTTCGACATCTGGAATATTCGAGACTAATTGAAACGCAACAGGCTGTCAAATCTAGCCCTCCATTCGATTATGTTCTGCACACCGCATCTCCATTCCACTTCAATGTCCAGGATCCCGTTAAAGACTTCCTTGACCCTGCTATTAAAGGAACTACGGGTATTTTGAAGGCCATCAAAGCCCACGCACCTAGTGTGAAGAGAGTGGTCATCACATCTTCTTTCGCTGCCATTGTGAACCCCGATAAACACCCCAAGGTATATAGCGAGAAGGAATGGAACCCAGTGACCTGGGAAGAAGGATTGGACCACTCGAAGGTCTATAGGGCTAGCAAGGTAAGTCATCCTCGGGACTCGATGAAGGTAATGCAAGAGCTAATCGGGTCCGTATATCAGACATTCGCAGAGAAAGCAGCCTGGGACTTTGTTGAGCAGGAGAAGCCAAATTTTGATATTGCAACTATCAACCCACCACTTGTGTTTGGTCCCGTCGTTCATTACCTGAACTCTCTAGAGGCCATCAACACCTCGAACCAGCGTATGAGAAACCTCATTCGGGGCGACATGAAGGAGAAATTAGCTCCATCAGGCACCTTCCTCTGGGTGGATGTTCGGGATGTTGCCCTTGCACATGTTAGAGCCATCGAAGTTCCAGAAGCTGGAGGCGAGAGATTCTTTGTCACTGCTGGCTTCTTCTCGAACAAGGATATTGCGGATGTTGTTCGCGAGACCCACCCCGAGCTGGAGTCTAAGCTGCCCCCGAAGGACTCTCCCAGCGACCTCCCGAAGGATATCTATGAGTATGACAACAGTAAATCCCAGAACGTTCTGGGAATCAAGTATGTTCCGCTGAAGAAGACAGTCGTGGACACTGTCGATTCTCTTCTGGCTGTTGGTGCTTAGTATTTTCCTGGACGGGTCAAAATTTAGAACGGAATGAAAATAAGATATTTGAACATTTCATATATTCAATAAGATTGAAGTGTACTATCATAAATACTCGGAAATTGAGGAGCCAAAGTGCCAAAATCACATAGATACAAAGTTGCGGTTCAGGTCGTTACGTCGTACCCTACCGGTTTGGCCCGTGTTCTCCGGCCAACTTTTCTCGCGTTAACTCTTCAAGACCAAATAGCCCATTGAACAAGATGGCCTCCGCCAGGCTATCGCCAACGGCGAACCTTTTGCGCAAGTCCCGTTTATTCGCTCTTCCGAAATCCCTTAAAAGCTCTAGCGAGCCCTCAACATCTCGAGCGGTGTTCGAATCCGATACAGCAACTCTGCCTCACCCTATTCGGGCAGCCATTGTCACGCCGCAATCATCGCTAGCCCGAGGCGATTGGGGTCTGAAGAGACCTTTACCATCTAAGGCGACATCGGAGAAGTCATCGAGACCTGTCGTCAGGGTTAACGCCCTCGATACCTACGAACATGTCACCGACTTCGAATCCGCAGCGGACCACACCATGACCCTCGAGAAGTTTCAAGAGCTACACATGCCCATGTCTCTTCCCTCTAGAGTCAATTATGCCACAAGCGTTCTCCCGAGGCACCAGAGCCCATTTGAAGCACACCTTGATAACACTCAGGAAAGCCGGAACAACCAGGGTATCCAGGACCCTAGCGCCAAACAATTCAGACACACCGGCCCTTGGCTCGCTGGACAGACAGAGGCGGAATTTGCAGACTACATTAAGCAAGTTGGCCGAAAGAAACCTGAGCTCATGCAGAAGCTGCGTGAGCAGTTGATCGCGAAGCGGTCTGCAGAGATCCGCAAAGAGGCCCAGGATAATGGAGAGGATTTGATTGATCAAGCTGTCACCATTACCGATGCAGAGTTCAACACCTATATCAAGACCTTGCGCAGTGACCCTAGCGCCCTTGGTCCTGCTGTCTTCGATCTGCTCGATCTGCCCTCCGGCCCTGCCATTCCCAGCGAGCGCATCGGACGCAACCACTTCGCAGCTCCCCCAACCAGCTTGTCCTCGGCTGAATACGCTATCTCAGGACCCCCGAAGACACACCCATCTGCCGGTCTTTCGTACACACGCTCGCACGCCTTAATTCAGAACCACGCCCGATATGGCCCGCAGGCTCATCAGCGCCCTGTCGAGGCCCGCATCTTGCGCCCTAAGGGCCGTTTCAAGGGCCGCATGAACCGGGCTATTGCCGGTGTCGGTGGTATCGCCACTGAGGATTTGAATGCCATGGCCTTTGTTGAGCAAGGCACTCCTCCAGGCCTCACCTACTTCGATGCTTCCATTCCCGGTGGAGGTAAATACTGGGTCACCCCCATCCGTGCTGCCATTGATGCCCAGGGCCGCATTGGCCTTTCATCTTACCGCGCCAGTGCAACTTCCAAGGCTCCCTACGGACTTGAAGACCATTCCAAGCCTAACAGCTTGAGCGTCTCAAATGTCGCCAACAGCGACGACCAGACAGTTCCCCGACTTGACAGACTCCCGCACCAGCAGCCTCGGTTCCAGTCTAGGGAAAAGCCTGGCCCGAGACGCCCCATGCGGGGAACAGAGGATGTCGCTCGCAGTCTCCTCGACAACCTTAACTCTAGATCATAAGAGAGGTTCAACGAGAGTGGGAAGGATGTATGATAGAATTAGTGCTTGTAAAGCTACTCTCATTTTCTTTTGGACTGTGTCATAGTCATTTAAATTAGGTACATCAATGTATTTTTTCTGAGCGATTGTTGTCTAGGAGTATAACTGACAGGCTGAACACAGTTGACGTAGTCCCTTCCTAAAGGGGTAAGATTGGATCGATGACATAATCTGAATGTCCGACGCGTGATTAGGGCTCAGGGCAAGGACCCGCACAGGACTAAGCGAAAGCCGCTCATCAACTCAACCCAAATTGGCCATACACTTCGAATCTCCGAACATCCATCCCGCCAGCCAACAACCGCCAAAATGGGTCGCGTCCGTACCAAGGTGAGCAAACCAAGACAACAGCAGCGAAATAATCACCGATCTAACTTCTCTCCTCGAACAGACAGTCAAGCGCTCCGCTAAGGTCATCATCGAGCGTTACTACCCCAAGTTGACCCTCGACTTCGAGACCAACAAGCGCATTTGCGATGAGATCGCCATCATTGCTTCCAAGCGTCTTCGCAACAAGGTGAGATCTCATAATTACAACACTAGTTGCGACCAAAAATACTGATTCAAAATTCCTCAGATTGCTGGTTACACCACCCACCTAATGAAGCGTATCCAGCGTGGTCCCGTCCGCGGTATCTCCTTCAAGCTCCAGGAGGAGGAGCGTGAGCGCAAGGACCAGTACGTCCCCGAGGTCTCCGCTCTCGACGTCTCCCAGACCGAGTCCGGCCAGCTCGATGTCGATGCCGACACCAAGGACCTCCTCAAGTCCCTCGGCTTCGACAACCTCAAGGTCAACGTCGTCTCCGTCAGTCAGCAACAGCAGGCTGAGCGTCCCCGTCGCTTCGGTCCCCGCTAAATCTAGCGACCCGGAATACGGAACAAAAATTTCATGTCTGGTCTTCGGTCGACTCCCGGCGTTTCCCCGACGATGCTTGTTCTGGCTGGCTTTCGCCCATGCTAGCTTTGGTTTAGCTTAGAGTGGAGGTTATTCCTGGATGAGGAATGAATAAACATGATTCTCTTTGAGAAAGGTGTCGCTGATTCTCCGCAAGGGGATGATGCTTGATTGCCAAGTTTCCTCGTGTTTGTCTGGTTGGGGTTACTCTCCAGGTTGAACTACGTAGGGGTTTCTCATTCCAGGTCTTGTATCTTGGTTTGAGTAGCTCAAGACTTTTGGTCTGAACTCTGCATTGCTTTTGACAAGAGTCTTGCAGGCCAGTTCTGTATTGCATGGTCTCTGTAGAATGTTCATTTCTCGTAGTCGACATAAGAAAGGTAGGTTGGGTATATACGGTAAAGCGACGAAAATAAAATCCCCAAAATGCCATGGCAAATTCTTTGCCATTCAAATCTGATCGAGCACATCAATGTCTCCATCTTGGTCTTGGATATGTCGCTCTTGCTGCTCTCTGGGCACATAACCCTCAATGGAGCCACCCATGACATCCTCGGGACGCATCTGCGGAGCATCAACAGCTCGCTGAGATGCCCGCTCGTTCTCCCTGATATCGATGTTCACACGTCCATTCCGGACAATAGCACTCGTATCACCTCGCTCAATCGCAAGCTCACGAGCCCTATCTCCAAGCTTCAGATTCTGCAAACCATCCGCAACAGAAGAAACAGTGCCAGTAGCCGCAGGAGCCTTCTGCCGTCTAGCGCGTGCCTCCTCAAGGAAAAGAATCATCCCACCCCGCGTATCACCAGCCCGCCGCTCCCACACAGGCACTTCAGAAAGCTGCACACGGAGCCAAAGAGCGCGCTCAGCACACGCATCCGAACACCATTTCTCAACCTTGTCCTGCGGAACAATATCCACGGCGCGTCCGCGCCCCCCTGGCCCGCTCCCCTTCGCACCATACGTAAATCGAAACCCGCCGCCCCGGCCTCTGTTTTCTTTCCGGTGCTGTTTCGGACATAGACTATAACCGCACAGGTCACCGTAGTTGCGCTCCAAGATTAGGTTGTCGTAGTCGCTTGGGCGGAAGGGGGCTAGTGAGATTTTCAATTTCCGTGCGTCTTCTTCGGACGGTGCGGCGGGGTCGGCGTTTGGGTTTGAGGGTAAATCGAGGAGGTCAAGAATGTTGTTTAGGATGACATCTTCGGCATCCTTTTGGGTTTGGATTTGCTGTGCATGCTGTAAGGCGATCTCTAGGTGCTGTTGTGTAGCCCCAGGTCTGCCTTGGAGGTATTTGTCTTGCTCTTCTTGTGAGGGGTGCAGGTATGACGGCGAGGGCCGTTGGGCGTTGATGGCTGCGAAGGTCTCAGGGAGAGACGTTTTTAATTGTTGTGCCATGGTGGAATATATGAGGAGGGGAAGAAATTTTGGAGAAGCGGAAGAGGCAAACCCCGGATTGCTGACGTAGCTTGGGCAGAAGCAATAAAGTCAGGTGTTCACAGCCTGTTGTCACAGGTAAGTCAGTACTGCCAGCAGATTGCCAGCATATCCTTACGGTATGCTGTAGAATTGTCGCCTTACCCCCGGGTCTGGCTTATACGTGGTTTTCTATACTTGAACCCGTGAACAGAAATACTCCTATTACTTGTTCTCCTCCATAAAACCGACATATCCCTGCCCTCATCGTCTACTATAATCTACTTCTGAAGCTTGGTATCCTACATCTTTCCCCATGTGCGTGTTCCTTGGTTGCTGTTAGCCGCCGATCGTCAGTGGAGCCCATTTCCCTCATCCCGCCAAGTGACGGCCACACCTACCTCATCTCTTTCTCCCTCTTCATCTGCTTCCTCGTCTTTCCGGTAATTCCTTTTTATCTTGCATCCTTCCTAACTGGCCCTGACGAGGGTGTTCGGTTCTCCCGTGAGTGCTTCCGCAGTTTTCCCCCCCTCCCTTCCCCTCATCTCCTGGCAGGCACCACTCATTGACGTCTGTTTCATCTTAGCTGACGCACCTTCGTACCACCAAGGAATTGATTAATTTCCCCATATACCACTGCATGCTAGAGGTATCGAAGCTAGCGATTTGTCCTGTACAGATATCCTAGCGTCATTGCCGTTTCACACGCTAGCATTCCTCTCTCCCCACACCGTTCTCAAGTCTGAACCTCGGTTTCGACTTGCCAGATGTCCAGCCCGCCCTTTACTGTTCGGGCGGTCTTCGAGTATGCTTCGGGCCATGATGACGACCTCCCATTTCCGATCGGTCAGATCGTGACCGTCACCGCTCAGGAGGACGACGATTGGTACTATGGTGAATACTCAGACGCCTCGGGCGCTAAACAGGAGGGCATTTTCCCGAAAAACTTCGTCGAAAAGTATGAACCTCCGGCTCCTCCGCGCCCATCCCGCCCCAGGCCGAAGAAGGAGCCCGAGCCTGCGCCAGTCCAGTCACCTGTGATCGAAAGCAAGCAGCCCGAACCCGAGCCCGAGGCAGAGGCACAACCCGCAGAAGATGAGGAGGACATTGCACCCCCACATCCGCCTGCGCCCCAATCGCCTCCCCTGTCTGCAAATACCTCCGTCGCAGAAGTTGCATCGTCGCCCCCGCAGCCGGCAAAGGCGCCCGCTCCCGCTCCTCCGGTAGCCCCGGTTGAACCCCCCGCCAAGGCAACATCCACCAAACCTGCTCCTCCAGCTGTCGCGGAGAAGCCTTCGGGGTCGTCGTTCAGAGATCGCATCGCTGCCTTTAACAAGCCTGCCGCCGCACCAATTACGCCATTCAAGCCTGGTGGTTCTCAGCCATCTTTCATCAAGAAGCCTTTCGTCGCGCCACCTCCCAGCCGCGATGCCTATAAGCCTCCACCCAGGGAACCTGCGCCTCAGGTCTATAAGAGAGAGGAGAATCCGGATGTCAAGGAGCAGGTTGCACGCGAGCCTCCGCTCTCCGAGACCCGCCCTCCTGTTGTCCCCACGGAAGGTGGTGAAGAAGGTGCAGAGGACCAGCCTAAACCGACCAGTTTGAAAGATCGAATCGCCTTACTTCAGAAGCAACAACTAGAGCAAGCTCAGCGTCATGCTGACGCAGCTCAAAAGAAGGAGAAGCCCGCTCGTCCTCCCAAGAAGTCCTCAGAGGAACCGGTAGCCCCCACAGTTCCTGTGGCTCCTGCAGTCTTCGAAGATGAGCCAGGATCTCCTCTTGTTGAAGGAGCTCCGGCTGCCCGGGATCCCAGTGTTGATACCGTGAGAGCCCAGGCTCCCACCGCACCACCCCCTGTTCCTGTTCCCTTCTCGCCAACCGAGGAAATTGCTAGTGACACCAATGACGCCGATGCCTCCGCTGCTGCCGACTCTGAGGATGCCGGAGAGATCTCTACGGGCAAGGATGATGATGAGGAGCAGCCTCGTCCAGTTTCCAAGCGTCAACCATCGACCCGAGCAGTCGAGCAGACTCCTACCGAGGAGGCCGACGTGGAAGAAGAAGGGGAGGCAGAGGAAGAGGAAGAAGAGGAAATGGACCCTGAGACCAAACGCAGAATGGAACTGCGCGCACGAATGGCCAAGATGAGTGGTGGTATGGGTATGATGGGTCTCTTTGGACCACCTGGTGGCGGTATGCCGATGCCAGGAATGGCTGCCCCTAGTGCTGGTGCTCGCAAGCCTAAGACCCCTGGCGAGTCTGATAAGAGAATTGGCGAGACTGAGCCTGAACCCACCTCGCCCGCTGCTGCACCTCCGGTTCCTATGGTTCCCCTTCCTGGAATGAACCTGAACACCAAGCCCGTCCCCCCTCCTACTGATGTTGAGAAGGAGGAAGAAGAGAGACTGGCTACCCCCATCACTGAACAACATTCTGCCCGCGAGGTGCCAGACGTTGAAGAGGTCGTCCACGAAGGCGCAGTCCCTCGTGGTTCTGTTGACAGACCTCGTGGTTCTATTGACCGGCCTCCCCCGGCTCCTCCATCTCAAGGTAGGATACACCAGCAACATAATAATTGATTCCATTTGCTAACGACCGTAGAACGCTCCGCTCCTCCTCCGCCTCCCCGGGAATCAAGACCTGTTCCACCTGTACCAGCTGAACAACCCGGTCCTCCTCCGGCCGTTCCTGGAGGTATGGTTCCTATTCCTATGCTGCAACTGAGTACTGACCATGATCAACAGCCCGGCCTGTCCCTGTTCCTCCCAGACCCTCTACCGCTGATCAGGGCGAAGAGTCTGATGATGAACTGTCTACTCATGCAAGCAACCTATCACTGAATACTACAGTCCAGCCCGGTGCACCAGTAGTGCCTGCTCCTGCGGTCCCTGATCAGTTCGATTCTCGTCGTTCTTCGACCTATGACTCTGCTTCCTCTCCAGCCATGACCCCAGCCGCTGAAAAGAGAGCCAGTCGTCCACCACCTCCTATCCCTACTAATCCACCCATTCCACCATCGCAGGGACGCGCCCCGCCTCCACCTCCTCCCGGTCAAGTGCGTCGCCGATCTACTGCAGACAGTCGCACCAGTGCGATGTCTGGCCCCCGACAGGCCGGGGAAGAGGCGGAGGGAGAGGTGACCGAATACGATGGGGACTATGACACTGATATTGCCTCGGGAGTCAAGCACAAGGATGCCCTGAAATCTCACGAGCGTGACTCCAGCTTTGACGAGGGTACTATTACCGATGATGTCTCTATTCATTCCCCACGCAGCCCCCAGGAAGTTCGGCAACCCCCGCCTCTTCCTCCAACGGCTCCTAGAGGCGTCCCTCCTCCACCCCCAAACCAGCCGCCCCGTAATGCTCGTGCGTCTATTGACACACCCAGAGGACCCCCTCCTCCCCCACCAAACAGAGAGCCGGCTGGTGGTGATGACGATGAATACGACCCTTTCAACTACGCCGCTCCTCAGCACGGCCTGCCCAGATCTCCCGGCATTCAGCAAGGACGCCCTGAGGCGCCACCTCCCCCGCCGCCGCAGCAAGCGAATGATGACTATGATGATCTGTATGACGCCCCTCCAGATGTGCAGAGCCCAACACATGAAAGTCCCACTTCTTCACACCAGAAGCGGCCCTCTTTGGTACCTCCGCTTCCCCAAGGCGGGGCTCCAGGCATGCCCTCTCCCTCTGCAGCCCGAAGCCAGCGCGCATCAATGGATCTGTTGAGAAACCAGCCTAACCTTCGTCGTTCCATGGATGTTTCTCGCCCATCGGTTGACCTTGGCTACATTGCTGCCGATGTTGACCTCTCTGAGAGTACACTCTGGTGGGCCCAGCCCAATACTCCGCCTCCAATTTTCCAAAACCGCAAGGATCTACTTTTCGAGATTGAGGAGTCTGCGTCTACGAAGCGCGGCGGAAAGACATCGGTCTCTAAGGATGTTTATATTCTATTCATCGATTACTCTCAGACGATCGTGACAGTCCAATTCGATGCCAAGAACCCTGCGGATGCTTCCCTTGAACAACGTCACGAGTCCCCACCTCTCCAGCCCCGTCAGGATCAGCTAGAGCAGGCTCATATCCAACTTGGAACCAAGATTTCCGAGGCCGTTAACTCGATTCAAAACTCCACCGTTGGAGATGGCACTCCATTCGGACTGGTGCAGTACTTGCTCAACCCTCTATCCAACGCTCTTCTCCCCGTCGGTACTCGAGGATACGGTGCGTCGGTCTACTCAAACCTGGCCAATGCTTCCGTGTCCCAGAATGATGAAATCCGCGCTGGTGACATCGTCAGCTTCCGCAATGCCCGCTTCCAAGGCCACCGCGGCACAATGCACCAGAAGTACAGCGCCGAGGTTGGCAAGCCCGACCATGTAGGTATCGTGGTTGACTGGGACGGCACAAAGAAGAAAATCCGAGCCTGGGAGCAAGGCCGCGAGAGCAAGAAGGTCAAGATGGAAAGCTTCAAGTTGAATGATCTCCGCAGTGGCGAGTGCAAGGTCTGGCGTGTGATGCCCCGTAGCTGGGTAGGCTGGGAAGCCGGCAAATAAGCAACTGAGTTGGACTAGGATTAGATTCTGGGGCCTATTGTTCTTGGAGTCTCAATCCTCTTAGCAGATATTGCGCTATGAGCAGATGACCTTTTCTTTTGTGTCCCTTTTCCTTTTCTCTCTTCTTTTTTTCCCCGTTTATCTTCTAGATTGGGTGGGATCATGTATGAATGAAAAGGTGCTTCCTTTGTCTCTCTGTCCTCTCTATCTTTTTCTCCCGTTCTCTCTCCTGTGTCTTCTGTTCTCCTCTCGTTGGTCATCTGGACTCCTGTGGTAATGTGAAATCGGGGGTGGTTTCCTGTTTGATGGAGAGTTCAGCGAGCGTGCAGCTTTTTTCTCTTTCAATGTCAATGGTAACTTACATTTTGCATCTGTCTTTGGTCTTCCATATTGTCTAGCTACTGACCAGTTGGGATGCTTTTAATTGGTGTCAATTAGGAATTGTAGGTATAATTCGGTCTCTAAGCTATATATATATATATTTTTTTTTTTTTCATATTCAAGGTGCCACATAGAACTGACCAAGCTGATATACATACACGAGTTGGTGTGTACATGACGTCGTGACACATATCCAAGCAATATATATTAACAGAAGAGAAAGACAATACATGTGTAGAGCATGTTTAACCTAGAATCCCAACAAAGCCCAGCCCATGGTCTAGAACCAGTAAGAAATAAATTAACAAGCAACCAAAAATCGTAGCGAAGCACTAAAAAACCAAACCAAAGAAACCTTCTCTGATTAACGGAGCCAAAAACCCCAAGCGACCCCACCAACGCCCCAGGACCGTTGAAGCAGTTAGCGGCAGTAGTAGCCAGTTTGACCACAGCCACAACCAAAGGAAAGACAGAAAAGGGAATCCACACTTAGGCCACACTTAGGCAATTTGGCACGAACTCTATACCCTCTCCTCTCTGGTACCCGAGAAAAAAAAACCCCCCAAACCCAGACCTGGCAAATTTCATACCCTGAAACGCCGGCTTCAAGCACCCCCCACCTCCTTGGAGACTGGGGCCCCCCGGCGCCCCCCCCCCCCTTCTCAAAACGGGGCATAACGGGGGAAGAGAGAGGGGGACCCGCCAATTACGACTGGATTGGGGGCGGTACCTTTTCACGAAGGAAATTTTACTGTGTGCCGTGTTCGTGCGATCGAGTGATAATCGACAATCGCTGGTTCGAGAGTTCGAGACCCGGCGCGCTCGTCCGGATATTCGCGATCGGGTCGGCTGCTGGTTTCCGTGCTGATCGCGGTGAATGTCATGTCGATTGTGGTGACTATTATGCGGTGTTGTATAGATCCATGCACGGTACATGTACATGCACCCGTACAATGGACACTTACTGTACAAGGGACAATGGATAGTCAGCTAGGGAGTCCAGTCCTATTCGGCACTATATTTGGGACTTGGACGTGAAAGTGATAGATCCAGCGTCGGAGATTAAACTGGTTTTTGTGCCCACGAGGAATATACGGACTGTGTTCTTTGTTTCGACCTGGTTTTCTATATGTATATGTCTACACACAGACATTATATACTATATTCCAAGCCTACGTAGTACTATATCGTAGATTAATGACATCAATCTCGATCTACCATATTCTTGTTTATGTCTGCAGTGGACCGGGGAATACGGTGACCATCCCCATTAGGACTAGTCAGGGGCACTATACCTTATACTTCCAATAGTCTCTCTTTACTCCCTTCCCTTCTTTTCCCTTTCATTAGGAAGCTTTACAACGGCTGTCAGCGCTCACCGGCTATTAGACGCTAACTTCCGTTCTAGGCTTTCTCGCTTTCGGTCCCAGTGATCTCATGGGTTCCACGCCATGTCTTTCTTTCCTTGTTTCCTTATGATGCAACACACACACACACACACACACAATCTAAATTCTCTACTCCGTAAACTCTGTATTATTAATGCCGGCCTGGAGCCCTGAACGCTTTGGAAGATGCCGGGCCCCATCCCAGCCCATGGTTCCGATTTTGATTTCTCGGGGGCGGATCCACGTCCAGCAAAAATCTGCACCGTCGTATAATGTAGAGCTGAATGTGGGCTACACGGAATACCGCCCCCATCGGTCCTGCACAATGCAGGAGGCCCTGCAGTGCGGAAAATAAAATAGAATGCATTGTAATCTACTCTGTACAGGCCTGCGGCCTACAAGGAAATTTACAACTCATTCTTGGCCGACTCTTGCAGCACTGGTCTTATATTGTGGCTGAGTCCTGCACGCCATGTCCATTTCGCTAATCTCAGCCATGTCAGCCATATTTAATATGGTGGTCTCGTGTACCTGCAGATGCAGTACATGTACCGAGCAGGCGATATTGCAGATGAGGTGAATCTTGCCTATCTGCTTTTTGCCTTTTATGCTGCGCAATTGGTTTACGGTATTACCTGTTTATATTTACTGTACAGGGTTATTTCCTTGCCGGCCGACTTGCAATGCAAGGAGTTGGGTGGTTTAGTTGATCTCATTTGATATCAGAGTCTGATGTGAGTATCCAGTATCCAGTATCTATTGGAGTATATTGTGATCCATAAGACAGTAATTGCCCTCTTGGATCACCTTCTCCATTTGATTTCAGCTCCGATCTGGTATGAAGTAATCGAGCGACGATCTTGTTTCCCGTGTCCAGGCCCTCGGATCTTAGCGGGAAATGTTTTTGACTCGGACCCAGGTTATTGGAGAGTTTTGAAGACACACATGCTCAGTGTCGCATGGTGAGTGGCGTTCAGCCTCGAGCTCCGAAAGAGATACATATACTTCTATAAAAGAGGATGAAGCAAGGGGATGTATTGTGTAACGGTAATTTAGGGCAGAATTGGTGCGTGGGGGGGGAACGGAACACTACTGGATGACCATACCATACACAAGTTCCATGGATGTCGCTCGGGTAGCCCCTTGAACTTCATCAGGTTTCAGAGAGTACGAAGTATGTGTAAACAAACAAGTGTCTATATTTTCTGGTCTTTGGAATTGTACCATTGAAACATCTCATCTTTGTGATCGTGTGAACGGTGGGCTCGACGATCCCGAAGTTCATTTTAATTTTTTTAATTTTACTTTGACGCTAAGAGGACCTGGATCCATTCCAAATCGTGACATTCTTCGCGTTCCCTATGTGATTTGTCTACTCCAGATATCTCAGGGCTTCCTTTCTGCCATTTACTCTCTGACTTAGGTCATGCCGCTCTCTTCCTCTGGATAACATCCAGTGAGTCAACTCCTTCTAATTGAAGGGGCATCTGCTGATTCGGCATTCAAAGTACACTCAACACACTCGTTCAACCCCTCGCGATATTGTACATTCCTTACCCGCCGACTACGGCCTGCCTCCTGAGCTCACATTACGGATGATGAACCGCTTCCGCAAGAATAAGAAGGTGAAGAATACCTTGGGGGATCTCGAGGGGGAGTCACCAGCATTCATCCTCAAGGGATCCAAGAAGAGAGATGTCCAGCAACCCAAACCCGAACCTGATTTCGACCTCTCAGCCGCCCTCCCCTCCACAGATGACTTCCGCACCAGTCTGCTCATGCCGAAGCTGTCGGCTCGGTTTAGCATGCTGAAGGAACAGGATGACCCGCTCTCATTACTCGGCAAGGCGAGTGACGACAGCGTGTTATTCCCCAAACGCGCCTCACGATTGAATTTGTTTGGCCACAACCCTAATATGCTCGCGGATATCGATGAATGCTCCTCCAATGATGGGAGTCGGCCCTCCATGGCTCTCGGCCGCACCGATTCATTCGCTTCTGGGGGAGATGGATATGGCACAGATGACGACCGATCACAAGCTGGGAGTATGATGAGCAGAGGACGTCGCGCAGAAGGCAATAATTTGTTTGGCGGTCGCCAGAAGGTGTATAAGATCCCGGTTCGAGGCCCAGGGGGACCCAACGGCGCACCAGAGAGTGCTAGTCGGGGGATGGGCAAGCCGGTGTATGAACACGACATGAACCTCTCGGCTTTCCAGCGATTACGTCTTAAGGAAAAGGAAGAGAAGGCTGTGGAGGAGGCGCGCGAGGCTGCTGCTCGGGAATCAGAATACGCTCCTTCGACAGTCTCATCCAACGACCGGACGACATACTCATCTATTGCCTCCGGACCCCTATCAAACGTCCAGTCATTGACTCCAGCGACATCGGTCGATGAGTCGCCTTTAAGCGCATCATCCCTGCCCCCAGCGGGTGGATATCCATTCCCTGAAACCGTTGCCGAGCCCAATCGGTCCAATTCCGCCATGTCTAACCCGAAAACTGGCTCGATTCGAACCCGTCGTCTCTATGGCCAAGGATTGACCCAGGCAGCCCAGAGCCAGCAGACCTCAACTCTGCACCGCCTAGAAAGCCTGAGCCGTCAGCGTGCAGGAACGCCTGACCTTCCTTCTTTGAATCGCAACTACTCCCGGAGTGCAACCAACCTGCGTGATCGCCTGCAGAAGCTTGCCATCAACGAGCCCGCCTCCGCCTCTCCTACCAGCCCACCTTCGTCTGCGACATCGCCCAAGCCCCGCATTTCCGGAGAGTCTGCTCTGAAAGAGCGCATCTCACCTATAGCAGCAACTTTTGGAGCTGCCCCTCTGAGTCCTCCCTCCAGCGAGGCCGAGGATGTTGCCGCCCTCCTGGCTGCTTCAATTCACCCCGAAGACCACGGCAAGGCCACCGCCATGGGTCTCTTCAACCGCCCTGCCACAGGCTTCGACGAGCAAGCATTCTCCCGTCGGCAGCTTCAGATGCACCAAGGACGAGATACCCCCCCGCCGCGACGATCATCACCCCCGCGCCGGCCTCCGCCCGCAGAGCCTGCTAGCCAGCGCCCACGAGGATTGTCCAAATCCAGCTACCGCTCCAGAGCCGAGTCCGCCTCCTCTCACTACAGCAGCGAGGCGCACCGTGGCGTTGATCACTCCCGCGCTTCCAGCATCGAAGCTTCCCCTTACCGAGGTGGAGGGAAGACTTTCTATGCTAATTCCACTGCCAGCGAGTCGGGAGATGAAGGCGATGATCGCCGCTCGCACGACCTCTCGTCGGCTACATCTTTGGCCACAGAATATGGCCAGTCGATCCAGCGTTCGAGCGTAGTATCTAACGCCCCATCAACCCAGACCAAGGATCACCTCGAAACTCTTCCGGAAGTGAGATACTCAGATCTAGGTGACCTCAAGCCCATCGAGGAGAATGATTCTTTCGATGCCGCTTCCTCGCACGAGTGTGTCCCGCCTAGACCTGATTCCCCCACGATCCAGGCAGATCCTGGTCTCGGTGGAATGGGTGGAATGGTTCGCTCTCACCTTCGTCAGCAAAGTGACCGATCCTCCATCTTCCCTCCTCCGTCGCCTCGTCTTCCTGAGCATGAGCCCGAGGAGCCTGTGACAAAGGATACCATTCCTATGGTAGAACAATCCCGCGAATATGCTCGGCCGTCATCAGCTACACGCCCCAGTACATCAAGCTCACATGCTCCCTCTGCTCACTCCGCAGAGGGAATCGGTTCTCGCAATAGTGAGGACTCTTCCGCCCCTGGTGTCGGCGGTGCGAAGACACCATCGTGGAAAGAGGAAATGGCGTCATTCTCCCACCGCCGTGACGGAAGCACTGAGACCCAGAAGGAGCGCGAGGAATTCGCCATTGAACTGGCTGAACGACGCAGAAAGGTGCAGGAGAAGCTACGAAGTGTTGCCGAGAGCGAGAGCAGATCCAGCAGCCCTACTCCTGGCCGCTCAACACCTGACTTCACTAGAACGGGAAACGCATTTGCTATGTTGAAGCAAAAGGCCAGCAAGCAGGCCATGCCCAAGCCTGACCAGAAGAAGCTCTTTGGTTACAATAACTCGTCCTCCCCTGCCCTTGCTTCAGATGACTCGTGGCGCGAGGAGCGTCCTCCCTTCAGCTTTGGCCAGCACTCCAACTCTAGTTCTCCCCAGATTGGAGAGCGTTCATTCAGATCCCGTATGCCAACTCTCAGCCGCAACAACAGCCACGAGGAATCACGCGAGTCCAGCCGCAGCCGTGGGCCATCCCCACACGGTGCTTTCCGGTCTCAGAGAGACCGTTCGGGATCGGATGCATCTGGCCGCTCCAAGAGCCGCACCAGATACCGCGAGCGGGATGATCTCCAGACCGTGGAGGAGGGATCGGTCATTGCGCATGACAACTTTGTTGTCCCCGAAGGCTTCGAGCCTCCTATGCCCATCTCTCTCCCTCCCTCGAACCGCCCATCCGTTGAGATGGCTGAGTCACCGAACGTTGACCGTGCTCCCTCTGCTGCCTCGGGTAGACTCCGTAGCACCAGTCGCTCCGGCACCCCGAGCTTCCAATACGAGCGTCCGTTCCAGTTCCCCAACTCGAACACATCCTCAATCATCGGCGCCTCGCCCCGGCCCTCGCCTGCTGCACCACCCTACTCTGCCAACGCAACTCCTCCCCTGAACGAGGTACCAGCCAACACCTCGTCCACATCCCTCGCATCCGCAGCCAACTCTGCCCACACAATTCCCCAACGAGCCCCAGGACACGGATTTCTCCTCAAGCGCCCGGTGAACAAGAAGCAGATATCAGAGCCGACCTTCGTCTCTTCAACATCCAACGTCCCCCTCGTTGGCCTCCAGTCTCAATCGGGCAGCGCTCCTCCTCTCCCCCCAATGAACCCTCGCCGTCGCCGCGGCACAGCAACCCAGACAATCTTGGGTGCATTCAAGAGCGACAAGCACGACTCGTCGCGGGTTGCATCGCCAGCTCCAAGCACTATGGAGGAACAAAGCGTCTTCCCAGACGACGAACTCCGTCCCCGCTCCCGCAATCGTCTCCGCAAGACTTCCAGCGAGAGTGGTAACCTGAACGCGCGGGCGCGCCAGGAATCCCGGTCCGGCTCTCCACCTGCCGTCCCTCAATATCCTCCCCCTGCCGTCCCTGTTGATGGTGGCATGTTCTAATTTAATCGTATTCCCATTCCTGTCCTCTACCTCTTTCCTTGGACCTTGACTTCGACTCTTTCTTTTCTCAATCATTTCATTCCATCCATGTCTACCTACCATCTACATCTGTCACTGTCTTTGTCTGATCACCACATCCCAATTTCCGGGTTTCATTCTCATATTTCATTTTATTCGTTTTGTGCTCCTGTTCACTTTCATCTTGACGACTAGATACCATTCGGTGCATTTGAGCGTCTTGTCTTCCAATCTTTTTTTTGTTTTTCCTTTTTAGTTTTCCTTTCCCCCCATCTTTTGGATGCTCTTTCTGTGTATGTACTGTGTCTTTTTGAGTGTATTGTCAATGGATACATATCCGGTTTTCATTTTCATGGTGTCTTAGTAGTAGGTCGTACTTGGTCTAAGTGCAGTGCGATATGCGGTACACTCAGGAAGACTTCGGATTCCAAGGTTGGTCTACGTGTACAGATTGATATCCAACAGGGGCCATCATTCTGTTCATAGTGCTACAAAACATTCCACAATTTCTATACGCAGTCCTCGCAGCGAATATACTTTTCATGCATTGTTTGAACCCAAGTTGGCCTCTCTTTTTCGTCTCTTTTATCACCACTTTTTTGCCCATTCTCAAGTGCCTCAAGCAAGCTATTCAGATTATAGAACGTTAGTAGCGGGCGTGTGAAAAGGACTTATCACCCCTGTAACTACTAAGCCATGTTTGGAAACTTAGCCTCAACCAATCCATGGAACTGGACATGATTTCAACAACCCATTGTAAAAGAGCTTAGACGACAGTATCAGAATAACATATGAGATCACTGAGCAGGTATGAGCGCAAAGTCTCATTGCTCTCGCAAAGTCTCAGTGCCGTCAATCATACCACGAGCAAACGCCCCTCTCACACCAGCACTTTCAACAGTGATCAGCCCCGTGATAGTCGAACCCCCTGGCGACGAAACACTCTCACGGAAGTCAGCAGGCTGAACTCCAGTGCGAAACATCTCCGCCATTCCCAGCATCGCCTGGGCAGCTAACTCCATTGCATCGGCTCTCTTAAGACCCTCCTTGACACTACCGTCAAGCAGCCCATCAAATCCAACAGACAGAAGAGCCATCAATGACCCAGCAAGCATAGAAGCAGCATTGAATGCCTCAGAGTCAATAATCTTAACGTGACCAAGCCTCTAAAATATCCACATGAGATTCTCCCGTTGAGCCGGGTACATATCATTGCGTTCAATGGTAGTCATAGACTTGCCAATCTAAGCCGCCATATTGGGAATCGCTCGAACAACGCACGGTGGAGGATAATAATTTGGATCGCTGTCCTTGATTCAACCTCTTATGTCTTGCATCGTTACACCTCCCAGGTTGCTAAGTACCGATTTTCCTGCTAGCGCCCTCTTTACAAGTTTCTGACTTAGGAATTCTTGAGCCTTGTGCGGCTTGAATGCTAGAATGACGATTGAGCAGCCATCCATGATGGTCACGTTGTTACTCATCTCTGGTTGAGTGTTTTTGCCTCGCCTACCTCTGCGACGAATTTCCACCCTGCATCGTTATAGTTTGGGAATTGAGCTAACAAGCGATTTTCTTAGTGGGTTGTGTTTGTGTAGACCACTAGTAAGATTGATGACCCGCTTTTGCTGTCGTCGCGCAGTGTATTGAAGATGCCGGAGACGATTGCTGTCCTCATCTTTCCTGTTCGTTTGTTGGTGGGCTGATTTGACGACCAAAGAGAAGTCTTGATAGGTACCACATCCGATGATTCCCACCGTCTTATCCTGATAACTGAGTGGCATTTTTGCGAATGTCTTAATTGCGAATGAAGAGGTGATGATGATGCTGGAATCTGTCCAAGGTTGATGCTCCGCATCGCTAGACCTCTCGCCGCATTCAATGTTTACTCTCCGAGTGGTTTATTGTTCGCATATTGACTGCCAGAGATGATATTTTGCTGCATGGTCTATAGAAACGCTGGACTTGAAATTCTAGTATACATTCGTAGTCTACGTCTTCTCCGCAGCAGACTTCAGGTATCCCAGCACCCTCTCAACAAGGAACTTGCGCGGCTCAGCCTGATCATCATTGCTCAAAGCATGAGAAGCATTAGGGATAATACCCGTATGCTTATCATCCCAGATCTGATATTTGCCATTGTGATCTGTAGCATTCTTCCACCTAGCCAGCATCTTCTCCTTGTCAACCCAATCAGGAATAGACTGATCCTTCCCAGAGATCAACACCATCAACTTATGGTTGAGCAAACCACGCTCCTGAATCATACCGAAAGTCTTGCCAAAGTGCGCATCACTTAGATCAGAACTGAACAAATCATCTTCCTGAGGCGACTGCGGACTCTCAGGACTAACAAGACTTAAGAAGCGCCTGCAACTAATAGGCGTGTTGGCGGGGTAAATCATAGAAGTCAACTCCAAAGGCAGCATAGTATCATGCTTAGAATCGCGCGCAACAGCCTCGCGTGCCAGCAACTCCATCTGATCATATACAGCACGAGCCTTCTCAGGCGTCGTATCACCTATACCCCATTTCAGGACCCAAAAAATAGCCTCGCGATCCGAGACGGGCGCCTGCATAATCGCGCCATCAAGCACAGGCCGCTTTACATGCTCGACATCCGGGTCAAAGGCCGGGATGCTAGTGTGGGGGTTTGCTTGGGAGAGATAGTGCAGCACGCATTGACTGCCAGTGGAATGGCCCATGACGGCGATCTTGCCGCCGCCGAACTTGTCTTTCTTGTATTCTTTAATGTACTCCAAACACTGCGCGATCTCGCTCGTGTCGCGGTCCAGATGTCCCAGGCCCCAGGATTGGTAGGAGGAGGTGAGGTTTAGGGTGAAGAGGGACCATTCAGACTGCTGTAATGCGCGCGCGAGATCGGCCATGTATGATGTTGTGGCGAGGCCGTCGCCGAGTCCTCCGACGAAGAGGAGACTGTGTGGTTGGCGAACGGTGCTGGAGGCATATTCGAATGTGACGAGAGTTTCGGTCTTTGGTGTGTTAGCTCCCGTCAGGGTCCAATTGACCTTTTTTGTGGGGGGTAGGAACTCACGTAGTGGTGCAGGATGCCGGGGAGGCCTCCCTTGGGCCAGAATTTAGACATTTTGGCGTGTAGATGGTGATACTGCGATGGGTGAGCTGGAGGAATGTTTCTAGGAGAGGAAGTTTGCGGATCGTTCGATTTGCCGAGTTCGGGCTTTCAAGGTTCCGCATGACGCACTCTGTGGGATTCTGCATCGGTTAGAGAAACCGAATGCGCTCCACCGGTCAAATGTTTCAGAGCATCTTATCAATCTGATTACGCCGCGTCAAGCCGGGGACTATTAGGTAACAAGTCTCATATTTTGCAGCCAAGACTTCAGAGTCGCGAAAAGGGGTTGCACGGTTGGAAAGACTGGGTTGGCGTTTTTGTAATACAGTGTATAGCTGTGTATGGACATAAGAAATACTGTGTATCGTAATATACTAGAATAACGTGTGAATACGACGGTATCGCACCAAGTGGGCACTCACAGAGTCTGTCTCGCCCAGCAGGCTAATAAACCCACAAAAGCTTTAATACGAGCTAAAGGTAGGTCAATTACCATCCTCCGTTTCTGCTAGAAATACGGTACAGACGCGCCAACCCGCGCTAGTTGGAGATAGGTAAGATCAACGGATCTGATTAGATTGATTGGTCGAATCAGCCCGAATCTGATTAGATTGCCCCTCGGTGAAAACTCTATCCGGGTTAGATCGGACTTAATTTCATCACTTCCTCTCACCAATACCTGTGCTTTACATGAGCTTAGAAAGCCAAGGTCTATTGAACGCTTGAGAAGGCTTGTCCTTCGATAGCTAGCCTTACCTGACTCAAGCTTCAAGCAGATGATCACTGCCAAAGGGGGTGCGTCATGAGATGCTTGGCCAAAAGCCAAGTTGAACCACAAAGATCAACGTTGCAATTTCGTCAACCGATGGGCATAGTATGGACGAGGAGGGGCTCATGGATATTGTGGCGTTCGTGAGACTGAAGAGGCTTTCCGCAAGCGAGCCAAGAAATCACTCAAAAAAGCAGGTACATGTAAGACGCTAAAACCAGGGCCATTTTTTGTCTTTTTACTTTTTTTTTTCACTCCATCCACATTTTTGTAGCACCCGGAATAAGCGCATGTAATTTTATTTATAGCAAATCAGTGCTCAGAACGAGAAATGCGCACGCGTGTGATCTGAGTGGGTCTCAGAGTGACAGGATATCGCAAAGATCCTCGCTTCCATCGGGCATTACATCGGGCATTTCCGAAAAAGCTGCACAATAGAGGGTCTTAATGCACAGCCAGTCTCCGAAGCTTCCGTGCAACGGATTCAATTTCCTGTTCAGTAGGGGGTAGGGCTGCTGCATTGCAGAATGTAACCATGTTCTCCCCCCAGGTCTTGGTATTACGTAGCCCAACACCAAACCTACGACTAGCCCTACAGGAAAATGGCTCGGGTCGATTTCATCTTCTTGGCAGCAATTTGTATTATTTTACGTTTCCACATGACGCGCTACCCGCATGTGGAGCAGACATTTACATTACTTACATTACAGTATGAACATCTCAACGGGCAAATATGAAACCTTGAAACCTACAGGCTCCGGCCCGTTTCTTCTTTTTTCGAGTTGAACCCACCCCGCAATAGCCGATCTCGGGCAAGATGTGCAATACATGCAGGGAAAAGTTGACGCTTCGGAAGTTGGGTGGAGCATAACGCGACAGAACCGTGGCTTAGTATAAGAGTCGGCCATACCACTTCCGCCAAGTTGACCCGCTCCAAATTAAACAGCTTCAACTCCTTCACATCAGGGGATATAGGACCAGCTGTGCTGGTTAACGTCAATATGGGTTTCATCCCGCTCGATCAGGCGAATCTTCCCAGTGCGCCAACAAACGGTTTCGAGAAAATGACGACACACGTCAGTGTCGACGACTTTCTGTCTTTCGATGTTGCGGGCCTTGCATCTGATACCCCGAGCCCGACTGGCATGAAAGAAGAAGTCGTGTTGCTTTCATGGCTAATTGTTCTTCTGCGAAGCCGCGAAGATGCCCAAATAACCTACGACTGGACCTACAAACATGGCGCGGACTATGTGGCGTCGGAGCCAGTCAACAAGCTGTCAATGAATGAAGTAATGAGTGGATTACAAAGTAATGTGGGAGAAGTTGGTGCGACAATTGCGCGCAACATTGCGACAGCTTCACAAGCCACTTCAAACCCGGCATCCCTCGTTTTGAGCACGAGCTCCCTTTCAAGAGAGCCTGCTGAAACAAAAGATGAAGTGAGTGTGTAATAACTTTGTCTTCCCGGTAATAGCTAACCGTAATTGCAAGGATGTACTTCATCTCGAAATCCGCTTCAATAATGCGCGCCTCGAAATCAGCCCAGTGTGGCACATTGAGAAGATGCTGCCATACGCAGTGAAACACCATATTGAGGCTTTGGCTGATACCATTAAAGTGTGCCTTTCAAGCTCTGACGCGACCATCCAAGCTTGCTTGAAACCAACAGAAAGCGATTTGAGAGACATCTGGAGTTGGAACCACCAGCTGCCTCCTACGCACAGCTTTTGTATGCAAGACAGAATTGCTGACAGAGCTCGGGAACACCCAGACAAAGTCGCGATTGATTCTTGGGATGGTAGCTTGACTTACGGCCAAGTTGATCAATATTCCACCTATGTGGCATGCTGTCTCGTGGAAATGGGTGTCCAGGTCCACGATGTTCTTCCAGTATGCTTTGAAAAGTCAAGATGGACCATCATCGCCGTGCTCGGTGTGATGAAGGCTGGAGGAACTCTCGCCCTCATGGACCCAACTCTTCCCCTCGCCCGTCTCCAGAACATGGGCGTGCAAGTAGGCGCAAAGTCGATGGTTGCGTCTCGCAAGCAATCTGAACTGGCCCAAAAAATTCTTCCCGATGGTCAGCACTTTGTTGTAGACGAAGAGACGTTCACAAAATTGGAGAACTCTCCATCAACCACCACCCTACCAGCTGTGCCTCCCTCCGCTCTTCTCTACATTATATTTACCTCTGGAAGCACCGGTACCCCCAAAGGAGTGATGATCTCCCATGAAACATACACAAGTAGCGCTCTTCCTCGAGGCGAGGCAGTTGGCTACACCCCCGAGTCCAGAGTTCTGGATTTCGCGTCCTATGCTTTTGATGTCAGCATTGACAGCATGCTTGTCACTGTCGGAAATGGGGGCTGTCTTTGCATTCCCTCTGACGAGGACAGATTGAACGATATCAATGAAGTGATTCGGAAGTTGCGAATTAACTATACCGGTCTGACTCCTTCAGTTGGCCGAATTTTGGAACCGGATGTTATTGCATCCCTCAGTGGACTTGGACTTGGTGGAGAGGCAGTCTCCGCCAGAGACGCCAATAATTGGGGCAAAGAGACCCGTATTATTATTGGATACGGTCCTTGCGAATGTACAGTTGGTTGTACTATCAACAGCAGCGCTGCGACTGGCAGGGATTACCTTTCCATCGGTCCTGGCAATGGTGCTGCCATGTGGATCGTGAACCCCAATGACCACAATGAACTTGTTCCAGTTGGTGGTGTGGGTGAACTGCTTGTTGAGGGTCCTATTGTCGGACAGGGTTACCTCAATGACCCCGAGAAGACTGCCTCAGTGTTCATTAACGATCCCACCTGGTTGGTTGCGGGCCACAAAGACTACCCCGGTCGTCAAGGTCGCCTGTACAAGACTGGTGATCTTGGAAAATATGATCCCGATGGACTGGGCGGTATTGTCTTCGTGGGCCGCAAGGATACCCAAGTCAAGCTTCGTGGACAGCGTGTCGAGCTTGGCGAGATTGAGAGCCAGCTTAAGGCTGTTCTGCCTTCCGATGCCAACATTATTGCCGAAGTGATCACCCCTAAGGAGTATGGAGGCCAGGCGATGCTCGTCGCATTTGTTACTTTTGGTTCCACAAAGGGACAGAGTGAGCTTGCCCTAGAGCCCCTCTCGAGCGAGCTGAACGAGATTATCACCAAGGCCAATGCGGATGTTGCCAAAGTCTTGCCACGGTACATGGTACCGACTATCTATATCCCCGTCAACGTCATGCCAGTGTTGATCTCCGGCAAGACTGATCGTAAGCAACTCCGCGCATTCGGCTCCAGCGTCGATCTGCGTCAGCTGGACCAAGGAGCAGCAAGCACTGCCTCTCGCGAACTCAGCGAACTCGAGCAGCGTCTGCGGAAGACATGGGGCGAGACACTCAAGCTTGACGCCGAAGCTATTCGACCCGACGACAATTTCTTCGCCCTCGGTGGTGACTCTTTGGCTGCAATGAGACTTTCGTCTGTGTGTAGAACACAAGGTCTTGATCTCTCTGTCATAGATACCTTTGGGAATCCGACTCTCTCAGCAATGGCTGGTGTTGTCAAACCCTGCAGCACGGAGACCGAGACAGAAATTCCTGCATTCTCATTGATCTCTCAATCTGTCGAGAGTGCCCGTCTTGAAGCAGCAGAGGCCTGTGGGGTGGACCAAGAGGCCATTGAGGATATCTACCTATGCACACCCACCCAAGAGTCACTTTTCACTTTCTCGCTCAAATCAGCCAAGGCATACATCGCCCAGAGAGTCGCAAACATCCCATCGCACATTTCCACCGATGCATGGAAGAGGGCGTGGGAGGATGTTGTTGCCGCAAGCCCTATCCTTCGCTCTCGCCTGGCACCTCTCCAAGACCCTGGCCTTCAACAGATTGTTGTCAAGGAAGGCGTTTCCTGGAGATACGATACCGACCTGGAGCAGTACCTTGAGAATGACCGAAGTGAGCGCATGAACCTCGGACAAAGTTTGGCTCGCTATGCCATTGTCGCCAACGAAGACAATCGATACATGGTCTGGACTGTTCACCACGTCCTCTACGACGGATGGTCAGAGCCTATTGTCCTCAAGCAAGTTAGTGACGCACTGCAAAACCAATCCGTCGAGATCCAGACAAAGATGCGTAACTTCGTCAAATACGTGTGTGACACCGACGAGAATGCCATGCATGAATTCTGGCGTCGCGAACTGAAGGGCGCCGTTGGTCCTCAATTCCCTCGTCTTCCCTCCAGAGACTTCATGCCCACCCCCAACGGCTTGATCGAGCATCAGATCTCGCTCGAGCCCAACGCTGGCTCACCTTTCACAATGGCCACCTTGGTCCGTGGTGCATGGGCTCTTGTTGCATCTCAATACACTGGAAGCGACGATGTCGTCTTCGGCGAGACCCTCACCGGTCGTGATATCGCCCTGCCAGGCATTGAAAGCATCGTCGGACCCTTGATCGCAACCATCCCCATCCGCGTCCACGTCCGCCGCTCAAGCTCCATCGAGGCTTATCTGCAAACAATCCAGCAATCAGTCTTGGCCCGTACACCCTACCAGCACATGGGAATGCAGAATATCCGAAAGGTCAGTCAGGATGCTCAGTACGCATGCGAAGCCCCTACCGGTCTTGTCATTCAGCCCGACCCAGAATACGTGGGTAGTGAACTCGGCTTTGAGCTTGGAGACGTTGTACGCGAAGCAATTCACTTCAATCCCTACCCTGTCATGGTCGCCTTTGGAATTCGCAAGGGCGGTCTCAGAGTCTGCGCAAGCTTCGATACCAGCTTGATTGAAGGTTCTCAAATGCAGCGTATTCTTGCACAGCTGGAAACCGCTTGCATACAGCTGTCCAAGGGTCTTGACCGGAGACTTGATGAGATTTCTTGTCTTCCTGAAGCGGAGCTCAGTCAGATCTGGGAGTGGAACCAGACTCCCCCCTGTCTGTGGATGAGTCTACTGGTAAGCTTCGCGCGGAGGCTACCATGAAGCAGGGGGCTGTCTATCCCCGTGCTGTTGTTCCCTGGGTGTGTGATGCGCGCAATCCGACTCTTTTGTCGCCGATCAACTCTGTTGGTGAGCTCTGGCTTGAGGGTGATTGTCTCTCCGGCGAGACCGTTGACTCTCCAGCTTGGCTCGTGGCTGGAAGTGCTGGATCCGCTGGCCGGACTGGAAAGTTGCAGCCCACTGGGGATATGGTGCAATTGCGTGAGGATGGCAGTTTGGCGTTTGTCGGCCGCAAGGAGAACGTGGTTGCGCTCCATGGACATGCAATTGATATTGCAGACCTTGAGTCGCACTTCATTGACCACCTCCCATCGTCAACTCGTGCAGCAGCAGCAGTGTTCATGCCATCTGCTGATGACACTCAGAAGATGGTAGAACAAGAGCTCGTTGTCTTTGTTGAGAAGCAGCTTTCGGAGGAAGACAACATTAAAATCTCCTCCGAGAAGCACGGCGTTGCCAACAGTGAGTCTGGCTTTGAGACAACTATCTGTGATATGATCCCTGTCAGTCTTGCTGTTTCTCTGAAGAAGCTTGATAAGTACATTCGGGACTCATTGCCGGCTTATATGGCTCCCTCTACGTACATTATAGTTGACAAGTTGCCCGCTGGTCTGGGTCAACTCGAACACACCATGCTGAACCAGCTGGCATCGAAGATCCCTCGGAGCGTTCTCAACCAAGTCCGCGAGGGGACAAAAGAGGCCTGGACCAAGGGCTTAGCGCAGACCAGCCTGACACCCGAAGAGAAGATCCTACAGGCTGCTTGGGCCAAGATCCTTCGCCTTTTCCCAGAGCAGATTGATGTCGATGACAACTTTTTCCGTCTCGGAGGTGACTCTGTCTTAGCCATGAAACTAGTGTCCGGCCTCCGCACCCAAGGTCACGCCCTGTCTGTGGCCGATATTTTCCAAAACATGCGTCTCGGCGATGCCGCCAAGGTGTTGAAGGTTGACCAAGCTTCCAAGGACAGTGTTCAGCCTTACAAGCCCTTCTCGGCACTGAGCAACTTGGACATCAAGATGTTCTTGGCTTCCACCGTCCGACCCAAGCTTGCCAACCCTGGCTGGCCCATCCGCGATGTTTGTCCCGTCACGGAGTCTCAATCGATGGATATCCGACAGACTGTCCAGGCACCACGAACATCCATCCAGTACAACATGCTGTACTTTGACCAGACGGTCAACATCAAACAGTTGCTCCGTGCATGCAATGATTTGGCCAAGACTCATGACATCCTGCGCACCGTTTTCATCGAAAACGAATTTAGCTTCCTCCAGGTTGTTTTGGAAGAGGCAATTCTGCCCATAGCCATGCACCAGACCAACCAGGATCTCGAGCAATACGTGACCCGCCTCTGCAAGACAGACATTGAGACAGCCTACGAGCTTGGGTCGCCATTCTTCAAGATCTTCCATGTGGAAGGCACCGATGGCAAGCACTGCCTCATCCTCAGTCTCTCGCATGCCCAATACGACGGTGTCTCATTGCCCAGAATCCTCCAAGATCTCGAGACCCTATACACAGGCGGAAAGGTTATCGACTTTGAGCCATTCGCCTCATACATCGCCCGCATCTCCGACGGTCGCCTCCAAACCCAAGCCGTCAACTACTGGAACAACCTCCTCAAGGACTCATCATTGTCCGTGTTGGATGGCCCAGTCGTCGAGCCAACCGACAAAGCAATCTTCCAAGAGACGCCGGTGGAGAACTTCACCCCGGTGCAAGAGATCACCGCTGCAAACGTCCTCACCGCAGCCTGGGCATTGGTCTTAGCCCGCCGTCTCGGTAAGCCAGACGTGACATTCGGAACAGTCACATCAGGCCGAACTCTCGACCTCGCGAATGTCGAGAACGTTATCGGTCCTTGCTACCAACTCACGCCAGTTCGAGTGAAGTTTGAGTCTCAATGGACAGCAATGGACCTGCTTCAATTTGTGCAGAAGCAAGCCGCCGAATCGTCCGCATATGATTTCCTCGGCTTCGAGAAGATCTCCAAGCAATGTACCCATTGGTCACCAGAGGCGCGTACTTTCGACTCGATCGTGCACCACCAGGACTGGGCTGACTTTGATGATATGCCTTTTGCTGGTACTTCTTGCAAGGTTGATATTTCCAACCCGCATGGTGATGCTGCTTATCCCTTGAAGGCGGTTTCGTTTGCCAAGGGTGGGAAGATGCATGTTGGTTTTGTTGGTAGTGAGAAGGATGCTGCCTTTGTCGCTGCTACTCTTGATGAGTTGGCAGCTGCAGTTCAGGAATTGTCTGGCTGTAGTCCTGAGCCTTTGGTGCTTGATGCTTGATTTACGTAGTGGATTATAATACCTAGTTGCTTCTTTGGAAGGAGATAGTATAGATTGGTTTGGAATTTGATCTGTTACTTTTCATCCCTTGCTTCCTGGTCCACTTCGCCTAAATAAGACTTTGCCTCTACAGTAGAGATACTTTCAAGTTAAGTTATGTTCAAGCTGGTTTGAAGGTATTTCTACAGTATGTTTTCCCTTGGAAAACAGATGTCTTTCATTCTAAGCAACATTGTCTACATGCCTAAAGTATGCTCATTGACACAGCGACGTAAACCGAGAAAGAAACAAATGGATATAATATTATAAAGTAACTAAAGATATGCAAATCTACGATTTTAAGTAGCCACCGTCTGGTGCATGACGTTAGCACGGTAACTATCCGACCGCTGCAACAATTCCTCATGCGAACCAGAGTCAGTGCAAACACCACCATCAATCAAAAAGATAACATCCGCCTTGCGGATAGTGTGTAGACGATGGGCAATAGCAATCACAGTGATACCCCGAGCAGCCTTCTCAAGGCCATCCTGCAGAAGCTTCTCAGACTCAGCATCCAAAGCACTAGTTGACTCATCAAGAATCAACAATTTAGGTTTGCGAACGAGCGCACGGGCAATGGACAATCTCTGCTTCTGACCACCGGAAAACTGGTTACCGTTAGGTCCACAGAGAGTCTGGTAGCCCTCCGGAAGGGACATGATAACTTCGTGAATGTTGGCAAGTTTGCAAGCTTCTTGAATTTCCTCGAGGCTGACATCGTGACCAGGTCGGGCTCCGAGACCAATGTTGAACTCGATGCTTCCCTCGAATAGGACGCTTTCCTGGGGGACTAGGGAGACCCAGTCGCGGAAGGAGACATCGGTGGTCTTTGTCACGTCGACGCCGTCGATGAAGATGCCTCCGGATTCAGGCGTGTAAAGACGCTCGACTAGGGAAATGATGGTCGATTTACCGGCACCACTGGGCCCGACCAGAGCACAGAACTTGCCGGGGCGGATATCGACGCTCAAACCCTTCAGGACCTTCATGTCTGGGCGAGCAGGGTATGAGAAGTGCACATCGCGGAGCTGCACGCTAGAGGCTGGATTGCCAGTGTCGTAACTGGGCTTTTCCTCGACGGACTCGACATCCTTAAGGGTTCCGTTCATCTTGTCCTTGCCGATCTCGATCAGGCCCAGGATTCTGGCCATGGCGGATCGTGCAGCAGACAATTCGGGTGCCAGGGCGAACATCTGACTCCAGAGCAGAGCACTGACAAGGAGGGAGAAGACGACGATCAGGAACTGGGTCTGGGTGTAGTTTCCGTTGACGATTTGCTTGGAACCCCACCAGTAGGCGAGGGCGTTGACGAGGTTACCAAGGAAGTAGGTCATTGCCTGCCATAAACTGGCTTGAATGGTGACCATAAGTGTTTCCTTGCGAGGCCCCTTCAGGGATCGACGGTAAGTCTGCAGGGTATCTTCCTCGAGGGAGAGGGATGCAATGGTCTTGATAGAGGTGACTGCTTCGACACCAATGTCGACAGACTTAGTGTAGGCGTTCTCATGACGTTCCTCAAATTTGCCGAGGACCATCAGCTCCATCATGCCGGCTCCCAGCAGAAGAGGAACCACGGCCAAACAGACCAAAGCGATTCTCCATGCGATAATATGGGTGAGGATGATGGCGGCGATAAGGTTAACACTGATAGCAAACAGAGTACCGACGACAGAGCCGCTCAGGCCAGCCAAGGCGTTACCATCTCGAGTGATATATGAAAGAAGAAGAGCGGGAGATCTGCCGTTGGACTGGTGCCATTGAAGATCTTGTTCGAAAAGTGATCGGAAAGACAAGACGCGGACTTTGTAGACAATCTTTTCAGAAACGTAACCGAATCCTCCCCAGCTGACGATGTTTGCAAAGAACTCAATCAGAGCGAGAACGAAAAACATAAGTCCGTAGAAGTTACCGCGGTTCATAATACTGGCCGCGCTCTTGCAAGGGTTTAGACTTCCAACGGTGTTACCGAAGATGACAGCTTCGCCAGAGAAAGCTCCACCGACCATAGTGGCACCGAGGAGAGAGGCGAGGATCATAAGGAGATGAGGCCTGACGGCGGGTGCATATCCCTTGCAAAGAGCCCACAAGCTCTTTCTAGGAGTCTCGGGCTCTTCTTCCTCATCCTCTGCTGATTCAGGGACTGGTTGTTCGGTGGTAGAGACATGGGCCTCTTTAACGGGTTCGGTCTCATTCGAAACACTGCCCTTCTCGTTGTCAACCTCGGTGATAGAGGTGTCGTCAGACTTGCTGACGGTCTCAACGCTGACAGTGGATTCGGTCTTGTTGGAAGCGGACCCAAGAGTCTGCAGCTTGACGAGTTCGGAGTATGGACCGTTCTGGGTCATCAATTCAGAATGACTGCCTTCCTCAAGGATATCTCCCTTGTGCATGCAGACAATCTTGTCAGCACCAGTGATGGTAGACAATCGATGAGCGATGGTGATGACAGTTCGGCCGGTCGAGATGTTGTTGATAGCACGCTGGATGCGTTGTTCACTTCTAGAATCCAAAGCAGCAGTGGCTTCATCCAAGATGAGAACTGCAGGATCCTTGACAAGGGCTCTGGCGAGAGAAACACGCTGCTTCTGACCACCACTGATCAAACGTCCACTAGAACCAACAAGAGTGGCATATCCGTATTGCAAGGCCTCAATGAAGCCATCAGCATCTGCAAGCTGGGCAGCCTTTCGAACCAATGCAACGATTTCAACAACCTTATCACCCCGCTTTTCAGCGGCTGTGGTGAGGTCTGAGCCTTCTCTGATTTCAGCAGCGACATCCGAAAGGTCAGTGCTGAGAAGAGTAGTCTTCAGGTGTGCGTGGGCTGGGTTGCTTGAGTTCATCAAACCATGAGCAATGTTCTCCAAAAGGGATCGGTCAAGCAGAGAAGGCTCTTGCTGGACCAGACTGAGGAATCCTCTCAAATCACGAGTGTTGAGGTCGCGAAGATTATGACCGTCGAAAGTAATCTCTCCCTCAGTGACGTCGTATAATCGGTTAACCAGACCAGCGATGGTTGACTTTCCACTTCCGGAAAGACCAACAATAGCAGTGTGCTTCTTGGGGGCAATAGAGAGATTGATCTTGTTGAGAACAGTGATTTCAGGACGAGACGGATAAATGAATGAAACGTCCCTAAACTCGAATCCGCCCTCGGCCTGCGAGAGACGAATACCCTCATCACCACATCCATCAATCAAAGGCGTGCGGTCAATGTCGTCGCGGAGCTTGTGATACGAAGCCACAGCCTGGGTGAACAGGTGAATGAAGGGAGCAACTTGACTCAGGAGCAGGGTAGCTGTGTCTTTGTCAGTATGACTTTCGTTGTAAGAATCCTGCCAGACTAACCTTCAACCAAGACAAAGATAACAGTAAAAATGGATCCAACGGTCTTGCCCGCTGAGTCCGTGCCTAGTGATTCGGCTATCTGCTTACTTCCCTGCCAGAAGGCCAGACCGTTCGCACCATACGCAATGAAGTAAAGGAAACCAGCCTGAATACCAGTAGCAGCAGCCTTTTTCAGGCCTTCAGTCTCAGACTGCTTCAAAGCCTTGGAGAACTTCTGCTCCAGACGGCCGTTGGCACCAAATGCCTGCACCACAACAATGTTCGAGAGCGCCTCGGAAGCAATCGACGCGGCGGAAGCAGCGTAGTCAGACATGCGCCCGGTGTATTTCTCAATATAATGACTTCCAACAAAGGACATCAAAAAATAGGCCGGGACCAGAGAAATGAGCATGGCAGCCAGAATAGAGTCCTTGATGAAGGCGACAATGTACGCCGTGACGAAGAACGAAAAACTGGAAAGACAGATTCCAACCTTTTCTGCTGTACCGGAACGAATTGTCTGGATATCGGTATTGAGACGAGAAGCGACCTCACCAGCAGGCAAGTTATCGAAGAAGGAAGGTTCCTGACGGAGCAAGTTCTGCAGATATCTTTCACGGAGTCTCTGCGCAAGGCGCGCACCAGTCATGGTCCAGCATAGCAGGTGCATATAAATGAGAACGAATTGCGCAACGGCGAGATAAACAATCAACAAGATCTTGCTATTGATGTCAGACTGAGAGCTGGAGTCGGAGCTTGAGGAGGCGGTTCCGTCGGATTGACTGCAAGTAACATCGTTGAAATCGTCGAGCAGTTGACCGAAAACGATACCAATAATTGGAAAAGGAACACCAGCTGCAATAGCCGACAGTATACCGACCAAAAGCGTCCCCAACTCGGCTCTGGAGGGGTTGCCGGCCAGGAGCAGCTTGGGGTAACCAGAGAGTTGCCCGAAGAGCTTCATGGTGACTCGATATGGGCGCTGGCTTGCAACACCTGTATAGTTGACGTTTCGAGTGTTGAGGAAACTAAGTTCTTCAAGGCAACAAATTTATTGCTCCGCTTGACAAAGTCAGAAAAAAAGCCGCATCCACTCGTTAGCGTCTTTCCATCCGGTAAAGCAATAAACACACGAGCTCCAGAGAAATATGCCAAGTGAAGGTGAGAATTGAAGGGGGCCCGGATGTTTAACATCCGGCTACTGAGTTTTTTTTTTTTTTTTTCTTTCAGCCGACATCGGTTTTAACACTTGACGATAAATTGTAGAAAATATCCAGAAAATCAAATCGTTACGGGGGTTATCAGATCGTGGGGCTGCCGTACCATGGGTCGACTTGAGCTGTACATACCAGTTCGTACGAGTATGTATTGGAGTACTGTATGTTCATTTCACAGCATTGAAACATACACCGTTACAAGCCCTTTCAATTTGTGTGGTATGATGTTTTGTCCAATTGAACAAAACAAAGATACACTGTGTTTCAATCCCAAATTCTGTTCGAACTGGACAAGGACTCATGTTCGAAAAGACCTTCTGTCTTAATTTCGCTGCACACACATCTGCAAAACCTCCGACTATGAATTCCCTGCATATTACGTACAACAGTCGAAGCGACGGTACATGTACTCCGCGAGCTCCGCCATGCAAGATGACGGTGTGAGTGGGCCCTCGGGCTCCGTAAATTTACCGTGCAATCTAAACAGATTCCTTTTAACTTATCTGATCAATCAGATTTGAACAACAGAACAAGAGTGGATTCTCTAATTACCGCAGAGAACTGCCATAGGTAAGTTGTAGATGGTCAACAGCTGCGAAGTACGGAATACAGCAATACCCACATGTCTTGGACGTGGAGAAGCGAGAAAAAAAATCAAGAAAAACCAAGGCCGTGAATTTTGTACATTAAAGATCAAACAAGAAGGTCAAGCATTATTACAGCTTGGCATTCCACGCGGCACGATCAGCAGATTCTAAAGGCCGCTCACGTCCATCCCAGAACAGCGGGCATAACTGGAACCACTTCTCTCGGCTACAGATCGAGTGGACCGATCTTTTATGTCCGAGGTCGACGTACTTGCCGATAGTGAGACCTTGAGAATTTTCGTACGACAAAATGGTGGCACCGGTGGCCTTGGGCTCGCCTACCACATTGGCTGTGCGTGGGTCGTCTAGGAAACAGTAGTGGATGCAGCTAGAGTACCAGGCATTCACGCGATGGGCACCTCGGAAGCTCGCGTCGCCCACGAGGGAGTGGCGGCCGCGATCGTAGTCTCCGGCATCGTAGTGGGCGCCGTAGTGATCCTCCTGTGGGAAAATTGTAAGCATAATCGATATAACAAAGGATTACGATTGAGAGTGGAGTGTGAAAATTTACTTTTGACCAGTACAATTCGTAGTAAGAGAAGCGGGAATCGTTGAAGCGGCCAAACAAGCAGAGAACGTGAGGATCAAAGTGCAGTTTGCGTAGATACTCGGTGTGTTGCTCAATAGTTCCAGTCTCGTTCCAGCCAGCTGCAACGCGAGGGTCGTTTTGCCATGTGTTAAAAAGTTTCACATGCTCCGCATTTTGCCAATCCACCACCTCGAGTGAGAAGTGCTCGTTGATTTCTGGGATATAGCGACTGTACGCAATTGAGCCCGGGTGAGGCTTGGGACGACGTGTCGGGTGACGAGTATACACTGGCTCCTCGGGGAACTTGTTTGTGACTTGGTAGTTCTCTGGCATCACCGGGTATTGATCGAGCGAGCCCCGCATAGGTCCGTCTGTGCCATCTCCTACCACCCAGATGGGACGAGGTCCCATTGGTGAAGCAGCGCCTTGCCAGAAGGCGCTTCGGAGAACCAGCAGTTGGTTGAATTGGAGGGCTTTGTTCTCTCTGTCGCGAAGATTCCTTGGGTGTTGGATGGCCATGCCGGTAGAGAGAAGCTCATTGCGAATCACCTCCTGTCCTCTGCCGGCCAGGTCAAGTCTGAAATACTCAATTGTAGAATGAGCGAGGTAGATAGCGTGGATAATGTTCCAAATTTGCGCCAGAGAAGGCGCGCTTCCAGTCCATTGGAAAACGGTGTGCGGGCTGCGTCGCGCGCGACCCCAAGGTGTGTTATCTGAAATTGGCGGCTGTTCAGCCTTGGGAATGAATGTGAGGTCGTTCCATGAGAGCGAATCTGAGTGTAATGGTTCTGGCAGCGATCGTCCCACGGTGGGTTGCTCATCGAGCGTCAAACTGTGCTTAGCTGGCGACGATCCGGCAGACTGCACCCGATATGAGGTCAGATATGGGTGTGGAAGCTTGACCAAGGGGTATGTCTGAACAGTGGCGGAATTGGAGCTCATTGTCGTAGTCTTTGAGCAATTAATCTCAAGCTCGACAAAAAGAGTGTAAGTGGGAGTAAGAAAAATGTGGAAGGGCGCCAATCCTGGAGATAACAATCAGATTATAAGTATGCAGGGACCCTGAACAACCGAGGATGATCAAGAATGGATAAGGGAACCGAAGCCGAACTTTTTTTTGTCAGATCCTAACGAAGTAAATTTGTTTCGGATGCTCTAGACAACGCTATAATCCGAAAATACGGGGAATAGTTCCTTTTTTTTTTTTTTTTTTTTGATCTGTACCAGTCATGGTACGCGGGTTCCGAGGTTCCGTCGTCCGGTTGTAAGCTTCGACCGAATGCGCTAAAAGTAATGTCACGTCCCAAGCATAAAAAGACATAGGGCAGCCTTCGTTGTATTGGTCTATACTCTCCACATTCTTCGCCATGTCTCTACGAACAAGGCCGTCAAACTATGAGAATTTTGATGTGTCTTTCCCGCATGAGCGGGTTGTCCAGGTCACAATCAACCGACCAGATAAGTTAAATTGCATCGACAAAGCTACAAGTCGGGCGATCGCAGATATCTGGGATCAATTCGACCAAGATGAAAGTTTATGGGTGGCTATCATCACAGGCAAGGGCAGGGCATTCTGCACCGGAGCCGATCTAGGAGGTGGGTTCGCTTATTTTCTGCTGTTATCACTCTAACTGGAGCAAAATAACTAAAAACGAATAGAATGGAACGCGATGAACAAGGCCGGAGTGGTAAATGACATGTCCGCACCCGGTCTCGCAGGGCTACCTCGCAGGGGTGGCAAGAAGCCGATCATCGCTGCAGTGAATGGCATCTGTATGGGTGGAGGCTTCGAGATGATAGCCAATTGCGACCTCATCGTGGCTGCATCCTCCGCTATCTTCTCTCTTCCGGAGGTCAAGCGAGGTATTGTGCCTGTGGCCGGTTGCTTGCCGCGACTGACCCGCACCATCGGCCTTCAACGCACGATGGACCTCGTGCTTACCGGCAGGAACGTGGACGCCACCACTCTCCACGAATGGGGCCTTGTGAGTCGAGTGGTGGACTCGCCTGCGGATGTTGTCCGTGCGGCCCTGGATATTGCAGAAGTCATGTGTAAAAACAGCCCGGATGCGCTAATTGTTGGTCGCATGGGAGTTCGCATGAGCTGGGAAGCTGGCAGCGTGGAGGATACTGTCTCAAGTCTGGCGGATGAGTGGTATCCTCGGCTAGTAGGTGGTCCTAACTTCGCCGAAGGGATCCAGGCATTTGTGGAGAAACGGTCTCCAAGCTGGCGGAACTCGAAGCTATGAGAAAAAATGAAGAAAAAGGAATTTTATTATTTCCAAGGTTCAATTTAATCAGATTACCAAATGGGGACTAGTTCTGAGGTACGAAAAGTGGGGGGTGATTTATCTGATTAACACGTATTTGGTATTTGATACCTGATGTATTTGATACCTGGTGTATTTGATACTTGCTTTGTATTTATCGAGATGTGCTAGGCAGAACATTTATTGTTAGTACAATTGCAGATCAACTTGGACTTTTTAAAAGGACAGCGATTTCCGCTCCGAATCACTGATACTTGACCATGTCTGCTGCTTAGGTACATCTCTGAAATTCTTCATGACACAACAGTATGTACCCGTATCGGGTGAGCTCGCTCGGATCGCGACTGAGAGCTCTGGTGTCGGCCTCTGTGTCCCAAATACGGAGGCCCAATTTTAGCATAGGCGATTCTGGTCATTTATGGCTCTTGTCGCGGTGGAAAAGACAATCCCATTCGCCAATGTACGCCAAGTCTTGCCAAGGCAGTCCACTACTTGATTCCCTGAACAGGAAGAATCCACGAGCATCTCGAAGCTTGGTGGTAGTTACCCCCCCGGTTGGCGTTGCCTTCGCTTGCTTGAAACCAAGAAATCATTGCATCTGATTAGATTTGTCCGAATGTGTCCGAACGTGGGCTGACCAAAGACTTGGCACAATTAGCCCGGAAATTTTTTTGAATATCATGGCTTTCTAGCAAATAGCATGTTGAGACATTGCCAAGGCTTTACATTTTGGTTCAAATATCACGGCGTGGCGTGCATTAGTTTTCCACCAAGTTGCCGACTTCGGTGGATATCAAGCGCTGGATCTCAAGCGCTAACAATAACAGGAACTCTATAAGGGCAGCGGATCCCGACCTTTTTTGAGCTGATTTGAGTTCTTCCAAGGCATTTTCTTACGCAGATCATCATGGGTTTCGCCAGGTTCCGATCTACCTTCCGGAGGTCTTCGACCCAAGAGAATGTCACTCCTGTCACTGTGAACACAGACGAGGAAACCAAGAGAGATCTTGCTTCCGAGACTGTCGTTCCAGCAAATGCCAATGAGGAAAACCCGGAGATTCCTACCGAGGACACCCAGCGCGGTGTTCGCGATGTTGAGGCCATCACTTTGAGCTGGTCGAAGACCATGTTGATTGCGGTCTTTGTCAAGTGAGTTTTACTATGAGAGGAATGAGTCAAGCAATCATATCAGCGAACTAACAGAACTCTCCAATAGCATCTGGTTCCTCTACTTCGTCAATGCCATGCAATCCTCGATCAACTACAGCTTGATGTCCTATGTCACCAGTGACTTTGAAAGCCACTCGCTGCTGAACGTCATCTACATTGTCGCTGACGCCATGACAGCCGCAGTATACATTCCCACTGCCAAGGTCATGGATGTCTGGGGTCGTGCTGAAGGTTATCTGTGCATGACCGTTTTCGCGACTCTCGGTCTGATTATCATGGCTGCATGCCAGAACCTTCCTACATTCTGCGCCGCCTACGTCTTCTACAGCATTGGTTTCGGAGGTATGACATACTGTGTTGATGTTATCACGGCCGATATCTCTACATTGAAGAACCGAGGATTGGCGTTCGCCTTCACCTCTTCTCCCTACATTATCACTGCCTTTGCCGGCCCGAAGGCAGCTGAAAGCTTCTATGAAAAGATCAGCTGGCGTTGGGGCTTTGGTTCCTTTGCCATCATCTTCCCCATTGTGGCTGCTCCTCTCTTCTTTATTCTGAAGACCAACCTGCACAGGGCCAAGGCTGATGGTCTCCTGCACAATGAGCCAAGCGGTCGGACCATGCTCCAGAGCATCTGGCATTATACTAAGGAGTTCGATGGTAAGTTTATTCAAAAAAAAAAAAAAAACTTTGACTATTGCAAAGTACTGATCTTGAATAGCTTTTGGTGTTGTCGTCTTCTCGGTCGGCCTCACAGTCTTCCTTCTTCCATTCACCATCGCTGCTAGCGCTCCCAATGGCTGGAGCTCTGGCTATATTATTGCCATGATTGTGGTTGGCTTTGTGATGCTTATTGTCTTCTTGGTGTGGGAGATCGTCTTTGCTCCTACTCCGATGTTTGATTTCAGTCTTTTGACAGATCGGACTGTCATTGGCGCCTGTTTGCTTGACGCGACATACCAACTGTCATACTACTGCTGGAACAACTACTATACTTCCTTCTTGCAGGCAGTAAACGATCTCTCCATTTCCGAGGCTGGATACGTCAGCAACACCTTCGATGTTGTCTCCGGTGTCCTTCTGCTCGGAGTCGGTTTCATCATTCGCCGGACTGGCCGTTTCAAGTGGCTCCTCTACATTGCTGTTCCTCTCTACATTTTCGCCCAGGGTCTCATGATCTATTTCCGCCGTCCCAACCAGTCCGTCGGTTATCTTGTCATGTGCCAGATCTTCATTTCCATTGGTGGATCCGTCTTTATTATTGTTGAGCAACTCTCTATCTTGGCAGCGGTTGACCATCAGCACGTTGCTACTGTGCTTGCCCTGTTGAACGTTGTTGGTACTGTCGGTGATGCCGCTGGTTCCACTATCTGTGGTGCTATCTGGACCAACACCTTCTATAAGGCCTTGCAGACCAGGCTCCCGTCATCTGCCATGGGCGATATTGATTCAATCTACGAGGACCTTACCGTCCAGCTGAGCTACCCTGTTGGATCTCCTACCAGATTGGCAATTCAATCTGCCTATGGCTACTCCCAGACAAGAATGCTTGCTGCTGGAACTGGATTGATGGGGCTTTGCATCTTCTGGACCCTCATGATCAGAAACATTGACCTAAACAAGGTCAAGCAGGTCAAGGGTGTTGTCTTCTAAGGTGCTGGGATTCGCCTTTGCTGATGCTTCTTTTAAAAAATGGGCGTTGGTTCATTCTCTCCCCAATTCTCGCCAATCTATTGGTGTTTATTTAAAATTTATCGATGGCCTGGAGGCTGTTATCATACATCTTTATGCGTTTATTATATTATTTAATGTTACGCATATAACGATCTGAATGCAGAATGTTATAAACATGAATACTCAATTCTCCTTTGCTGTAAAAAGAAGCCTCGTCAATTCCCGTAGCCGCCATTCAGCCGCACTGAGGCTTGCGTGGACATGCAGTGTGACACGCCAGCTCAATTCTGTTCTGATAATGCCAAGTCCGTAAATCCTACGAGACGCGACAACCCTCCGCTCTGTGGTGTGCCAAGGCTCGGATTCGTAGCCTATGTAGGAATTCCCCTGACCTTTAACTCGCTAGGAATAACCATTATTAACCATTATAAATTGGCCTCCTAATTCAGCGAATTGGTAAAGCAATACCCCCCGTTAAATTACACAAATATACCACTAGTATGTAATGTACAAAGTCCAGATACAGTCGCCACGCATCCCAAACGGGCAAGTAGGGACCTCAGTAGATACCTACCTTTGTCGGTCACAAAGTCCGGTGTCTTCATTAAGATCTAGGCAGAATTCCGACCTCCAAAAAGCTCCACTCCGCAGTGGGACCAGGGATTGAAAGGATCAGATAACCTTTGTTTCTCCTGTTTGCGCATCTTCTCCTCGTTTGCTCGACATTCCGAGACAATCGGGATTTCTTTCGGGTCAAACCGCCTACCCTGCCACGCGTGGTTGACAGGGCTGATCCACTGCTTTATTTTCTTTTAGTCGATGGTTAAGCATGTCGGCCAGGTTTGACCGGATCGTCTTGGAACATTCCATCTAGGGAATCGTCGGCCGAGCTGTTTCAACCTTTTCCGCGGCTGCATGCATTGATGAACGTTCCATCAAGTGCATATAGTTACTAGTATAATTGCTCTGGAAACAAGTTGAACAGCATGGCATGTGCCAAATTTTCTAGATCATCTGATTAGATTGGGCTGGTACCGGTGTCCACCGTGGCGTTATTATCTGATCCGGTACCTTTCAATTTCCGTGTCTCGGGCTGCCCAGAGAAAGGTGATTTCGGCCCATGGTTTTGTATGAGGTACCGGTCTGTTGTCTCATTTACACGTTTGATGACATGTTTAGGTTGAAATATTATGTGCCATGTAGACCGTATGCTAGGCAAAGCGGCTGCTCGTGCTCAATAGAACGGACAAGGTTGTCCTTGATTACACTGAATTGGATTTGTATCAAATATAGGCTAGTGCTAGATATTGGTTTCCGATATTGACGCATAATATCTGGTGTCAATTCTTCACCCTGTGAGGTGAATTCTATACCGTACTCTTGAACATCTTCTACAATCATGGCTGTGCTTTGAGAAAGAGTTACTACTTTACTTTCTACTTTCATATACTCCGATGGTCATTGACTGGGTGTGAAGGCATTACAAACCCTTGAGCAGGTGGGAAAGCAGGCATTAAGTTTGTTTGGCATGTTTGCATGTCTTGTCTTGGCCTGTAGTCACGTGGCCCATGGTCACGTGTGGAGCGAGCCCTGAAAACAACACAACCTATATGAACGAATATAGGCCCCGTCCGCGCCCATAACGTCTACTATAGGGAATCAATGGCTCTAAAAGTCACAGATAGCTTAGCTAGGTTCTGATTTAAGATAATTAATTCTTTTCCGGGTCTCATCCATTGTTTCTTTGTCCCTTCTCGTAACCTTTCATCCTATCTTCTTCACTCTTCTCATCTCTTTCTCCATCCCATACTTGGCATTTGCCCCATCTGCTATAATCACGTTGATTACACGAACTGTGTATCTTCGTGTCTCCTAACACTAGACCTGTCTGATTGATCTCTTCACAGCCCTACTCAATTGTCTACGGTTCCGTGAGTACACCATAGTTCATCTGAAGCAAGCCTGGCCCAGAAGATGACCTTAATGCTCATCCCTAGGTGAAATATCATCTCACGCTGGTCATCGCTGTCTATCACACAAGATTGGCTATCCTACAACGTTCAAAGCCCTTCCTCTCATCAGCCTGGCAATCTGCTCAAAGCCAAGAGCTTTAGAACCAACACACCCTTCTTTGTCCATCAGACAAAGGCGCATACCCTCGTTTGCATTAGGCCAAAGGTCTTGATTACAACCATCTATTGGGGTAAGTGCACTCTAGTCTAGAGCCCTAATTGCAAAGGCTCAAAGCTCATCCTTTCCATTCATTAAGCGCGATAATCAAGATTCGAACCATAAAGCCCGAGCCCCAAAACCCGCAACTTTGAAGCCCTAGCATATCTCAGCCAATCTGTTCGATACCTACCACCGCCTTAAGATGTCTCCCTCGGAGGTTCGCCCTTCGGCAAAAGAGCTAGGTGACAATGGGTTTCCCAGCACCTCTGATGCGGCCCCTGCCTCGAACATTCTCGTGCCTACTCATGGAAAAGCTACTTCTGCTGTTTTCAATCACAGCCAGCTCCCAGAATACACCACAATAATCGAGCCCGTCAGGGACAGCGAGTGCCACCCTCTGCCTTTTGAGGCCCCTGTACCACACCCTGTGTCTTCCGAGCCTCTTTCTCCTGTCCACAATCCTCTGTTTTCTGAGGCCCATCAGCCGCTTGAGTCTTCTTCTCCTGATTCTGTCGAACAGCTAAACACTTACCGTCTCGTCTCATCAACCCAATCTACTACCGTTCCTGGCTTGACCCCTGCCAGAGATATTCAACCTGACAGAACCACCGTCAATCCCAAATACGGTGTGACACAGTTCGCATGGGATCAAATCGAATCGCATCTCCGTTTCATAGAGCGCATTACCAATATCAGAGCTGAACGAATTATCCCCAACATCAACATGCCGGACACTAATTCCGAGGTATTCGACTTGTATTACTCACTGGCCGAGCAGTGCGAGGCACTCGAGATTGAGATTGGCCTGCCTCCCTCCCCCTCGCTCCCGGAGAATACACAATCTGTGGCCAAATTGCCTGCGATAGCCCGTCTCAACTTCTACCGGGAGGAGTTGGGCCGCGAAAAGATTGGTAGTCCCCCTTCGGCCTGTGACTTCCATAGAGGTCCCCGCCCCGACTCGATTAAAGTGCGTGGTTTGCACTTTTTGGGGCAATATTGCAAGCGGCTCACGGACGTCAAGGAGGCCTTCGATGAAGAAGCAGAGGGGTTGCGCGCGTGTGTGATCAAGAAATACGAGGCGGAACGCGACGACGTAAGTTATGATATGCCTGGCTCCAAATGAGATTCTCATGCTAACTCTGATAAAGCCAAACAACAGCACAGTCTCCGACATTAATACCGAATTGATCGATGCCCTTGTTGCCAAAGTTGAGAGGGGCGAGGCAACCACCGTGAGGCTGCCTCAAAAGAAGAAGAAACGCAACAAGGGCATCAAGAAGCGAAGGAAGCCGGCCAAGAAGGGCAACCAGGAAAACACCCCTGGTCTGCCACCTCAGTGTCAGCCCCAGTTCGAATCCGAGGCGGCAGCTCCTTGTGAGTTTGACACTGAGGTGGCTGTGGAGCCAAAAGAAAAGGCTCTAAAGGAGAAGAACAACAGAAAGGGTGGCAAGGCGGCCAAGGTCATGGCTGCTCAGGTGCGAGTTGGTCGTTACCTTACTCAAGAGTCATCTGAGGCCGAGACTGACTCATTTGCTGCCGACACTGAGCATCTGAGTAAGGCCAAATCAATGGCCATGGTCAGCGAAGAAAAGCTTGGGGCTCCCGTTCCGGGAAACTTCATTTACGAGTCAGACACAGACTCCAGGGCTGTGATCCCAACCCCAGGCTCTTCTGAGCCATTCACGGGCCTTGCTGCCCTTTCTCAAGAGATCTCAACAGACCCTCCACTCCCTCTTCCGGCTGGCAGACCGTCCACCGGAAGAAGGTCCACCGGAAGATCTTCCCTCGAGAGAGATTCCACCACAGTAAGTTGCAGGAGAGGATGCGCCGCGCAGAGCAGAACTAGAAGAAACATGGCAAACTCGAGCGTGCTTTAGTGTCCTCTGTTTCCATCGGCAACGCCGAAAAGATGATCGGCGCCGAGGACCCAACCCCTTCCCCTCCAACGCCTCCAATCCCCACTCCTCCCCAAAAGCTCGCGGCCTTGTCAACCGCCGAGTCTGGCAGCGCAAACCCTGACGAGATAGACGCAGACGCCCGGGGAATTGAGGGTGAGACCGCAACTTGGTCTCTCCTCATGAACCCGTGGGCCCGGCCAGACACCGCGGCCGGCCGTCTGCTTGATGCCCAGTACCACCGGTCTGGGGTCCAAATTGTCTCATCGGAGGAAGCTGTCACCCGGGAGGAACGCCTCACCGAGCCGGAGGGCTCGTGTCGCGCTTCGGGATCCGGTATGTGCGGTTTCTACCGTGCATGCTGCTACCACCGGCAACGGGATCTGTGCGGCTGTCCGCCAGGCAGATCTTGTTGCTGTCTTCACCACGCAGGAGACTGCTGTCACTGCCTTGGCACTCATGGCGCCTCGGCGGAGCTGTTGAGTGAGCACCCTGATGGGGCACTCATTCGCCCCTGGGTTCCCCGTCAGGGTTCCCTGGGTAGTAACACTGTTCCTTTGCGTTCGAGGGCACTTACTAGCTAATTTAGCTGGTAGGTAGTGATAGGGAGTTGCTGTGGGTGGTGGGAGTGGAGACCGATGGGGCTTCTTTCTTTCTACTCAATTTCTGTTTCTTGGTGCCCCGACAACCCCCCCCCCCCCCCCCCAATGTGTTGCCAGTCCCTGGTCACCTCCCGCTTGACTCCCATCAGGGTGGTGAGGTGGCTTGGGACTGACTTATGTATGACAAGAAAACAAGAAGAAAGAAAAAGAGGAATAATATATTAAAAAGAAAATCCCAGTGTAGAGGACAGATAGTAGCGTAGATGTGTAGAGATAGAAGTAGGTATAAGTGTATATTGAAGGTAAAAAGCTTCGTTAAATAAGAGGTTATGCCTGTCAATCGAACATACAGACAAAAATCGTAAACAATTACTCAAACAAAACGCGGCAAATTTCAAGAAGGCTTGCTCGGAGGGGAAGGGGGAAGTCAACGAATCCATGGATATGACCTATGCTGAAGCTATTGGCAAGGCTTTCTGTTAGAGATTGAAGAATGTATCATCAGCTTCATAGTGATATCTCGGGCAACGCGTGGACTCAGGAACAGTGGACTCCGGGCGTGGGTGGCTTGAGGTCCAGTTGTTATGCCCGAGCAAATTGTAGCATAGTGTTTGAGACGTGGTTAGTGACTGGCTCTGTCTCGTGTCACGAATTAAGTGCAGCTTTGAGGAAGGGGGTCGCGGTGCCATATTGAGGCGTTCTTTTTTTAAAGTTCTCGACGAGTTAGAGAAGCCCGGGACAATGGTGGATAGCTTCTAACTCTAGGAGGGACAATGAGATCACGTAAATTCAATCTATGGTGCCTTGTTCCTTCTAGATCTTTCTAGCAATATCGTCTTTCGCGGCGGCATAGAGGTCCGGGATACCGTATAACACGATATATATCGCGCTAGGTAGAATGTTGGCCGTGACCTACTCGGCGCCAATCTAAGTATCTCGGTTAGCAAGCATCCATGTGGTCACCGATAGCTTCCCTCTCTTGTCGATTCTAGAAGGAAGAGGCCCACTACCCTCTATATAATTGATCGATATCTAAAGCCGGATCTTCTTGCCACGACGGAATAGATAGGCCCACACTAGTAGCTATTTCTCCGCCACTGTCCAATCAACACTAGTAACTTCAAAGTGTTTGTCAATACTCCTGTAGGAGTTCACCAATAACACTATATCAGTATTATCTAGTCTCACCCGTCGGCCACGCGCTATCTTCCGTCGTAGAATATTACTTGCGTCCTCTTTTATCTAACCCTAATAGGATGTAGGCTTTTAGGTCAGGTCTTCTTTTGTATCATTAACCATAACTCGATTGTTCAATTTAACCCGCCACTCGATTTAATGGTGGATACAGTCCAGAGATTGTATATCCTATGCACTTCTATCCGTACGTTCAACCATATGATCACAACTTAGCCGGTCGGACGGATGTTGATACAAGGAAGGTGACCATTCAGCAACTATGTCCTCAAGATCGGGTGAAGGGCAGATTACTGATAGCGTCCATTCGCGGTCTAGGTAACCGGGGGAAGGGGCACATGAGGTAGTCCCTTCCCAGAGATCAGGCAGCTTAGGTCGGTAAGTATCATCATCGTTAAAAGGAGTGTAATCCCCCCAAGGCAGAAGGTGCCACTAAGGAGTTTATTAACCTCGTAGCTCTCCGGCTCTGTTTAAAGCGAGAGTATCATGAAGGTGGTAAAGAACTATCTGTTGAAGTTATAAATATCCTATACCTCGTGCATAAAAGGTCCTTGACCCTGCAGGATCGACAATATGTCGTCTCGCATTTTTCTGATTTAGCTACATAGGCTTGCCCCCTCGCCCTTTAGACTCGACAGCCCATTTTTGAAGCTTTACGATTGTTAGAGAGTGGAAGTAGTGTTATCCTTGGTCTTCTTATGGATGACCGGGGTGACATGTCTAGAATAAAAGATGCCTACCCTGCCTGATGTGCAGACTTCGGACCAATGCTTTCTTTGTTTAGTGGACTCGATCTTGAGTTGATGCTTTTTGTTTGATGGACTCGACTGTTGATTTGCTGAGTCGCTGGTCTCGACTTCGGCCTCTTTCATGCATAGACAATACTTTGCTACAGTATTTGCACATGCCTTCTCTTCCTTTAAACTCCTCCCTTGAAGCTCCTCGTGGGCTTTGCTCTGCCCTGTTCCGTACACAATATCTATTCCAACCAATCAACCATAGCTTCAAGTCCATCAATAACGCAGCATTCCATCATCAATCCAGTCTACTTTCACTACAAAAAGCAAAATTGATATTCATGAAATCATAAATTTTCCTGGTATCTATAGCAACAAAACAAATACACCGATCTACCTTCTCTCTATGTACGAAGGCTCTATCAACCAGCGCTGCAATCATGTACAAAAACCCGCTTACTGCTTATCGGGGAAACCAAAGTTAACACCGAAGGGAGGGAATACAAAGCGCTGAAACTTGTTCTCGGCCTTGAGCTGCTCGATGTACTTCTGGATGGTAGCCAGATCCTCGGCGTCGAGTTTGATCAGGTCGGCGCGGTTGGCTTCGATGCGGGCTGGGGTGACAGACTTGGCCAGGACGGAGGAGCCACGAGCGACTGGGATTTTGTTAGTTCCCTCTTCATACGGAAACAGTTGTTTATAACTTACTGTGCCAGCTGAGCAGAACAGTAGCGGGGGTAACACCACGCTTGTTGGCGACCGCGACGATGGGCTCGGCAGTGAAGAGGGGGCTGCCAGTGCTGCCAAGAGGGCTGTAAGCAGTGATATGGATCCCCTTCTGTTTGCAGAAGTCGACAATCTCTTGCTGAGGCAGCGAGGGGTGGTTCTCGATCTGGTTGGCAGCGGGGACAATGGTGGCCTGGGGGAGGAGCTCCTCCAGGTACTGGACACTGTAGTTGGAGACACCAATGGCCTTGACCTTGCTGGTGCCAATGAGCTTCTCCATGCTCTTCCACGTGGTGACGTGCGAGTGGGAGTGGTCAATGTCCCGCGATCCATCGGGAAGCTTGGGGAAGATGTTGTGGTTGCCTGTGCGGGGTTTGTTTAGTTCATTCGATCTATATACAATTCCGTGCACGGAACTCACCCTTGGGGTTCATGGCCAGGGGCCAGTGCATCAGGTAGAGGTCAACGTAGTCGAGTCCGAGATCAGACAGACTCTGCTGCAGACCCTCCTCGACGCGGGCGTGAAACGAGCACCACAACTTGGTGGTGACGAACAGGTCCTCGCGCTTGACGATACCGGAGTCGATGGCCTCCTTGATACCCTGACCGACCTCGTTTTCGTTACCGTAACAGAGAGCAGCGTCAATGTGACGATATCCAACCTTGATAGCGTGAGCCACGGCACGCGCGACTTCGCCGGGCTGGGACTGCCATGTTCCCAGGCCGAGAGCAGGGATCTCAGCGCCGGTGTTGAGCTTGAAACGAGTATCGCAGGCAGCCATTGTGTAAGATTCGTAGAAAGAAGATTATTTACAGAAGAAGATTACAACTTCCAATCGAAAGTAAATGAGGAACTCGTTACATAGACACCCCGAGGTCCCCCACGCGGGGCACTTCAACCCCCCGCGTCGGGGTTTTTCCATCAATCACCGGGATCCAGTTGTGAAAGCGATGGAAATCTCTGGAATTCAGGTTCTCATAATAGAAAGACGTTTGGTCGGTAACCCAGTCGGCTCTCCAAACTCCAACAAGTCATTGTAGCGAGGGGCTATACTCCCATGAAAAACAGATGACTCAGCACGGAAACTGGCTTCCTCGAAGCCTTCGATTTCCTCGACTTTTCTCCGCTTGACATCAGCGCCCACTTTTTTGGCTCAACTTGCTGGTGGCGGCCAATGAGAACTCGAGATGAACTGCCCAAGTCAGATCTTCATCGGCGCGGAAGCCAGAATCCGATGTTTCACAGGATACTCGTTTAGGGCACATCATGGGTTTTTCTGGGGAAAGACTTCGGCGCACAATCTCGAAGATCGGAATTCTAGACGCGATATCCTAACCTGGCATCTTTCCCCGTGTATATAGTCTTTGATTCCTATATATACGTCTATCAGCCAGGGATAAATCATCTTCTACACAACCCTTCAGATTACCTAGACTGACAATCATTGCAATCTCATTTGACAAGGACTGCATCATTATTATTCAAGAGAAGCATATCAGCTTCTTCATTTATCCTTCACAATGGCACCAGTCGCCGTTTCACCTCAGGCCTCCCCCATCTTCAACAAGCGGGACGGCCAGGCACTCGAGGACCTCTCCGATGCCATCGACGAGGTCAATGTCCTTAAGGACACCCGAAAGCGTGAGGCTGAGAAGAAGATCGCTGAAGAGAAGGGTCTATACGAAGAGTCCGAGTTCGACAAGGAGAAGGACAAGACCAACTTCCGCCAGTACGAAGACGCCTGCGATCGCGTCAAGAACTTCTACCAGGAGCAGCACACCAAGCAGACAGTGGCCTACAACCTGCGTGCCCGCCACGCCTTCCACAGCAAGACTCGCGCAGAGATGACCGTCTGGGAAGCCATGGAGAAGCTCAACACCCTAATCGATGAGTCCGACCCCGACACCAGCCTCTCCCAGATCGAGCACCTGCTCCAATCCGCCGAGGCCATCCGCCGCGACGGCAAGCCCCGCTGGATGCAGCTGACCGGCCTGATTCACGATCTGGGTAAGCTCCTCTTCTTCTTCGACGCTGACGGCCAGTGGGATGTCGTCGGTGACACCTTCCCCGTCGGCTGTGGCTTTGACGAGAAGATCATCTACGGCCGCGAGTCGTTCAAGGGCAACGAGGACTTTGGGCACCCCATCTACGACACCAAGTTCGGTATTTACACTCCCGGCTGCGGTCTCGACAAGGTCATGCTCTCTTGGGGTCACGATGAGTACCTCTACCACATCGCGAAGGAGCAGTCCACTCTCCCCGCTGAGGCGCTTGCCATGATCCGATACCACTCGTTCTACCCCTGGCACAGTGCTGGCGCATACCACGAGCTGATGGATGACCATGACCGTGATATGCTCCGTGCTGTTAAGGCTTTCAACCCGTATGACTTGTACAGCAAGAGCGATGGTATTCCCAGTGTTGAGGAGCTGAAGCCTTACTACATGGAGCTCATCAATGAGTACTTCCCTACTAAGGTTCTCAAGTGGTAGATTCGAGACTACAGCTTGATGCATATTTGTTCTACCCATTTTGTTTTTATGAGATTCCCCTGATTACCTTTTGGTACATACTATCACGACACGAATAAGCGTTGATTTTTAGTGTCATTCTTTCAGGCAATATACTTTCAAGTAGTGGTTATATATATAATTTTACCCTCTCATTCGGAGGATGCATTATTTTTTGAGAGTAAACTCGGTCTAAGATGTTTCACTCAGTTCTATCTTCTATTGTAGCAGTCGAATTCTTTCGCATCCTCAAATCCGGACAGTAAATTCTCTTCTTATCCCGAGGAACATGTCCACACTGGCCTTCTTGAAAGATAGGCAAATGAAAATGACATATTACCTTCTAATGATTGGTCCATTATTGTGCCTATGTCATAGGGTTGGCAGAGTAGGCGATACTGTGACAGTTTCAAAGGTATAGAAGTATCCAATCATCTCTTATATTGTCTCCAACACAACCCTCTACAACTTCAAATTGCTAGAATGATACAAAATCCAATCAAAAGCCAGCCTATCTGCAAAGTCCTCCACTCAACATTTACAAGCGAGCAAGTTCACACCTCTCACCTTTCTCATCAAAGAAGATCTTCTTCTGAGTAATAAGCGACTCCTGCAACGCAGCCCCAATACGAACAGCAGTAACAGCAGAAAGCAAATCAACTGGAACAGGAGTATCATCCAAACAAGCAGCCGAGAACTCCTGAGCCTCCGTAACAAAAGCATACTCAAAGCGATCATAATAAGTCTGCGGAATCTCGCGACGAATACCAGTGCCATCATAAACATTAACATGATTCAGCGCCGGCTGCGTATTAACCGCCAGCTTCCCCTTGGTACCAATAATCTCGGTAACATCCTCCTGACCGGCCGCCATCATGCGCGAAGCATAAAAGAACGCAATGCGCCCATCATAGAACTCAACCAGTCCAACCGCGTTATCGCGGTCATTGTGTTTGCGCAGATCGGGCTCGACGGCTGTTATGCCTACCGCCGAAACAGATTTGATTTTGCTTTCTTTGCCGAAGAACCAGAGGGCTAGGTCTATGTCGTGGATTGAGCAGTCGACGAAGATTCCGCCGCTGAATTCGGCGTACGCGACGAAGAAGCCGCTTGGGTCTAGTTTGTCACAGGTTTGGCTGCGGAGGACCGAGGGGACGCCGATTGTGCCGGCTTGCATCTTTGCGTAGGCGTCTCGGTAGGATTTGTCGAAGCGTCTTGAGAAGCCGCACATTACTTTTAGGTGTGGCTTTTTGGTTGCGGCGTCGATTACAGATTGGGACTGTTTGGTGTTTGGTGTTAGTTGTGTTTGGTTGGTTGGGATTGAGATGTATAGATCGGGTGGGTCGAGAGATGGGGAGGCAATCGACTTACAACTTCCACACTGGTGGAAATGGGCTTCTCGCAAAGGACATGCTTGTCAGCTGCGATCGCTTTGAGTGCCTGTTCGGCGTGCACGGCAGTGGCCGAAGCGACAACCACGGCCACCAGGCCCTCGTGCTTGAGCATGTCGTCGTAGTTCTGGTACAGTCGGACGCCGAATGGCTCGAGATGGGTCTTGGCCCATTCGAGCTCAACAAGGTCCGGGGAGCTGGCAGCGACGAGTTCAGCTCGAGGAGTACGTTCAAGGAAGTTGAGGGCATGGCGCTTGCCCATGCGGCCAAGACCGGCACAGCCAATTTTCAATTTGTGAGCAGACATTATGTAGAATTGACTGAAAAAAAAGAGTTGCAGGGCCAATTGTATGAGCAGAAATGAAGCTCTTATAGAGAAAGGTCAAGACTAAATACGGAGGCCAGTCTCCGAATGGTCTCCGCGTGGGGTCGGAAAGTGAGTTCCAGCCAACCCAATGAATTATTACATGCAGAATATTACTCTTTCTTCGAGTCCCGACGTGCCTTACGTTTCGCTATCACCTCAACGGGGTCGGTGTATCCATCGCCTCTCATCCAGGAAAGACCCTTGCGCACACCGCCACCTTGCACGGCTTCGGGGTTGGCCTCGAGGATGGAGCCCATCATCGCCCAAGATAGGACAAAGAGCAACAGCTCACCGCCTCTTCGACCCTTCCACAGTCCGCGCTTGACGCCCGTCTTGTACGCAGAATCAACAGCGGCGCGGAAGAAATAGAGGAAGGTGCTGCGGCTGTTGCCCAGGAACAGGAATGGCAGACCGCCAAGCGCTCCGCTGAGGAAGAAGCGCTTGGTAGGGAGTGTAGAGCGAGGGAGCTTACTGTTCAAGAGACAGACACTGCCCCAGGCTGATCCAATGGCGACAGAGACGATAGCGGTCATCTTAATGATGCGCTTCGACATGCTGTTGAGTGAAGTCATGGGCTGAGACAGAATGGTCTTGAGCTTGGGGATTGAGAGGGCTAGAGTAATAGTCGTTAGGAACCGGGCAAGCAGCGGCACAGAAAGAAGGATGTGATGCAGGAACGCTGTGCCACAGTTCGGGAGGTTCGGGTGTAAAAGGGCGCATGATAGATTCGAAATTGCAGGATGTGCTGGACCAGTGATGGGAGAAATGGACGACACTGATGAAGGCAAGGTGTTGGGGTCGCCAGGGTGTAGAATTGGAGAAACGAATGCCCTGTATCATATTAGCAACTTCAACGCCCTCGTAGAAAGAAGATAAGACCTACGGCCAGCGGAGATCTGCAATAGATGCGAGGGAGTTCACAATCTCCTCCTTCTCAGGCCATGCGATGTCACTCGGGAGCGCATCAGGTCGAGTCTGAATGTAGCTCGGTGAGAGCCTAATAATAACATTTCCGAACCACTGCGAACACAAATTAGCGATCGAAATATAGTCCAGCATTCTCCGACCACTAACCTTGGGTGTAGTCTCCCGATCAAAGATGAATGCATGGAAGAGCTGCGCAAACGACACAGGCATCAATAACCAACTACCAAACCACCACGGGCGCTTATCCAACCAGCCCTTGGAATCCAAAGCATTAAACAAGAACTCCAAGCAGCGAGTACTAGAGTAGATAGCCGCTGACAGACGCAACTGGTCCTGCGGACAGATCCCCAAGGCGAAGCCCGCAACACTGGCGCCGATAGCCGGCGCATAACGCGAGGTCAAGGCACGCGAAATACGCGGGTTCCGCTCTCTGAAGGGCTGCGCATCGTCCGTGCGGAGGTTGGCGCGCAGTCGAACAAGAAAACGGTATAGGAGGCGATGGAGGAGTAGGAGGAGGGACAGGGAGATGGAAAGACGGAACTTTGGCGAGCGAAGAAGCGGAGTGCGGTCCTTCTTCCTGTAAATGAAATTGATTAGTACATTTGCTGTATAGCACCTGCAGAATCAGGCTTGGGATATAGTCGGATCATACTGTGGAGCGCCAGTGAAACGACCGATAAGCAGCCCACCCAGCTTCAACGCGATTCCAGAACCAACGAATACACGCAGCGATGCGCGAACAGCAGATTCGCTGTGTCTGTTTCTGGGACGAGCGATCGCATCGTATCGCGATGGCTCAGTGAGCTTGTTTTGGAGGGAGGGGATTCGCTTCGCTGTTGCGTGCAGGAAGCGGTATTCTTTGGCGGTGAGACATACGCGGAGGATATCGCGTAGTGCTGGTGGAGGGAGGTCCAGCGCATCCCCAGGGGGAGGGTCTGCGGACATCTTGATGTGTATTGTCCTGTCAGTGGATCTGAAGTCGGGGATGAGAAGGGGTTTCGGGCGGAGAGGCGGACCTCGGCAATTCTGGGCCGCGCATGGAATGTCAGATGTGGTGAGTTACTCAGTTATATTTGTTATTGTTCTCCTGTCTCATCTTGGATGTTATGGCAACTGTTTCGCTACTTTTTCCATGGTATGATGCTAAAGGCTTCAGGCAGAAACAGTCAATATTGTGCTTTGCCCTCAAAATAAGCTATTTTGTACCATGAATAGCAACCCTTCCTTCCACAACGCCCGGACAACTACGTATACGTAGATGGACAAAGTGCCGTGTTTTGTGGCGTGAATGTGGCTCTGGCTTTTGACCGTCTCTATAATATAATGTCTACTATATAAAGTTGCTCCCATGTGTGAGTACATTCAATATATGTCATGGGCCCATCCGTAGTATAACTTCGGCCTGGACCACACCTATACCTCCTGATTAATGACAAAAGTTTAAGAGACAACGTCCCTATCCTAGGCATAATTAGGCGTACCCGAGAAACTTGATTTATAATTGTAATGGTGTAGTCTTCAGTAAGCATCGTGGAGTATTAATCAATGAAAAACGCCATGTGAGGGTCTTCACGAATTGCCAGAGTGGAGAGGTTTCGACGCCACTGAATACTTCGGGATCAGCAATTCCTCGAACCGAGCCCTAGATGATAGATTCTAGGGACTCGTCCGTGGAAACCAGTGGTGTAAGGGGGGATCAGTATGAAACACAAGCTCGAGGTAGCTCCACATGGCGTCCAACGGTGTGGATAATAGCTCTGCAACTGTCAATTACCGCCAATCCTTATTGGACAGGAAGTAGTTCTTGCCAATATGAAACGGTACTTGGTCCAGGCTTCAGAATTCACCCGATGATCTTCCGATATTTGAGTCCAGCCGACCATATTTGGGTTCGTTTACAAGCCAGGTCCTGTGGGTGTGGATGCTTCGGAGGATTACGGATTACCTGTTATAGATAGCTCTAGCACATTTAGATTAACCTCATGGATGAGATAGGATCCTCTAAGGTCCCTGGATGTGATACTGGCCTTTTCTAGGCATAGCCCTATGGATACACTATGGGGAAGGACCAACACGGCGCTGCAGTAGGCATGTATGGAGGCGTTTCATGATTAGCGCAGGGGCTCAGGAGTGAAGCTGTATCGATGGTTTAAATATCAAGTCCAATCTAGTCAAATGTGTTCCTCCATCAAGTCGTTCTTTTTTCTTATTTCCTGTTTATTGCTTTCACTGGGCTAGCCCCGAACACATTTACTCTCTTTACTTTGTCTGTTGATCAGACATTGCTTCAAAATGCGTACTTCATTCCTTTCCATGTTGGCACTCGGCGCTGCTGTCGTCTCTGCTGCTCCTGCTTCCGACATTTCTGAGCGGTCCTCCAAGACCTGCACCTTCACTTCTGCTTCCAGCGCCAAGTCTGGCCAGAAGTCCTGCTCCACCATTTACCTTGACAACATCTCCGTCCCTGCCGGTGAGACTCTGGATCTCTCTCACCTGAAGGATGGCACAAAGGTCATCTTCAAGGGTGAGACCACTTTTGGATACAAGGAGTGGAAGGGTCCCCTCATCCGTGTGGCCGGTAACAACATCGAGGTCTCCGGTGAGGAAGGCCATGTTATTAACGGTAACGGAGCCAAGTGGTGGGACGGCAAGGGAACCAACGGCGGCAAGAAGAAGCCCAAGTTCTTCTACGCCCACAAGCTCACCGACTCGAGCATCACCGGCCTGAACGTTAAGAACACACCCGTTCAGGGCTTCAGTATCCAGGCCGACAACCTGGTCCTCGACCACATCATCATCGACAACTCCGACGGTGACAGCAACGGCGGTCACAACACCGATGCCTTCGACGTCGGCGAGTCCACCTACATCACCATCAGCAACGCCAACATCAAGAACCAGGACGACTGCCTCGCTGTCAACTCCGGTGAGAACATCATCTTCACCGGCGGTACCTGCTCCGGTGGCCACGGTATCTCCATCGGCTCCGTTGGTGGCCGTGATGACAATACCGTCAGCAACGTTACCATCTCCGACTCCACTGTGATCAATTCCGACAACGGTGTCCGCATCAAGACCATCTACAAGGCCTCCGGTGAGGTCAAGGATGTCACCTTCTCCAACATCGAGCTGTCCAACATCGCCAAGTACGGTATCGTCATTGAGCAGGACTACGAGAACGGCAGTCCCACTGGCAAGCCCTCCACTGGTGTCCCCATCACCGGCCTCACTGTTGAGGAGGTCACTGGCTCCGTCAAGAGCTCTGGTACCGATGTCTACATTCTCTGCGGTGAGGGCAGCTGCTCCGACTGGACCTGGTCTGGCAACAAGGTCTCCGGCGGTAAGAAGACCAAAGAGTGCAAGAACGTTCCTTCCGGTGCTTCTTGCTAAATCAGTCCTGGTTTGGGCTCTAGATCTGTCTGCGATTGGTCAATTGTGCAGTAGACGGGATCTGGGGTCCGAGTGCCATTGTACATTAAATAGACTTTAAATGTCATAATCAATGTATCATGGCTTGTATCCCAAAAAGGACATACCCTTGTAAGATAGAATTGAAAGTGGTTGAGATGAACTTAACCTTTGAACCCTAAATCATATTGAGTTTCCAGATCCAATGACGACATCACTCCCGCACGATTAACAAATAGCTCTTATCTTCGGGGACTTAATTACCTACTCAACTACCTACTTAACCCTCTCCCCTTTCATACAACCTATATTCATTTTCAACCCAATTCAAAATGCAAGTCCTTCTTCTTGGCGGCCACGGCAAAGTTGCCCTCCACCTAACCCCACTCCTCCTCAAGCGCGCTTGGAACGTAACCAGCGTGGTACGCAACCCAGACCATGAAAGCGAGATTCTAGCCCTGGGCAAAGGCCTCAAAGGCAAATTGAATGTACTCATCTCCAGCCTGGAAGATGTGAAAAGTGCAGCGGATGCACAGAAGATCATCGACACCGTGACACCAGACTATGTGGTCTGGTCGGCTGGTAAGTTAACGATATGGTTCTACCCCTCACCGCACCGATCTCAATACTTGAGCTTCCACAACACACAAGCTAACACCCTCCAGGCGCGGGTGGCAAAGGCGGCCCAAACAGCACCATCGCAATTGACCAAGAAGCAGCCAAACACTTCCTTACAGCCTCCTTCGCAAGCAAAGGAGTAACAAAATTCCTAATGGTCTCCTACCTAGGCAGTCGCAGAAACCAACCAACGTGGATGCCTGACGACCAGTGGGCCGGACTAGTCCGCATGAACAACGAGATCCTGCCCACATATGCAAAAGCCAAGCTAGAGGCAGACGAATACATGACAGCCCTCGCAGCACAGCGCAAGCGCGACCCTACTGCGGCACCCTTCCAGGCTATTAACCTTCGGCCTGGATTGCTGAGTGAGGAGCCTGCTACGCGCAAGGTTGAGTTGGGTATCACACCTAAGGGTCGGGGCACTGTTACCCGGGAAGATGTTGCTATTGTTGCGGATGAGTTGCTTGCTAGGGCTGATACTGAGGGGTGGATTGATCTTGTTAATGGGGAGGAGGGGGTTAGTGAGGCTGTTGAACGAGTTGCTAGGGAGAGAGTTGATGCTGTTGTTGGGGAGGATGTTGAGGGGATGATTAAGCGGTTCTTTGGATAATATGCTTGAAGGTAGGTATAGTTCTCAGGCTCTGCTTTTCGGGTTATATATGATTAAAAGGGAAAACTAAATATCGATATGGATGTGAATGTGAACATTGGTGTAAATTTGTCCAGTGTATTGTCCTGCAAGATAATCTTTGGGTATCGAATCATTTACAGCTTCGCCTTAGGTGCCTTGACCAACTCCTTGAATCTCAGCTTCAGTACACGGCGGAGAATCTTCCCACTGGGGTTCTTGGGGATCTCATCCACGAATTGCACACCACCGCGCAGCTTCTTATGATGCGCGACCTTGCTATCCAGCCACTTGGCGATGTTTGCCGCTTCCTGTTGCTCAGTTGTACCTGAAGATTTGCTCTTTGCGCTACGCACAACGCAAGCCATCGGCACCTCCGAGCCATGGGCATCACTCTCAATACCAATAACAGCAACATCATCAATGGCATCATTGTCAACGAGAATACCCTCTAGTTCAGCAGGAGGGACCTGGAAGCCCTTGTACTTGATAAGCTCCTTAACACGATCGGTGATGTAGAAGTGACCCTTCGAATCCTGGTATCCGACATCACCAGTCTGGAACCAGCCATCCTCAGAAAGACAGCCCTTAGTAGCCTCAGGGTTCTGATGATAACCCAAGAAGACGTTCGGTCCCTTCAGGTACAGCTCACCAACCTCGCCGACGGGAACCTCAGTTGGCGCAGATCCGTCTTCAGGCATGGTCATGTATCTAGCTTCCATGTTGGGCATCAGGCGTCCAACAGAGCCAGTAGCTTCACGCCAGTCCTCCCATTGCTGGGAATGGGTGGTAGGACTGGTCTCGGACAGTCCGTAGCCTTGCTTGATACCGACTTTGATGCGCGAGTACACGGCCTCAACCAATTCCTGGGTGAGTGGTGCCGCGCCGGAATTCATCATTCGCAGACTTGACAAGTCGTACTTGTCTACAACTGGGTGCTTTCCAAGTAGCAAGACCACAGGCGGGACGATGTAGCTGAACGTGCAGCGGTAGTTTTGCACATGTGCACACCACCTTTCGATGTCGAACTTTTGCATCACGATCAGATGATAGCCCTTGTAAAGGGCCTGAGTGATCAAGCAGGTCAACCCTAGAAAAATAAAATCAGTGACTCGTTCTGTATACTCTTTCAATCCCAAACATACCATAAATGTGATAAAACGGCAAGAAAGCCAAAACACGATCCCCCTTCCCATCATGTCCACCATCCCAGCTCAACTTTCCACCCTCCCCAATAACCTGCTGCATAATATTGGCGACAATATTCCGATGAGACAACATAACACCCTTAGGCACACCAGTTGTCCCGGAAGAATACACCAAAAACGCAACATCCTTTTCGGGAGCAATCTTCTGCTTCCGATAACGGGTAGCACCAGAGATATTGCGCACAGAAGTGAAATGCTTAACACGGGCATTGGGGTCCCGCTCATCGCCCACAAGGAAGACATTATCAGCATCAATGCCGACCTTCTTAGCTGCCTCAACTGCAACAGATAACACAGAGGCGTGTGTGGCCACGGCCTTTGCACCAGAGTTCTTCAGCTGGAAGACTAGCTCGTCGACTGTGTAAGCCGGGTTTGCGGGTGAGATGATTCCGCCTGCCCAGAGCGTTCCCCACATCAGCACCGGTGTGTCGATTGTGTTTGGTGTGAAGAGGGCTAGCACATCGCCTTTGCGCCAGTCGTAGAGGGCTTTCAGTCCCTTGCCAAAATCTAGAGAGGCCTCTCTGAGGGATTTGTAGGTATAGTGTCGCTGGGTATCGGCATCTTGGTAGAGGACTGGAGCGCGGTGTTAATTTCAACTCCAAAAAAGAAAGATATATCTGCGCTGAGCATATCAATGCTCTAGATATGACATACTTTTATCATCCGAAAACGGCCTATCCTTGCGCTCAAACAGGAACGTCCAGAGGTCCAATTCTGGAATGTCGACTGGGGGGTAATTCGAAGAGACTGGCATATTGCGGGGAAAGAAGGCCGATCCGGGGAATGACGAGGCTCAAGAGAGTCGGCAAGCCGGTTACACGTGCGGATATTCGTCTGTGTGTATGTGAAAGAGGAGTGTGAATGTGAAAAGCAGAGGCAAGTACTTAAAGAGTGCAGCTTTCTCCGCAGTCTCTCGGTACTGGCGGACTGCCTCGGTCTATTCCTTTGATTTGAGTCTTGACCAATACCCGAAGACCGGTTCAGTTAGCACCGAAGTTAAGCATGCTTGGAGTTTTTAGTATTATTTTACTTGAAGCCAATTGGACTTGGTTATGGATTTTGAGGCACATATTGAATTACTATATAAATTCCTATTGGACCCAATTGCTTCCCCCATGGACACGTCGTTGGGATATTGGGATCTCGGCGATTTCGGCGCTTTTCAACCGTTTTTGGTTTGACAGCCTCGGCGGATTAGTAATCCGGGGGACCAAGCCAACTGGAATTGTAACGTCTCGGAGTATACGGAGTGAACGGAGTAATCAAGCGATACGTATCGATATAGCATATTGTGAAATGGCTTCTCAGTAAATATTTGTATGTGCCGCAGTGTATCAGACCCTACGTCGAACTTAGTCTACATGTTGGGCAACGAGGTCCACTAACGGCCGACGAGACAATTTACAACAACTCGTGCAGATTGAAATTTGTAGTGTCGTTAGATTAAACTCCAGCCCCAGCAACAATAAAGGAGACCGGGGAAAGAGCATCTTTTTTACCTCGCCAGGATAGACGAGGGACCGAATCAACCCAGAATGATTTCATGCCGACAAGTTCTTAAATTGAGTTGGAAACAGCTGACCCGCACTGGAAATACATGCTGAAAAAAAGAAACCAGTTGAGATTTGTGCTGAATTCCATTTTTCCATTCCAAGCACCATTTCCTCCACACGCCACTCCGAGGGGAATCGTTTGAAATCGTTTACTTGAGGGGAATGAAACGGGAAGAGTGGGTGGCACCGATACCGGGACGACCGTGCTTGACGGGCTTGCTAAAGGGCTGTTAGAATTGTGTTCAGAGTAGACAGGATTCCAGAGACACATACTAAGAGATAGAGAACTCAGCCAGGTAGTGGCCAACCATCTCGGGCTTGATCTCAACCTGGTTGAACTCCTTACCGGAGTAGATACCGACAACGGAACCGATCATCTCGGGGACGACGATCATGTCACGGAGGTGGGTCTTGACGAGGTCGGGCTTCTCGTTGGGCTTGGCCTCCTGCTTGGCCTTGCGGAGCTTCTTGATGAGACCCATGGGCTTGCGCTTCAGACCGCGGTTGAAACGTCTGCGGGCACGGGCGTGAACGACATCACGGAGCTGCTCGGAGGAGAGGTCGAGGAGCCTGTAAGATTAGGTTAGAACCGTGATTTTTTGAGAGATGGCTTGGGTCTCATTCGCAGCGCAGCATCACATATGTAACAATGTCAAAGGTGCAACCATGGTGTGATGGCAGATGGTTTTCTTCAATAGTGTGGCAAGAGGGGCTGACTGCGAATGGACTTCCAAGGATTCGAAAATTGGTGGGAACGTACTGGTCGAGGTCAATACCGCGGTAAGAAAACTTGCGGAACTGTCTTCTCTTCTTGATCTCTGTTCGGCGAAGGTTCAGTCAGTCTCTGCGATCTCGTTGTCGTGTGTGCGTATTCCCCTGTGCCCAGGTCATATTCGTCCCCCGCCAACATCAAATCCATCTCATCCTCATCTCATAGTCGACCATGCGTGCTTCCTTCTTCTTCTTCTTCTTCTTCTTCTTCTTCGTTGGGTTCTTCTGTCCTTGGGCGATAGGTTGGGAATAGGTTGATCAAAACGTACCGGCAGCCTCCTCGGCGTTCTAGATGAAAACACATTAGCATATCGCACGGTACTCGAAGGACGAAATAAAAAAACTCACGTATTCGTGGTCAGCCATTTTTGCAGAAGTTCCTTCGGGTCGCTTTTCGTTTCTGAAAAGCGAAAGGAAAATGGGTTGTCGGAAATTGTCGTGTCGCTGAGCGGTCTGCTGCTAACACACTGGGTTTGGGAGGTGGGCAGGGCTCGTTAAGCGACGGGTAGGTTCAAGCCCTATGCCCTAGTCCCGATTGGGAAAGTGTAATTTATTTCGAAACATGGGTTTGGGTCTGGTAATTTACCCATTGGTAATCTTGTTTACTTGATTGTGCTTGGCGGATGGCTGCAAATACTGTACCCAGATGGTAACTTTGGTGTATCATAATTACGCATGGTTCGTATGGAGGCTCTCAGTATCACTTGATAACAATGAGATCTACAGACATGAACGGGAAACTCTAGTCCCTGATAGATTCCCGATTCACCTACATGCGATCGCCGCAAAGAACGACTACATTTAATGGAAAAATTGAGGATCAGATAATCTGTATTGGCTAGAGCTGTTTCCAGCTCAAATATGATAAGTTATAACTGTATCAAAACAGTCGGAACGATACACATCCAAGAAGCCAGCCGGCACAAGGTATTGTCCGGACTGACGAACCAGCCAGACATCTGCTCCCCCAGGTCATGATTTTGGAGGTCGTTGAGGGTGAGACGCTTAGTCGAAGAGTCCGAATCCCATGTCCTCATCGGACTCCTCCTCAACCTTCTCCTCCTTCTTCTCCTCAGCGGGAGCAGCGGCACCACCGGCAGCGGCGGCGGCGGGAGCGGCAGCACCAGCACCACCGGAGGGAACGGAGGCGAGCTTGGTAGAGCCCTCGGAGATGAGCTGATATTAACGATTAGTATGAAATCAATGCGCTTGGTGGTGAATTTGACTAACCTCCTGGAGGTTCTTGCCCTCGAGCTCAGCGATGACCTTGTCAAGACGGTCACCCTCAGCGTCGATACCGACGGAGGAGAGGACGGACTTGATGTCGGCAGCGGAGGGGGTCTCGTTGCCGGCAAGGGCGAGGAGAAGGTAGGCAGCGAGGTACTTCATTTTGAATAGACTGATCGAATTTTGTCGTTAGAATCTGGATTTGAAGATCTGGATGCGACTGCAGGTTGCGATGCGCAGGAGTCGTCCAGCTGGCTGGCACCAGAGAAAAGAGGCGTACGTACCGTTGTAGATTATTATCTGAACAAGAGAAACAATCGATTTAACCGCAAGTTGGGCGGAGACTGCAACGTCAGGTTCTGGTTGAAGAGGTTGGTTGACGAAGGATGGACCGACTCGCCAAAATCTTAAAGGAAAAGTGTGGTGCGAGCGGGTGTGGCTGGTGCCGGCAGAACTTCTAAGCGAGCGCTGTGGCGCAGGCGGACTGACTGCCACGTGACCACTTATGCAAATGTTGGCATTTACGTAGTTGGTCGCCCGCTCTTTCTTTTCATTCAGAAAGTCTCCCCATTCAAAGCTGTCAGGGCTCACGTGCCCCCTATTGCCTCAGGTATATTGCTCTTGAGAACAATAGAGTTATAAAGCGTGCCAGAAGGAGCCAAACAGAGATCTACTCCCAGCTATCGGGCTCGGAGTCATGAAGTTACTTAGTACAAACCATCGACGGTGAGCGTGACTTCTTCTCTGTACCACTTCTACGCTATCTCCCGACTGTTCATCTCTGTTCTTAAATATCTTCATCATGAGTGTATGGCCCTTTTCCCCTTTGTTAGACCCCACTTTTTCTAATATCTAATAGTTTCTTGATTCGGTTCTCTCGTCCCTCCAGACGGGCAAACCCTCGCCCCTCCCGCCTTCCCAGGTGCCAGCTGCGCCAGCGCCATCCGCAGTTCCCAGAAGAGACGAGCGGAAGCCAAGTGCTGTGCGACAGCCAGCCCTTCCAAGTAGCAATGTCGGTGGAGGTCTGAAGCGCAAGGCCGAGGACCAGCTGGCTCGGCCAGTGAAGCCTGAAACGAAAGTGGCGAGCAAGCCCGCAATCACGAAACCCACTGCTATTGCTACCAGGCCACCTATTTCATCTGCGCCAGCCAAAGCTATGTCCAAGCCGGCCTCCACCCTTACTTCCAGGCCAGCACCAGCCAAGCCTGTATCTAAAATCGGCACATCCACGGCTACAAAAGCAGCACCTGCACCCAAGGCACCGACTAAGCCAGCAGCTGCAAGCACCCCTCCAAACCCCCGCCAAAGGGATCTTTCGCCGAGATAATGGCAAAGGCACAGGCTTTGCAAGACAAAGCCCCTGCACATGCCGGTACGTTCCGACACCAGGCGGTCCCGAAGGAAAGACTCAGCAAACTCGAGCGCAAGAAACGGGCCATGGAAGAGCAGGCTAAAGAAAAGGAAGCCCGCTCTGGAAAGAAGCCCCTACCCGGCGGTACTGGCAAGGACAAGCTTGCCGCCACAAAGCGCAGCTCCGACGGCCCATCTTACAAAGGCACGGCCAAACCTGCCAAGAAAGCACCCGAGCCGCCTACTTATCGTGGTACTGCGGGCTTGCCGTCTAGCCGCGGCGGAGGTGACCGCAGACACCAGTCCCGCGGCCGATCTCGCGCAAATGAATACCTCGGAACTGACGAAGAAGACGAGGGCGACTTCGGTGGCTATGGTGGCTATGATGATTATTACTCCGATGAATCTTCCGACATGGAGGCTGGACTAGACGATGTGGATCGCGAAGAGGCCGCGGCGTTGAAGTTCGCCAAACGGGAGGACGAGGAAGAGCTGCGCCAGGAGACAGAAGCAAGGAACGAGAAGTTGGCGCGCCAGCGGAAGCTGGCTGCTCTTGCCTCTCGGAAGCGTTAAATGATCTTTTTCTTCTTTCGATTCTATTTATTTGTAACTGACCCGTTCTCATCCCGGTTATTTTTCCTTTGTTCTGGGGGATTTTTGTACTCAGCATTGTGAGCGTGTGCGGGGCACCCATAGAGGGTGTTCTATTTTTTGCTTTGAAGCGCCATCCATAGCGGGCGTCTTGTCAATACCAACTTGTTTCTCGCGCCTATAACTTGATATATACATCTGGACATGTTATAGTGAAGTAACCGGGTTGTCCTGGCCCCACTTGGCGGTGACATCACCCGAGAGCTTCACCTCTATTCCTCCAAATATCTCTCCAGACCTAACTTCAATTTCGCACACCTGTATTTCCAACATGGAGTCTGTTCATCATGTCTCAACCACTTCAAAGATCCTCTTCAGCAAGGTGCGCAAGATTGTGCCCCCAATGCTAGAAAAATTCCACAAAGGTTGGTGCCAATGTCATCCTCGGGTTGGTGCGCGGATCCCAAGTTTGATGATCGACCATTATGCATGTATAGAAGCTGAATATCTGATCAGGACAGCTTGGCCGTGTAGCCGTCATTGGAGGCTGTGCTGAGTATGTACTCGATCCCAATAGCATCGACACCCCACTAACTAATAAGCTATACCGGCGCTCCATACTTCTCCGCCATGGCCTCCGCAAGACTTGGTGAGTCTCTCATGTTGATGCATAAAATCCCACTGATGCTGACTTTAGAAACACAGGATGTGACATGGTACGTCAAACACCAGATACCTACCTCGCCAACGACTAACGACAACCAGAGCCATGTCCTCTGCGAACGATCCGCAGCACCGGTAAGTCCAAAAATCATCTGCAGTGACCTACTTAATCTAACACACGAATAGGTTATCAAGGGCTACTCCCCAAATTTGATGGTACACCCACTACTCCCAAGCCGCGACACAATCAATGGCCATGTCTCATTCGACGCACCAACACTAGCAGCCCCAATAGTTGACATGCTATCACGACTGCACGCACTAGTCATCGGCCCAGGCCTTGGCCGAGACGAAGTCACGCTGAAGATAGTTGCCGAAGTGATCCGAGAAGCGCGTTCACGATCAATCCCGTTCGTGTTGGACGCAGACGGTTTGCTGATTGTGACTGAAAACCCGAACCTGATTAAAGGATACAAGGACTGTATTCTCACACCCAATGTCGTTGAATTTGGCCGTCTTGCCAAAGCGCTGGGTGTCAAGGTTTCCAGTCCGGCAGAGATCGCGAAGAGCGGCGGGAACGACGTGACCAACAAGGAATCCGATGCCTGTGAGCAGTTATCCCAAGCTCTTGGTGGTGTGACTATTCTCCAGAAGGGACCTCATGATGTGATTTCCAATGGGGCTACTAGTATCATTTCTGATACGAAGGGTGGCTTGAAGCGCAGTGGTGGTCAGGGAGATACCCTGACAGGATCATTGGGAACATTCCTTGCCTGGAGATTGGCTTACCATGATAAGTTGTGGGATTCTGGCGAGAAGGATAATGAGAAGGAGGCGCAGAGCAAAGAAGATGTTCAGGCGGAACTTGAGTCTGAGGATATGCGCATGTCGCCTGCGACGACGTTGCTCCTGGCCGCCTGGGCTGGAAGCAGTATTACGCGGGAATGCTCGCGCAGGGCATTTAAGGCTAAGGGGCGAAGTATGCAGGCTAGTGATCTGACTGATGAAGTGCATCATGCATTTTTGGAATTGATTGGGGAGCCGGAAGGATCGAAGACACATCTTTAGACCGCCATATTGGAGAATATTGGACAAGAATAAGAGTCTGTGTGTATCGAAGAAGCTCTAGTTAGTGGATCTGTCTGTGTGCTTGTCTAATCGAATATCTTATCTAAAGGCAAGACAAGGCAATGGATATGACATTTCCATATTTGTGATAATTTTCGTGTCCGTTAGACTAACACAAAAAAGGGTCCAGAGCCCGATTTCCATTTTCCAAGTACCCCGGTTCAATATTCCAGCCTCAGCTGCGCTTACTTTGTACGAGATGCACATACGCGAACACGGGTTTCAATATAATATGCATACCGCTCAAAAAGAAAAGAACATACAGATCTTGAAAGTATCGAAATCAATTATTCAATCTTATCAAGGTCATACCTCGTCGGTGAAAAACCATTGAGACTCCATTACTAGAGAGGCAAATCAAGAGCAGAGTACGCGAGGACCCTTGAAGACGAATCTTCCATTGACTGTCATCCTATATATGGGTCCTTCCAGATCAACTATACCAATGTCAGTTCCAATAGCACCCGTGATGAATGTGCCACGGGCACCTAGGTACAGGCGAGCGAGTTTAAAGACCTCACCGAGTGATTGTAGAATTTTACCCGAAGACTTGACTAAGGATCTGAATCCGAGTGTTACATTGGACTGTTGTCAGTGACTGGCCCGATAGAGGCGAGAGTGAGCTGTCATGTTTGATTTGAGGTCGGTCTTATGGGTCAACATGTTTTTTTTGTATGTCTAATGATGTAAACATGCTAGTCTCAACAACTTGAGAAGCAACGATACAAGGACAGAAGGCATAAAAGCGGACACATAATCATCATAGCTACATCGAAAGATTAAGAAGCCCTATATAGCGCTGACTTTGGATACCGAGTTGCATCAAGTTATCTTAAATATCGATTGAAACCACCCAAAAGCGATATACGAATATGCATACTTAAATGGTTGGTTTCGATCAGGTCTGACGGTATCACCTGTATGCAGAGCCAACATAGATTCCTGTCCTAAATGACAAGGATGTTATACAGAAAGGAGGAACAATGTATCACAGCCCTTGCTTCAATCTTGAGTACCTAGCCAGCGCCTGATTCTCGTTTGCTGAGGTCCGTCTTTCGTCAGGTTCCAGAGCCCGCAGACGGAAGAAGTAGGATTTACATGCGACGACCTATCCAGACCAGAGAACACAAAGCCGTTGAGCTCAAGCGGTGCGAGGCAAATGCAAAGACAGCACAAGGCCTTCCCCGCGTTTCTATACATAGAACTGATGAATGGTTGGCGTCGAGCTCTGGATGCGGTTAGGGCAATTCGTAGCCTGAGACATATCCCAAGGCTGAACCCCTCGGAAGCAAGAGTGAACGCCCCCCCCAAAAAAGAAAATCAAAGCCTGGTTCAAAGCAAATTTGGCCCGACACAGCTTTGGTCAATGAACACTGACAATGTCTCGAGTCCTTGTTCCAGATCTCGTATTCAGATTCGCCCCATCCCGGATCCGGTGTCACTCATCCCCGTCCTATCCGATGAACAGAAAGCAATATTGGAACCATGGAAATCCGTATATGATACGATCTTCATCTGAGATCATCAATGCTGGGACCCAAGCTGAAGATGCCCGCGTGATGTGACGCTGATGGACATTACAGGGAACAGGCCGCATAGCATATCCGCACGAAAACAAAAATAGAGGAATGCAAATGACATAGGAGCAATCAATCGTATTAAGTTAGCCCTGAAGTACAGTCTATAAAGATGACGACCTTCCCAGCAAAAGAAATCGCCATCCAACACCAATCCAGCAACAACCCACAAGGCACAAGCTTCGATCTACGATAAGTCTATATACTCAATCCCAACCTCCGACCAAAATGCACATCTCAACATTGGCCTTGGTCATCGGCACCGCTACTCTGGTTGCCGCAAACCGAAGACCCTCTCCACCTTGCGGTACCTGCAACCCTGTCTCAGGCGAGAACCGCTGTGATGTGACCACCTCGTGCATCAACACAGGAACCGCCTTCCACTGTGCCTGCCGTGCTGGTTATAAGGCGTCGCAGAATAACAATAATGTCAATGATCAGTTCCGCTTGCCGATGCCGAATTATGAGTTCCTTGTTTTCGTTCCTGAGAAGACGGCTTGCAATACTCTTTGCAACAATCCCTTCGGTATGCCGTCGGAGCTTTGTAATGAGGTTAAACTCTACAACCGGTGCCCAGCTTAAGGGGATGTAATGGAGGCCAGGGCTGGCCGTGGGTTGAACTGAAGAGGACTTGGGGATGAAAGGCAACATCTAAGTTCGAGGATGCTCCCAGACCCTGTTGTGGCGACGCCAGGGAGTCTGGTGTTTATTCTTATAGCACCATGCTGCCCCTTAAAGTGAATCGAACATGTTTGTGTGGTCGTAAACCAAGATTAAAAAGTAAATTGGATGATCTTTCGATTGACCGTACAAAATCATAACAACCGGCTCCATATTCCCAAGAATACACCCAAACACCCGTCGCCTTAAACTCAGCCTGTTTCAAATGCATCTTCAACAGGCACCAAAAGCCCGGTCGACATTCAAGAAGCAAAAAACAAGATAGATAAGCTTCAAAATTACATGCCCATATCAGCATCAACTTCGGTGAAGAGCAGACGTGTGCCGTTGCCAGTGACTTGCCAGAGCTGTGAGGTATGAAATTAGCCAAGGTACATAATGAGGTGAAGGATGAGTCAAAACTTACGTCCATAGCGGCGTACTCATCGATAGTCATGGTGAGGTTGTCCTCGGTGAAGCCACGGGCCAACACTCTTTCGCGGATACGTCTCATGCTCATCTCACCCTCCTCGCCATCACCAACGGCGGCGGCACCACTCTCCTTCATGCTACGGATCAAGTTGTAGATCTTGCTGGAAGGAGTGTTGTCGGCACCAGACTCGCCATCGTTGTACAGGGAAGCCTTGGAGATCTCAATGAGACGTAGAGCCTCATCGACATCCTCACGGACAACCACCTCACTGAAACGAAGACGAGCAAGGGCCTGAGATAGACGAACAATACCGAGCAGAGTACGAGGGGTGACGTGAGAGAACTGTCTCTTCTTGGATTCGTCGACCTTTTGACGCTTGCGCATGGCTACGTAGGCGCCAACCATGTAGTCGGAAACGTTGGAAGGTACAACAGGGCGGAATGAGCGAGCCTTGGCGATGTACTGGCGGACTTCGTGAGGAGTGAACATCACGCCAGAGTCTTCGGTCTCGGGGTGCTTGTTGTGCATGTGAACGTAGGTTACGTGGTTGGCGAGTTCCTCATCACCCTCGCGGGATGGAGTATCAAGGAGCAAGAACATCACATCGAAACGAGACAGCAAAGCTGCGGGAAGGTTGATGTTCTCAACGGGCGACAAGCGGGGGTTGTATCGACCGTACAGCGGGTTAGCTGCTGCCAGAATGGAAGTGCGAGCGTTAAGAGTGGTGTTGATTCCGGCCTTGGAAATGGAGATGGTTTGCTGCTCCATCACTTCGTGAATAGCTGTCCGGTCTGAGTCCTCCATCTTGTCAAACTCATCAATACAGCAGATTCCGTTGTCGGCAAGAACAAGAGCACCTCCCTCCAGCATCATCTCGTCGGTGACGGGATCTCTCATGACCGCAGCAGTAAGACCGACACCACTGCTTCCTCGTCCGGTAGTGTACACACCGCGAGGGGCGACCTTGGTTATGTATCGAAGCAGTTGGGATTTGGCAACACCGGGGTCACCCATCAGACAAATGTTAATGTCACCACGAATGTGCATGCCGTCACCCATCTCCTTTGTGACACCACCAATCAACAACAAGAGCAATGCCTTCTTGACATCGAGGTGTCCGTAAATTTCGGGTGCAATCGAGCGAGAAAGGTACTCGTACATGTTACCGGAACGCTGATGCTGTTCAATCTTGCGTAGAGTCCGGCTATCCATGCCCATGTCGTTGTAGGACTTCTTGTGCTGGGTAATGTGCTGAGCCTCCAGATAAGTGTCGGTAAGTAGGCCAGCGCGGATAGCTCTGAAACCGGTGTAGGGAGTGGGCAGGAAGATTCCAGCAATGTCAACGACATCGCCAGGGTTCAATTGACGAGTGAGAGCACCATGGCAGTGAATAGTCAGAGTGCGAGGAATGTGGCCTACGGGGACTTGGTCGGCCATCTCCTGGATCTTAACTTCCTGGAAGGGAACGAACTTGGAAGCACGAGTTGAGAGGAAGAGCTGTCCCTTGGAGTTGTTCTTCTTGCATTCCTCCGACAGACACTCGGACAAGGGAAGGAACTGCTTCGTGGTGACGGGCTGGAAGACTTCGCATCCACAGCGATCGCAAGTGTAGGCGTTGATTTGAACAGCGGGCTTGACATCGGAGACACGGGTGGTAATACCGCGCACAGTGATCAAGCTACCCAGGTGCTCACCACGCACGCTGCGGACGGCCATGGCTTTGGACTCAACACTAGAGCCTGAAGGGGTGAGGGGCTTGAAGTTGAGGGTGTATCTGCGAGTGAGCTCCGGGGGGAACATCGATGAGGGGTTGGCGGCAGCTTCCATGTCGGCCTCCATAGCTAGTTCCATTGTTTCGTTGCGCTTTTCACGCTGGGACATGATCACATCAAGCACATCATCTTTAAACCTGTGCGAGGGTTAGTTGGTCTGAGAGGTCGCGCCCGCCGGAACTTCACGTACGTAACATCCTTCGTTTCCCTGGGCATAATATTGTCAACCGCTTGAGAAATAACGTCGATATAGCGCTTGGTGTTCTTTTCAATTGACTCGACCAATTTGAGGTCGACATCGCCGGGAAGGGATTTTTCAAACTGTAAGAAGATAGCTGTAAGGCACTGCTCAATGAGTACGAGCTGCTGGACTCAGATACTCACCACCGCGAGATCATCCAACTCGATTAGGATGTTGGACTTGTCTCTGTTTGCGACATCTTGCAGAATCTGCATATACTTGAGCTTCGGCTCCCGGCGCCTGCTTGATCGAGTGTTGGCGCCCGTCTCATCGGCATCATCCATGAAATCATATTCATCACTGGTCCGGCCTTCGTCGATGTTCAGATCCTCCAGAGCCTCAGTCGCAGCAGCTTCCGAGGAAGATTGGAAGGTCTTGAACCCCTTCAAGAAGTCCTTAAAGCCATCCAATTGTGCAGCATAATCAACGGGGGGTGGTATTGAAGGAGCGACATTGTGCATAAACGAGGGTTAATCGCAAAGAGGTGGTGGGACGGAAGAAATAGCAGGAGGGTCTAGCGGCTTTCCGAGCCCCTACCAAAATCGCTGGCAAAACGCGAACGCGACTCAACGACGCGCTAGAATGTTGCTAGCCTATTTGGGAATAGTGGTGACGATTTCGGATTATATGTTCTTCCGCTATCACGATACGTGGTCACGTGTATGACCATCGGGCCGAGGCGAAACAGAAGCAGTGTGGAGTCCGGGGTTCGTGTCTCTCCGAGTTCACGTTCCCCTCTCCCTCTCGCCCTTTGGTATTCACGACAGTTCAGCGCTTACAGATGGCGCCCAAGAAGCCTGCGGCTACGGCCGAAGTTGCCCTCGTTCCTCTCAAGAACTGCCTCGTCAATCTACCATCGTCACTGGTCGCTCTGCTGGTCAACGCAAACACGGTCAGTCTGCCATCTGTGACGTATCAATGCCTGATTTTCAGCTAATCCTCAGCTACATCAGACTGCCCAAAATGTGATCATTGAGCTACAATATAAGTCGAACTCCGCGAAGGCCAATGGAGCTCCCCGGCAGCAGTCATGCTTCCTCGGGTGGACTGGTATGCCAAGCAAGCGTCGGCTTGCGCCGGTCGTTGGAAGAGACGGTATCAACGGTGGATATTCCAGAGAGCAGGAAGTGTCTACTATTGAGCTGGATACTACCTTCGGGCGACTTCTGGGTATCACCGAGGGGCAAAAGGTAAATTCGTATCCCTGCCCGTGCACCATCCACGTGGGGTACTAACGCCTTGCAGGTCGGACTGTTCATTCACCTCGATCCACCTATTGCGCATACTATCAACATTGAGCCATTGACACCAGAAGACTGGGATAGTAAGCCACACTTGTGAACCATTCATATGAACACACCGCTAAATCAGTATTACTATAGTTATTGAACTCCATGCGACATTCCTTGAGCTCAATCTCCTCTCACAGATCCGCGCCCTACCGAATCCTACATACAATGCTCCCCAATCAGAGCAGCACATGCACCCGCTTGCATTGCATCTATCTCCCACGTCTACTGCAAATATTGTCGTCACATCACTTACACCCGCTCCCTCAAACACGTCTCCCTTCGCCAAGATAGCACCAGATGCGGAAGTTATTGTGGCGCCGAAGGTTCGATCGAAGACAAGCAAAGGATCTTGGACTGACAGTCGGAGTGCAGCTGGTAGCAGTAGAAGAAGCGCTGGAGGCAGGAGTGGCTCAAGCACCGTACGCCCAAAGAGTGGCCGTTCCGACTCGAGCACCCGCGGCTCTCTATATTTGAGAGGCGTTGATAGGTCAGCTACCAGCCAGTGTTTCGATGCGGAAATCGAGGAGGATGCGAATGAAGGACTACGTGTTTGGGTTGACCCGGACCTGCTTGCAAGTCATGAGCTGCGCGGGGCAACTTGGGCATGTGTATCGGTGGTTCAGCCATCTGGTCTCAAGCCCCCACCTGATCCCCAGCAACAACTTGCCCAAGCCGAGCAGCAGAAATCGAATGATGCTGGGACCCCTTCAATTAAGATCGTGGCCAAGCTGCTTCCATGGGAAGAAGCCCCCGACAATCGGCATGCGGCGATGTCCACTTTATTGTGCACGGCCCTTGGCACGGAGAACATGGTCGGTGGAATCGTTCGAATTGAGGCAGCGCCCCCACAGCTGCATAGGTCGGCTGTCAAGACACTCAAGGTTTATCCATTCATCGCCGATCCCTCCAAGAAACGAGATGGTCTGAAGTTTGGTGCTGACACCGCGGCTTCTCGGGATGCCCTGGCCGAGCGGCTGAAGGTTATTTACGGAAGCACAGGGTCGGACGTTGGGCTATTCTCTGGTCCTTTGACCGACGGGATGATTTTACCGAAATCTGAGTATCATCCGTCGGTTTCTTCATTTGATGGCGCGATTATTCGCTTTGATCCTCCCTTGAAAGGGAGCTCAGATGACACAAAGACCATGTTAGGATGGCTGTTGGGCTCGGAAGCCAAGTTGAACCTCGAGGTTCAGGCTGAAATTCCCAAGCCATTAGACACGAGTTCATCTGCACTGCCTATGGAAGATCCTCTTCCAGAGACCGCTCCTGATCTTGTGGGAATTGATTCTATCATTTCTCAGTCTCTGAACAACCTGACAAAATCATCTTCCATCCTGCTCACTGGTGGTCTTGGTGCTGGAAAAACAACACTTGCTCAGCTCCTGGCCCATCGCTTAAGAAAGGACCATCTTTCCAACGTCAAGTATTTCTCTTGCCGTAAACTCGTTACCGATGAGACCAGAATTTCCAATATCAAGGAGACTCTGAACCGCCTGTTCATGTCCGCATCATGGTGCGCACGCCTCGGTGGTCAGTCGGTTGTGATTCTTGATGATTTAGACAAGCTTTGCCCGGTTGAGACTGAGTTGCAAGTGGGTGGAGACAATGGCCGCAGTCGCCAAAACAGCGAGGTTATCTGTTCTATGGTCCGAGACTATTGCTCCTTGAACTCTTCCGTCGTGCTACTGGCCACTGCTCAGGCCAAGGAGTCTCTCAATAATGTTATCATCGGTGGCCATGTTGTTCGTGAGATTATTAACATGCGTGCTCCCGATAAAGAAGGGCGCCGCAAGGTTTTGGAGAAACTCACTAGCCAAGACAAGCCTACGGAGAACATGAATGGACATGTCCGGACCACAAGCTCCTCGACACAGGACTCGTGGCTGGACCCTTCAAATCCTGGAAGTCGCCCTAGCTCTTCCGGGGGCGATGGTTTCGTCATTGGAAGGGATGTTGAGTATCTCGAGTTGGCTGGCAAGACCGACGGGTATATGCCCGGTGATCTTGTACTACTTGTTTCTCGTGCGCGTAATGAGGCTCTCATCCGCTCTGTCTCAGATCTAACAGCAACATCGAAGATGATCACTCTTGGATTAGAGGACTTTGAGAGTGCTCTGAAGGACTTTACACCAGCGTCTCTCCGCAACGTTACTCTTACTTCCTCTACAACAACGTTTGCTTCAGTTGGTGGTCTCTTCGAAACCCGAAAGACCTTATTGGAAACCCTTCAATATCCCACAAAGTACGCACCTATCTTCTCCCAATGTCCGCTGCGGTTACGGTCTGGCTTGCTTCTTTATGGATTCCCTGGATGTGGTAAGACAATGCTAGCTAGTGCAGTGGCTGGTGAGTGTGGGTTGAACTTCATCAGTGTCAAGGGTCCGGAGATTTTGAATAAATATATCGGAGCCAGTGAGAAGAGTGTTCGAGATTTGTTCGAAAGGGCACAGGCGGCTCGTCCATGTGTTCTCTTCTTCGATGAGTTCGACAGTATTGCACCTAAGCGTGGTCATGATTCCACCGGTGTGACTGATCGTGTCGTCAACCAATTGTTGACACAGATGGATGGTGCAGAAGGCCTTTCAGGTGTATATGTGTTAGCCGCAACGTCGCGGCCGGATTTGATCGATCCTGCTCTTCTGCGTCCTGGTCGTCTAGACAAGTCACTGCTTTGTGGTATGCCAACCCATGAGGACCGTGTTGATATTATTCGCTCAGTGAGCGAGAAACTTAAAATGAGCGATGAGGTTGCTTCTCGTCTGGATGAAATTGCTGCCGCAACTGAAGGATTCTCTGGAGCTGATCTGCAGGCTGTTGTGTACAACGCCCATCTAGAGGCAGTTCACGACGCTCTAGGTGACCACTCTGGCGATGGAGACAAGCCTGGTGCCAAGTCCAATGCCGCTAAGAGCTCCAACAGTGCCTCTAGCAAATCATTCATCCAGTTCCTCTACTCCTCTTCCGAGGAGGCATCTGGATCGGTCTCCATGCCACCTCCAGCAGTGATTTCAGCCAAGCTTGAGGCAATTAAGAACTCGCGTCGTCGTCAGCGCCAGCTCGAGCAAGGCCCCGCTGCTGCAAATAACGCCGCCGCGCCGGTGACTAATGGCACCGAAGCACCTGCAGACGAGCTGCGCGAAGATATCATTGTCCGCTGGGAGCACGTCGAGCGTTCTTTGGCTACCACGCGCGGTTCCCTCAGTCCAGCAGAGCGTAGACGACTCCAGGGGATCTACCGGGAGTTTGTTGTTGGCCGAAATGGCGAGATGCCTAACGGTGAACCCGGCAATGAGATTGGTGGCCGGACAAGTCTGATGTGATATATTTCACTCTGGTTTGGGGGTTATGTATATTGTAGAATAAGCATCTGTATGCTGATTTAGCTTCTTGCCTTCTATATCTGTATTTATCAATGGAGGCAAGTGGACGTCATACCATCTATATCATTTTTCTACTTTGGTGTTGTTGCGTCAACCCACATATCCAATAACCGTGAGGCTTTAGTAGATATGTCATTTGCCCCCGACTCCCGAGGTATAAACCGGTGGCATGAGGTAGTTTACCTGCATTCCAGGTTGATACATGTCAGTACTAATACTCAATGACTCTGGAGTGAAGTATATCCTGGTCATGGGTCACTTGAAAATAAATATTTCGTTTTCGCAACCATTTTCAGCCTACTTTTTGAACGTCTTTTTATACTTGGCTACATGCCCATTTGCTTCTTAGTCTATTATTAATGAATCGTGGATTAAATTTGAAATCACCTCAGTATGCCTCTATAACTATATCTCTACTTAAATCAGATATAAACTATACAAAGCCGTACACAAAAATCATGTGTGCGGCCTCTGATTAGCTGCGGGGCGACCGCCCCGAGTCGGGAAAATCGAAAAAAAAGATAATTCTTCCCCCCCTCTTCACCTCTTCCTCTTCTCTTCAAGATCCACAAGATCTCTCTAGGACTCTCTCGTCCTTTCATCTGACTCTTTTCCGGCCCTCCCTTCCCGCCGGTCCGCGCTCCCCCCGGAGTTCCTTGCTTTATTTGGAGATTTCTTGACTTTTGGTATTGGGGGATTGTTGCGCGATGGATGTCACAGCCCTCCGAGACCGCATTCAGTCTACTCTAGACGCGAATGCAGACATTCGTACCCAGGCGGAGCAGGATCTGAAATATGTATGTGCTGGAATTTGCTAGCGGGGCAGCCGTTTAACTCACACGTGGTATAGGCCGAGACACAGCCAGGGTTTATCAATGCACTCCTGGATATCCTGCAAGGCGAGCAGAACAATGCTGTTCAGCTCTCTGGTACGTCCATGACATTTTCACGCGAGCATGAAAACTGTTCACTGTCCCTCGATCGACCCCGCTCATTTTCTCCTTTACAGCTGGTGTGTATCTGAAGAACCGTATCACCCGTGGATGGGCCCCCGTCGAAGATAGTCCACAGCGTACGCCAATTCCCGAGGCCGAGAAGCCCGGTTTCAGGGAACGCCTGATCCCTGCCCTGGCGTCTACACCCCCCAATGTTCGCAACCAGCTGGTTCCCCTTTTGCAGAAGATCCTGCAAAACGACTTCCCTGAGCAGTGGCCCGGATTCCTGGACCTTACTCTTCAGCTCCTCGGCACCAATGACGCAAGTACGGTGTATGCAGGTCTACAGTGTCTATTGGCAGTCTGCCGGGTGTACAGATTCAAGGCTGGCGAGAAGAGGGAGGAGTTTGACAAGATTGTGGAGCACTCGTTCCCCCAGCTGCTCAGCATTGGATCGAAGCTCGTGGATGAGGAGAGTTTGGAGGCCGCGGAGATGCTCCGCATTGTGGTCAAGGCCTTCAAACATGCAATCTACGTGGGTTTTTCATGCGCGCAAACCGGCCAAGCATACTGACTGACTGTGGAATGTAGTTCGAGCTCTCCCCTTGTTTACAAACCCACCAGGCCACCGTGGACTGGTGCACACTATTCCTGCGAATCGTCTCGAAAACACCCCCCGCGAACGCTATGGGAGAGTCCAAGGAAGAGCGGGAAATGAACCACTGGTGGAAGTGCAAGAAGTGGTCCTACGCCAACCTAAACCGTCTATTTATCAGGTGGGATGCATCTTATCCTGTGAACTGGTCCGCAACGGCTTTTACTGACATTTGAACCCAGATACGGCAACCCAACTACAATCACAAAGTCTTCCACTCCCGACTACACACCGTACGCGAAGACCTTTATCAGCACATTCGCCCCCGAAATCCTCAAGGGATACTTGACGGAGATCGATAAGTGGGTTTCCAAGTCGCAATGGCTCAGCAACTGCGCCCTTTCATATACCCTGGTCTTTATGGAGGAGTGTGTCAAGCCTAAGGCCATGTGGGACCACCTGAAGCCGCACATGGACAATCTTATCGCCCATTTCGTCTTCCCCATCCTCTGCCAATCTGATGAGGATATTGAGCTTTTCGAAGATGATCCTTCTGAATATCTCCATCGCAAGTTGAACTTCTACGAGGAAGTGTCTGCTCCTGATGTCGCCGCTACCAACTTCCTGGTCTCCTTGACCAAGAACCGCAAGAAGCAGACTTTCTCCATCCTCACTTTTGTTAACAGCGTTGTCAGCAAGTATGAGGCCGCACCAGAAGACCAGAAGCAGCCTCGTGAGAAGGAGGGTGCTTTGAGAATGATTGGTTCTTTGGCTTCGGTCATCCTAGGCAAGAAGAGCCCCATCGCGGATCAGGTCGAGTACTTCTTCGTTCGTCACGTTTTCCCCGAGTTCCGCAGCCCCCACGGTTTCCTCCGCGCTCGTGCTTGCGATACCCTGGAGAAATTCGAGCAGCTTGACTTCAAAGACCCCAACAACCTGATGGTCATCTACCGCAACATCCTCGAGTCTATGACCGACCCCGAACTTCCCGTTCGTGTTGAGGCCGCCCTTGCTCTGCAGCCCCTTATCCGTCACGATGTTATCCGCACATCCATGCAGCAGAACATCCCCCAGATTATGCAGCAGCTTCTCAAGCTCGCTAACGAGGTCGATGTTGACGCTCTAGCCAACGTCATGGAGGACTTTGTTGAAGTCTTCTCCGCCGAGCTTACTCCCTTCGCCGTGGCCCTCAGTGAGCAGCTTCGCGATACTTATATGCGTATTGTTGGTGAGCTCCTGGAGCGCAATGCCTCCAAGGGTGGTGATGAGGATGGCTACGGTGACTTCTTGGATGACAAGAGCATTACTGCGTTGGGTGTTCTGCAGACCATTGGTACTCTCATCCTCACACTCGAGAGCACCCCCGATGTACTCCTGCACCTCGAAACTATTTTGATGCCTGTCATCAGCATCACCTTGGAGAACAAGCTATATGATCTTTACAACGAGATCTTCGAGATTATTGACAGTTGCACATTCGCCTCCAAGACCATTTCCGCTTCCATGTGGCAAGCTTTCGAACTGATTCACAAGACTTTCAAGGCTGGTGCCGAGCTCTACCTCGAGGATATGCTCCCCGCCCTTGACAACTACGTCGCCTACGGTTCCGAGATGCTGGTCCAGAACCCTGCCTACCTCAACGCCGTGGTTGGTATGGTTCAGGACATCTTCGCCGACGAGAAGGTTGGTGGTGTTGACCGCATTTGCGGCTGCAAACTTGCCGAGACCCTGATGCTTAACCTCCGTGGACACATTGACCAGTACATCCCGCTCTTCATTGAGATGGCTATGCGGGTCATTGATGCCGGCGAGGCTCGTACCAAGTCTTACCGCATTCACCTTATGGAGATGGTCATCAACGCTATTTACTATAACTCCGCTCTCAGTCTTCAGGTTCTGGAGGCCAAGGGCTGGACCAACAAGTTCTTCAGTGCTTGGTTCGCCAACATCGATAACTTCCGCCGTGTGCACGACAAGAAACTGTCGATTGCCGCCATCAGCTCGCTTCTGACCCTCCCGGCCGGTGACGTTCCCGTCAGCGTCCAGCAAGGGTGGCCAAGGCTGTTGCAGGGCGTGACGCGGCTTTTCCAGACCTTGCCTGCTGCATTGAAGCGTAAGCCTTCCTCTCCCTTAATGGACCCCCAAATTCCAAAGCTAACCAAAAATATAGAACGTGAGGATGCCACCAAGGAATCTGACTTCACTCTGGACGATGAGGATGATGACGATGACGAGGAGAATGACTGGGATGGAGATGTTGAGTGGGACGAAACCGAAGTTGAAGCCGCCCTTGACGATGATGTCGCCGACGAGAGCGCCGCCTACCTCGACTTCCTCAACCAAGAGGCACAGAAGTTCGGCTCCTTTGCCGACGATGATGACGATGATATGGACGAGGAAAGCTTGCTGGAGACCCCTCTGGACAAGGTTGAGCCATATGGCATGTTCAAGCATGTCTTGCTGAGTATGTATTCCTCCTACCGACCACTCTGTTCCACCTGCTAACACAAACCTAGACCTCCAACAAGAGCAGCCCCAGCTCTATGAGAGCCTGACCAAGGTCCTCGGCCCCGAAGAGCAACAGATCATCCAAGGCGTCTTCCACGAAGCCGACGCCAAGGCCATGGCCGCCGCCGCCAATGCCGAGGCCGCCGCTGCAGCGGGCATGCAGAACGGCAACTAAGAGAATTTATTTATGTTCCGAGTTGATGTGAATATTTTCCCATGTCAATGTCAATGTCTCGTCTCGTTTTTGGTTTTCTGTTCTCCCTGCATCTTCCTCACGAGACCATATGCCCATATCATGTCTTTCCCGCTTCGCTTCTTTAGATCATGTCCCCCCAATCGTCCTCTTCCATCTCTTGCTTCTGTTCCTCTTTTTTCTTTTCTCTTTTCTTTTTCAGTCACACTCCCGCTGATGTACTCACACAAAAGTCCTACATCCTTATCCCCCTCTTTTTCCCGTCCTAATCGCTCTTCGCTGCACAGATTCCCCAGAAGACCTCATTTATTCTCCATGATATAGTACATCAGCCATGCTACAAATGTTGGATTCAAGTTATTAGATTCTGGATTGTAGAAAGTAGAATTCCTGTCAGGTAAGGAGTTGGAATCACTTTTTTGGTCTTGGGCATTTTTCTTCGCATCGACTGCTACTTCTTAGCAACTTTTGCTATCTTCGGAGTATCTAGTTGCTAGGTACAAAAACGTGTATCTTATCCTGTCCCTGTTCTCCTCCTGAACAAGGTCTGCTGTTGCCGGACCGTCTGGTCGCTGAGTATGAAGGGGCGCCTTTTGCCAATTTGCCTAAATCCCTTTGTCAACTATGTATATCAACCCTCCATACCTTTGCCCGTTCGAATACAACGGTGGCCAAAAGCCCTTCCCCATCTCCCACGCTTGTATGGTATGCATGGCTCCCCGGACGCACTCCATGGATTTAAAAAAAAAGGTGCAAAAAGAGGCGAAAAAAAGAGGCTAACTACGGACACCAATAATGCATGAAAAGGCACCCTACCCTCACTTTGGGAACTTTGTACAGAAATTTTTCCAATACTTAATAGCAGTGTGAACAGACTTATGGTCTCTGTTGCACATTGATGTGCATGCTGTCATGGCCGCAATTAACGTCGGCAACCAAAATACATGTACCAACTTCATCACAAACTATGAATGGAAACTCCACAAGCATTACCCCGACAATTAAAGGCAGACCAAGTAAACCAAGTAAAAGACAAGATATCCAAGGTTATTGTCCGCAAGCGCTCATACAATTGGAGCACAATCCAACGGCTTCACGGTCAACGTCATCATGATGAACACAGACCGGTTTGGTAACGTCAGATGGAACTTCGGCTTCTTATAAGAGAGTGAATAGCAAGTCTGAAGCTCGACTCAATCTCACTCTACTCATCTGAACAAACCACCACTCAATTATTCAATTCAATTGAGGAAAGCACTGCTATCAAAGGTGAGTTCGTGATCTATGCGTCGTCACCCACCCCAAACGTCTACCTATCTATTATCCCTGTTTACCACAAACCCACCCAAGATCACCAACTAACACAATCCTCCTGAATCCAGCACATCCACATATCTATCCTCTCCTCAACAAAACACAAACCAATATGTCCGCTCCCCACGCCGGCCGCCAATCCCCCGACCCGGAGCGTCAAACTGGCGCCCAGCTGAACGACACTCCCGGCACTGGCAGGACAACTATGGGCAGCCACCCCTCATCCGAGCAGACTCAGAAGGGCGCCGATGAGTTCAAGTCCCATGGTCTGACGAGTAACCCCGAGCACCCGCTTGAAAAGATCGAGGCGGCGAAGTTCGCGAAGGGAAAACATGATTAAATGTATTTTACAAAGTACACGGTGGTACTATATGGGCGTGGTTTTGATTTGATTTGAATTTCGGATAATGATATCATGATAATATTGTATTTCCCATAAGGGATCAATGAATTTGTTGAATCTCTACTTGAAGCTACGGTATGCGTAACCTAGCTACGTATGAGCAAGATATTGAGATAAATAATCCAGCATGGAGTAAATTTCTATGTCCTTTCGTTTGCTCTCATTAAAATATCAAGAAGAGGTAACCAACGCAATCACAAGCTCGCTCTGGCTGTCCAGAAACAGGTTATCATCGAAGACGCGAAAAGAAAAGTCAACTATGGACATATGGCATGGCATCATAAACAAAGGGGTAATGGAAAAAGCAATAGAATAGACACGAAGGAAACACGCCCAGCGCAAGTATTCATTCATCCACCCCTACATTCTCAGCGAATCTAAGCCTTAGGTTCCTGGGGAGGAACAGCAGCGATAGACTCAGAAGGAGCAGCAGGGGTAACCGGGGCAGCGGCCTCAGCAGCAACAGGGGTAGGAATATCAGGGGCAGCAGCAGAGCCCTCTGCCTCACCACTCTTACCCTGCTTCAAGTCTGCCAAGCGACGAGCCTCAGAGTGGATATCGCGAACCTGCTTATCAGTCTGAGCGTAGAAGTCACGGATCTTCTGGCCGGTGGGGTGCTCAAGGGCCTTCTCGAAGTACGAGCTCAGGCCGTGCCAGCCGCTGGTGGCCTTGTTGCTGATCTGGTAGCTCTGGTCGAGGCCCTTGGCGCGCTCGGTGGCGTTGTACTTCTTGTCGAAGTTGCTCAGGGCGGAGGTGAAACGGCTGGTGAAGCCGTGCTTCTGGTCGAGAGCGATGGCCTTGGTGATGGCGTTATCGCTGAGGACGTAGCCATGAGCAAGGTACTCGGCGACAATGCGCGAGCGAGGCTTGTCCTCCTGCGAGATGTCAGTCTCGTCTTCCTTGGTGTCGGCCGTGGTGGCCTTGGAGCCGGCGAGCTCGTCGATGTTGTGGGCGGCTTCGACGTGCACGGCGGAGGTGCCCAATTGGGTTTGGTCCAGGAGGAGGGCGGTCTTAGCGGCTCTGTGGGTGAATTCGGTTAGAATTGTTTTCAATTCAGTTTATGATGTCGTTTCCGTTGCGATCATCTGGTTGAAACCGGGTGCGGGGTAGCTTACGCCTCCTTCTCAAAAGTCACTGACGCGGACTTGTGCGCGTCGGCCTCGGACGAGACGGGGGTGATGGACAGAGAGACAATTTTGCCACTATATGCCAACCAGTCAGTGAGTGTTCGGTGTTCGTATATGCATTCATGCAAGGTTATGCCATACCAGAAGCTGAAGAAGTCGCGAACCTCCTTCTCGGAGGTTGCGGGCGAGATGCCCGAGACATGAACAGTAGCGGGAGCAGACATTTTCAGATAGAATGAATGGTGTGGGAAAAAGAGAAGTAGAGAAATCCAGATCTCACGGAGGGGCAGTACATATAGTGATCAGAGCTACTGCGCCACATGTGACGTAGAGAGGGGCTGGCACCGCCACATCGTTAATCTGGTCTTTTTCTTTTATTTTATTGAGCTGCCTGAAGTACATCCAAGAGCTTCTCGACTATTCTGTGCTTGCCTGCAAACTCCCAGCCCGAAAGGAAAATAGCACCGCCCCCATGGACGTGTAAGAATGATATGAGATACATTGACAGCTGAATTACTCCGCAATCTCGTCAGAAGAGGGTGTTACAGAGATATCACTTGTTGATACTGATGACACTGTGTCTTTCTGCTTCTTCAGTTTTTGCTCCAGATCCTTGACACGCTTTCTGAGCTGCTCATTTTCCCGCTTGATGGATTCCAGCTCCGATCGGTGTTGAGTTGCCTCTTCAAAACGGGATAGGGATGTAGTTGGCGAATACCCCAGCTGGGTCTGCGAGATCGAGTTCCGGTGGGGATACACGCTGCTGTTGCTCTGCGAGAATGTTGATAATGACCCGATTGATGGACGGCGAGATGTCAGAGAGGGTTCTCGGCTGCGAGCAGTTCGGGAGTGCAGACTGGTCTCTCGGGAGGGCGCAATGCCCGTTACACTTGCTGTCTGGGGGACCTGACCCGCCGATGCATGTGAGCTTAAGCTTGAATTGGACCGGTGCCGTCGTGTTGAATGGGGTCGGCCCGAATTGCTCAAGGTAGGGGATGCGCGTGCATCTGGTTCATTGAATGTGGATGTAGATGATGCTGTCGATGATACGGACGCTGTCTGGTGCCGGAGTAGAGAAAGCTCGCGAGTCAATCGGTTTACCTGATAAGCACATGTCAGCATTCTGATATTATGTACTTTGGGCCTTGGTCACCCGACTCACCATTGCTTCCTGCTCCTTTTCAAGCACTAAATGTAGATCCGAAGGCGTCAGCGGCTGCGGGTGACGCAATGGCCCTTTTTTCCGTCAGCCGGAGAAGAGCATAAGCGGTGTTTTCCACTAATCACTTACCCTGTGCTGTACTTGTGATGCCATAATCACCCGTGCCTAGGGGTGGGCTCCCGGGATTCTGAAGAGAATGCAGTGTTGTATGTGGTCCTTGTACCGGTTGCCGCGGGGTCGGCGACTGTGATGCCATGTCGGGAGGAACCGTTGTGGAAGCACGCGGCCGAGTCCCAGACGGATTCACGGTGCTCAAATCGGGCGCCATAGGGGAGTATCAGATTGAAGGTCGGGTTCCGGAGCATGTAAAGCGGGCGCCAGCGAACTATAACAGTTTTAGCATTTTGATAAACAATACATAACTCCACGTCAGAGATCGGGGCTGTGATCAAAATACCCCTTGATGATTCCAGGGAGGACTCTGAAACATACCAGTAATAGAGGGGTTCCGAGCGTGGTGACGCAAAGTTGCTACTTTGTGTAGTTCGCGAAGCAGGGAGAAGGAGACGGGATCAAAAGGGTCAGAGGCGACAGAGCACTTTGGACTGAAATCATAATTTAGGCCTCTTCAGCGTTTGTTTACTGCTTCATTGGGCCGTGCGCATAAACGGGATCTACTTGTACAGGTACTGGTGCAGGTACCTACATCTGCGTACATTCCAGAGCTCCGTAGAGATGTATCTCGAGAGATTTGGGGGATCTGCACTTCAATAGCATATCACAGCAGCCGATACTTATTAAACCATTTGTGAATATGTGAGCGTCATTGTCGATCTATATTCTATGACGGAATTTGTAGACAGGAGGTTGTGGACGTGCTCGGACCCCGATGAAGAGATAATGGATGTCTCATTTGGAGCTATCGAGCAATTTGAGCCCAACAATAGAAGATCATCTGCTGTAGGGACTATTTAATGCCATTTAATATAGAGATGAACGTCCTCGCAGCAAAACACGAAGTAACGTTATTACGTTAAGCTCGACGATCGACAGGTTATGTAATCCTCCACCCAAAGGAGCAAAACAACAACTTCTAGACATCTTCCTTTGTGATATTGTGGCAGTGAAGCCCGACCTGTCAGGGTCTCAGCTTATTTCTCATATCCCACCTCAAGTGTGCATAGCCTCCACGGCCAATGAAAGCCATGGCCCTACCCAGCGACCCTGTCCCTACCCACATTCCAGCCGTTGTGAAACCGCTGGCTCCTTACGTCAAATCCCGTCAGGAAGCCCGTCAGATCCGCCAGGCATTGACATTTTATCTTCGATCGTTTATCGAATTCGACGAGAACCAATCGACTCACCTTGCTCAGTCCCACCTTGCCCTGTGTGCGCCGACTGCTGCCGTTAGAGAGGTGAAGCGCATCCCCACCAATCTCCACGGACTACGAAAGGACTACTTGAAGGCGTTAGCGGCAAATGTTGCAGCTCGAAAAGAATTTGCCGCGGCTTCTGAGAATGTTGCCTCATTGAGGAGGCAGAGGAACGAGCAAAATCGCCCTGCTGACGACGCGGATCAGCAAGAACCCGGCGTCGAACTGCGTGAATACCTTATCCTCCTACGCGATCGCCGGCGACATACCAAGCTGCAAGTCTTTCAACATTATCTCGACGAGTTGAAGACGAGAGACACGACTGAGTTGGGAGATATTGAGAGTGGAGGGGAACAACTGCCATTGCGCGAGGTTGAAGCGGGTCGCAGTGGTTCTGAAACGGGCTTGGATGAACTCGTCCACAATCTCGAGAGGGCTGTTATTCGTGCTAGAACTCAATTGGATCGCGAAAAGCTGCTTTTCGAGAAAGCCAAGGCACGGAATGCATCTCTAGAGACGTCCCAGAGTGAAGTCTCGCCAGAGGTCAAAGCTCAAGCTTTACAAAAGACCCGCGATGAGCTAGTTCAATGGGTTGAAGAACGACTAGTTAGTCAGGGAGACCCGGATGAAAGCGTACTCCAGGATCTTCCTGCGGAGGAAATTGAGCAGGTCCAGCGGGAGCTTGAGGAGCGCAAGCAGCAGATTGCAGATCAATATGCTGCATATGTACAGGCACGGCGAGATCTCCTTGATGCCGCATCCAAGGCATGCCAACCACCCACCATACCGCCCAAACCTCCATCCAGATCAACCTACAAGAACGAAATCACTACCGCGGAGGTACCACCCCCAAACCCAATTGACGTGCTTTCGTACGCAAGTGAAAACTTGGTGCCACTATCAAAGAGCCATAAGGCCCTGGCTCTCCAGAAAACCTATCTATCGGGCTTACTCTCCAAGGAAAAGTTTACGACGCTGCGAGCTCTCAACCGCCTGAGCGATGAATCCCACTTGCTCCCCGAGTATCCAATTGTTGCGCGACAGCCACGGTTCAAGCACGCAGTTTCCGCTCTCGGTTCTCGAACCCAGACGCAACCTTCAGAGCAGCCCACTGATGAAGTTCTCAGTCTCGCCGAGGCATGGGCATTTGCCTCTGATGCTGCAGCCACCAACGAGCGAGACTTTGTCCAGCAAAAAATTGCACTGGGTACTGAAGTTGCTCAAGATGCAAGCAAGACTCTTACTGATGTATACAGCATTCTTAATCAGGACCTCGATGAGGTCATGGATGGCCAGGCACGGGAGCGGGATGGGAATATCTGGGCCTCCGAAGCTTACTCCAGAGAACTGCCGAAGGCTGGTGGGTCTCGGATTGAGAAGCGACCGAAGGGTCCTTGGTCAGGATTGAATGGAAGAGTTGGTTTAGAGTGAATTGTGTGTTCCTAGTGTGCGATTCATATACCCTCTTGACTTGTTATTTTATTGTTTACTGTTTCGTTGTATTGGGTGATGTTTGGTCCCTATTATATATATGTAGAAGGCTTGGCAACCGGCAGCTAGCCGGCGCAGATTTCCCAGGATCTTCATGCAGCGAGTAAAAAAGTTAATTGCGTCCAGTGTTTGGTTATACAGTACTGAGATGAAATAGGAGTCTGTGCATCAAGTGGCTATTAAGCATGTCACTTTGGTTTGTAGTGATATTAAGCAAATGAGTTTATCTGGAGCTAACATGAGAAGGACTGGACCGTTCTGACATTCAATATAAATTAGCTAAAAAAGTACTTTTTGTTCTCACCTTGCGTTAGTCTAGACCATTGGCAGAGTTTTCATACCATTGGCCCTTAGCCTACTGTATACACCATTATTTGTGACGTTCAAGTTGAGAGATAAGGCGGAGCTCCACCCTGTAGACAGCGTTGAGGTCCGGCATCGGCATGCAGATCGTACTTGCGCACAAGCTTGGCTTTTTGCTCAAACTTCCCAATTGCTTCAGGGTCTCCAGTTGAGACATAGATGTCTATTTAGTTGTGTTTATTCTTATAAAATAGCCATAGCAACGTCATAGGAGATCAGAATGTTCCCCGAGCGTATAGTCCCCGGCTCCACCTCCAGATTGACTCATCCGAAAAAAAGAGAAAAAAAAAAATTACCACTGGCTCCCCAACAACTTTTCTTATATTAAATCTTGTATTCAAATCTTCTAGTTCAACATTCTTTCCCTCTTTCACCCTCTTTACCTCACTTTCCAAGCTCTCGTGCGCCTTTATCTGGTAAAGTGGAACCGTATACGGTGAAGGGTACGAGCCAATTAGCGAGCCAGAGGGGGAAAAAAAGAATCCCGGAAAAGTGTAGACTCACCTCCTACACATCACCCTCGCAATTGAACCGATCTTTCTCCGCTCGAGCGGTGCAGTGCGCAATGGTTCTTGCTGCTCGATGTGGCCAGGCGGCTGGCCTGCTGCGCCAGCGCTGCCTCGCTGAAGCCCGTCCCGGTCTCTCTCTGCGCGCATTCTCCTCCCAGACTCCCGTCCGCTCGACGGCCTCCGCTCTGCGTCTGCAGAAGATCCCCACGGCCCGCTCTCAGCAGCTCCGTTCTTTCTCTAGCAGCCTGCGCCGTCTTGCTGCTGAGAAGCCTCCCACTGCTGAGTCTTATCTCGCCAGTGGTGCGGTGAAGACCGGTAGCGACCTTGTTGATGTCAAGAAGGTTCTCGTCATTGGTAGTGGTGGTCTGAGTATTGGACAGGCTGGAGAATTCGATTATTCCGGTACGTTGGAATTAATTGGTGACAATTGTGCTGCACTTGAATTGTTTGCTCCTGTGTAGCTTCCCCAAGAGGGTGAATGGGGATGGTCTCACGAAGCTTTTCTGCGGGGAACACAGAGAGCTTAGAGAGTCTCCTACAAAATAACTCTTCAGAGCAGTAGCTAACCTTGGAATCTCGGTTACATAGGCTCCCAGGCTCTGAAGGCTCTCAAGGAAGCCGGCGTCCATTCGGTCCTGATCAACCCCAACATCGCGACCATCCAGACCGACCACAAGCTTGCCGACGAAGTCTACTACCTCCCGGTTACCCCCGAATATGTCACTCACGTCATTGAGCGTGAGCGTCCCGATGGTATCTTCCTGACCTTTGGTGGTCAGACCGCCCTGAACTTGGGTGTGCAGATGAACCGCATGGGTACCTTTGAGCGCTACGGTGTCAAGGTCCTTGGTACCAGCATCAAGACTCTGGAGACCAGTGAGGACCGTGACCTCTTCTCCCAGGCTCTGAACGAGATCAACATCCCCATCGCTGAGTCGACTGCTGTCGAGACTGTTGAGGACGCCCTCAAGGCCGCCGAAGAGGTTGGTTACCCCATTATCGTCCGGTCTGCCTACGCCCTCGGTGGTCTGGGCTCTGGTTTCGCTGCCAATCCCGAGGAGCTCCGTGACTTGTCTTCGCGCTCTCTGTCCCTCTCTCCCCAGATTCTCGTTGAGAAGTCCCTCAAGGGCTGGAAGGAGGTTGAGTACGAGGTCGTCCGTGATGCTAACAACAACTGTATCACCGTTTGCAATATGGAGAACTTCGACCCTCTTGGAATCCACACCGGTGACAGTATCGTTGTTGCCCCTAGTCAGACCCTGTCTGACGAGGAGTACCACATGCTCCGTACTGCTGCCATCAAGATCGTCCGTCACTTGGGTGTCGTTGGCGAGTGCAATGTTCAGTACGCTCTGCAGCCCGATGGACTCGACTACCGTGTCATTGAGGTCAACGCTCGTCTGTCTCGTTCGTCCGCTCTGGCTTCCAAGGCCACCGGTTACCCTCTGGCCTACACTGCGGCTAAGATTGGTCTGGGACACTCCCTTCCCGAGCTTCCTAACGCCGTCACCAAGACTACCACTGCCAACTTCGAGCCCAGTCTGGACTACATTGTCACCAAGATTCCCCGTTGGGATTTGAGCAAGTTCCAGCACGTCAACCGTGACATTGGTTCCGCCATGAAGTCTGTTGGTGAGGTTATGGCTATTGGCCGTACCTGGGAGGAGTCCCTCCAGAAGGCCATCCGTCAGGTCGACCCCAAGTACCTCGGTCTCCAGGGTGACCACTTCGAGGATCTTGACGAGACCCTCCGCAACCCCACCGACCGCCGCTGGTTGGCCGTTGGCCAGGCTATGCTCCACGAGGGCTACTCCGTTGACAAGGTCCACGAGTTGACCAAGATCGACAAGTGGTTCCTGTACAAGATCCAGAACATCGTTGACTGCAACAACGAGCTCAAGGAGATTGGCAGCCTCTTCGGCATCAAGCAGGAGATCATGATGAAGGCCAAGAAGCTCGGTTTCTCTGACAAGCAGATCTCTCTTCTTGTTGGTTCCACTGAGGACGATGTTCGTGCCCGCCGTAAGTCCTTCGGAATCACTCCCTGGGTTAAGAAGATCGATACCCTGGCTGCCGAGTTCCCTGCCGACACCAACTACCTCTACACCACCTACAACGCTACCTCCCACGATGTCACCTTCGATGACCACGGAACTATCATCCTTGGTAGCGGTGTGTACCGTATTGGTAGCTCCGTCGAGTTCGATTGGTGCGCTGTCAACGCTACTCTCTCCCTCCGCAACATGGGCAAGAAGACCGTGATGATCAACTACAACCCGGAGACCTACTCCACTGACTTCGATACCGCTGACAAGCTCTACTTCGAGGAGCTCAGCTACGAGCGTGTCATGGATATCTACGAGCTCGAGGCCGCTAGCGGTGTCGTTGTCTCCGTCGGTGGTCAGCTGCCTCAGAATATTGCCCTCCGTCTCCAGGAGACCGGTGGTGCTCACATTCTCGGTACCAACCCCGAGGACATTGACAAGGCTGAGGACCGTCACAAGTTCTCCCAGATCCTCGACAGCATCGGGGTCGACCAGCCCGCCTGGAAGGAGCTTACCTCCGTCACCGAGGCCGAGACCTTCGCTGAGTCTGTCGGCTACCCCGTCCTGGTTCGTCCCTCTTACGTCCTGTCCGGTGCCGCCATGAACGTCATCTACAGCGTCGACGAGCTCAAGGAGAAGCTCCTCAACGCCGCTGCCGTTTCCCCCGACCACCCGGTTGTCATCACCAAGTTCATTGAGGGTGCCGAGGAGATCGACGTTGATGCCGTCGCTTCCAACGGTAAGCTTCTGGTTCACGCCGTCTCTGAGCACGTCGAGCCCGCCGGTGTCCATTCCGGTGACGCCACCCTCGTGCTGCCCCCTGTCAACCTCGAGGAGCCCATCATGGCCCGCGTCAAGGAGATCGCCGAGAAGGTTGCTAAGGCCTGGAACATCACCGGTCCCTTCAACATGCAGATCATCAAGGCCGATATCGAGGGTGCCGAGCCCCAACTCAAGGTCATCGAGTGCAACCTGCGTGCTTCTCGTTCCTTCCCCTTTGTCAGCAAGGTCCTGGGTACCAACTTCATCGACGTCGCCACCAAGGCTCTCGTCGGTCGTGATGTCCCCGAGCCCGTTGACCTCATGAAGGAGAAGCGTGACTACCTCGCCACCAAGGTTCCCCAGTTCTCTTGGACCCGTCTGGCCGGTGCCGACCCCTTCCTCGGTGTTGAGATGTCCTCCACTGGTGAGATTGCTTGCTTCGGTAAGAACCTCGTCGAGGCCTACTGGGCCTCTCTCCAGTCCACCATGAACTTCCGCATGCCCGAGCCCGGTGAAGGTATTCTTCTCGGCGGCGACGTTACCCAGCCTCACCTCGCCAAGATTGTCGAGTACCTCAGCCCTCTCGGCTACAAGTTCTTTGCTGTCAACCCCGAAGTCAAGGCCCACATCGAGTCCACTGCCCAGGACAGCGTCTCCGTCCAGCTCATCGAGTTCCCCAAGAAGGACAAGCGTGCTCTTCGTGAGGTCTTCCAGAAGTACGACATCCGCGGCTGCTTCAACCTTGCCAAGACCCGCGGCAAGACCCAGCTTGACGAAGACTATGTTATGCGCCGCAACGCTGTCGACTTCTCTGTTCCCCTCTTTATGGAGCCCAAGGTACGTTCAGCAGTCACCATCACCACATAACAACCTGGTAAAAGAACCAAATAACTAACCAATTCTACAGACTGCCACCCTCTTCGCTCAGTGCATGAACGAGAAGCTGCCCCGCTCCGACGAGGTCCCCTCCGAGGTCCGCACCTGGTCCAACTTCACCGGTGGCAAGAAGGCACTGTAAATGATTTATTTCCTGCACAAAGTGTCGAAAAAAAGCCCCACCATGTCGAAGCAAAAAGATGGAGACAGAAAGAACCCAATCTCTCTCTCTCTCTCTTTGACCCCCTTTGATATCCCCTATGACCACGGTCCTCCCGTCATGGTTCCAATATAGGACCTATATATGTTCCACTGTATGGTGTGGTGTAGTGGGTAGGGCAAATCTTGTTGATAGAAGGCGTGCATTTCGGCTTGTTTTGGACCCGCAGATTCAGGAATGCCTTTGGTCTTTTTTCCGCCCTCTGTTGAGTTGTTGGCTGTTTCCATGTTTTTTTATTATTTATTTCCTGCGAGAGGTGGGTCTCTTGTGGCGTAGCGCTTATGTCCTATTTTCATTTTTTTTAAAAGACGAATTTTTGGTCTGTGAATGCTTCTTTTTTGAGATGTCTTTTGATGATGTAGTAAATTGGTAATAGTGATATGTATTCGAGCATCAAAAGATTATCTGGATTTTGAGTTGGGTTCTCTCTGTGATATTTAGTTATCGATTGTCTCTCGTTTCTTGCGCAAATTCTTTGTCGGTGGTCTTATCTATACGTGCCAGGTCTGTTTGTGCATCATGGCTATAAATTCACTCGACTTCCTTGTCAAACCTCATCCTGAAACCATTACTGTCGCTATATCATCATCAAAGAAACCAATAACAAGTATATACAAGAGCGGGCTACAGATTCCAGCGTCCCTTATCGACTTCGTTAGCCTCATCATTGCATAGCCTCTATATATCTATAACCATTATCATTGATATTATTATCATCATCATCATCATCATCACGGTGAGAAACCCCATCCACCAAAAACTATCAACTACATAGCTAACCGAAAACCCATGTACCACCAGTTTAAAAATCCCTTACAAACCGGCATCGAGTCTCACTACCGCAAGATCAAGTTGCAAGAGCAGTCGATCAACACCATGAACGTGAAGCCACTAAGCAGTGTCACACGAATAGGAACACATAGTTATGGCATGGGGGATTGTGACAAAGGAGATGGGAGATGTTGCTTGCAGAAGCTGACGAGGTTCAGCTCCTGGTTGAGGAGTTGCAACTGGATGTGCCAGCCTAGGGGAGGCCTTTTAGGTGTCCTTTGCCCTTTGGTGACACTATAAACCAGAGTTTCTGTGGTTATTGTCGAGTATACCATGTCAAAAAAAGGCAACCAAGGCGATTAGAAGATTCAAGATCCCCCCAAATAGAACAGATTGTTGCGATGGTCCACCGCCTCCGTAGAAGATGACTAAGAACCATCCCCCACGCTCAAGACGTCGTCTGATTCTTATATCTTCAAATTATCCTTCTAAAAAATACCAAGAATACAAAAGATGACTTCTCGTATTTCTTTGCCCTCGGTGGAAACTAGGACCGTTCCCCGACAAGCCCCCAATGGCATGGGCAACGGTCTGTTTGCAACAACCGACATCAAACCCGGTGAAGATGTTTTACATGTCAAAACACCTTTCGTGGCTGTTCTTGATACGCCACGGCTAGAAGATACTTGTGCTGGCTGTTTTGGTAAGCGGCAGATGGAGACTGGGAATGAGTTGAAGGCTTGTACTGGGTGTCGGGTTGTTAAGTATTGTGATAGGGTGAGTTTGGTCTGTTGGTTTTGGCCGTTTGTTATTCGGGATCTGGATTGCTGCATAATTTTTGCTGCAGAAACAATATATGTTGAATTTGCTAACCTATTTTTACCAGGCCTGTCAATCCAAAGATTGGAAGTTTGCTCATTCTCTTGAATGTCCTATCTTCAAGAATCTCAAGCCTATGATTCTGCCCAACAATGCTCGTGCCCTGCTGCGTATAGTGCTGCGTACTTCAAAAAATAAGTACAGTGCCGAGGAGGCCAAGGTCTTTGATGATCTAGAGACTCATATCAATGAGATTCAGGAGAGCCAGGGTCAGCTTGATAAAATCACTTTGACTGCAAGGGCTGTGAAGAACTACTCCGGGACAGATGTGGATGAAGCAACTGTTTCTACCTATGCTGCCAAGGTAATATCTTTCAAGATGCGCTTGCATTGGTTTATTGCTAATACATTTCTATAGCTGGATCTCAATTCTTTTAACCTCACCACTTCCATGTACGACCGCATCGGTCTATACCTACATCCATATGCTGGCTTGATCAACCACAGCTGTGATTACAACGCCACAGTCGGATTTGATGGCGAAGAACTCTACGTCAAAGCCATGCGTCCCATCGAGAAAGATGAGCAAATCTTCATTTCTTACATTGACACCACAACACCATACAACATCCGCCGCAACGAATTAAAAGAGCGATATTTCTTCGACTGCCAATGTACTAAATGTGCCAAGGGCACAGATACAATCGAAGACAGATTCATCTCTACACCGGAAGACATGAGCCCCCTAGAGAATGCCGAACGAGAAGCCCTCCAACTCTTGCAAACAGCCACTGCATCTAGTACAGAAGCCTCGGTCACAATTGAGCAACTAGAGGCTGCCATGCACACTCTTCACAAAACCGAAAACTGGCCTCTCACCCGCCAGCCCTACGCATCTCTCCGTGACAAACTCATCATCTCTCTACTTTCCGAAGGAAACTTTACCCGCGCTTTCATCCACTCTGCCATTCGATACACAAAGATCGACCCCATCGTCTATGACAAGGCACATCCAATCAGACACATTCACGCATGGAGTCTGGTCAGACTCATTGTCTTCCTCTCTCAGGAAGGATTCCCCCCTAATCCTAAAGATCCAGTCCAGGTGAAGGATTTCCGATTGAACTTGCACTTCTTGATTTGGTACATCCTTGCCGAGCTTACGAGCACTCAGCTGGAGAGTTGTACAGTGCCTAGCTTCCGGAAGCTGGTGAGCACTCAATTTGCGCAGGTTCACAATGAGTTCAAGGCCAATGGTATTGATCCTACGAAGTCTCGGGCTGCTCTCAGTGCTGAGATGAATAAGTTGGAGCAAATGGTCACTCAGGCCTTGGCAAAGGAGTAGATATTATGCTGTATTTCACGTGGGGGTGTAAGGCTAATATCACCGTTGGTCTATGGCATAGAATACAAAAGTTGATACACTTGAGCAATTTCAAATGGCATGAAAGTAATTCAAATAGTCATTGGGCTCAGTTCAATGTTATCCGGGGCTACCTCGGAGCCTCGTTGAACATCACCGATACCCCGAGCATCGACAAAACCAGAAAGCACCGAAAAAGAAAGCCACGACCTCGCACAATGCCCCACGAACATTTCACATCTTCATTTCCAAATTTCTCTTCCTCTCTCGGTTATTCTCACTGCTTTGAATCCAACATCCCAATAACCATTCAAAGCATCCAGCATGGCGGATGACGAGTGCATCTTCCGTTGGTCCCTCGACCTCGGTGACCAAGCCCTCAGGCCCACCATCCCCGAGCACCCCGGCGCTACCGATTCCACGGGCAGCCCCATCCTCGCAGCCCTGGCACCCTTCTATTGACCAGCGAGCTCAATAGCCGATGTGACATAGAAAAATGCCAGCGCCCACGCCAGCCGGGGCGTCAGCCCCCCAGGCTATCGGCCTACTGAGAAGCTGGGCTTTCTTTCATCTGTTCATGCTGCCAGATTTATCCAGCTACTACTATAGAGGAGAGGGTGAGGGTGGAGGGTTATTTTTTTTGTTTCCTTTCTTTTTTGGACTTGCTTTGGATGTGCTTTGAGTTTTGTGGGATCTATTTTGGATGTGCAGTGTGTGGTGTACGGTGTCTGTGTATGGGTGTAGACGTATATATAGACCTTTGGCCTAATGTTTTAGCACCGCATGGACATGGCACGAGTTCCTTGACCTGAGCGCCCTTCGGGCCTTCTCAAAATTGTTTACTTTCTTCCGTATTTCTAGCATTATAATCAAGTGTCGGTGTACAGCCACGCGACCCGACGTGAGCGCTCTAGCCAAGTCCCGCACGAAGCCCTAATTTCTCGAGACAAGATGAGATCACTCCGAAACCCCGGATAATCAGTAAAAAAGCACCACATGCGAAAGAAGAGGAAACAAAGGTCACTTTTTGACTTGATCTCCCCGTCTGTCAGATCAAAAATCCTCAATCTTTAGAGGACTGTACCTTCTAGTTCTAAAGAGGTATCTTGAATTGAGCGCTAAAAACGAACATTCAATATGGGCCTGATATATTCTCAACCCCAAATTATTTCTCTGACCGGTAAAGTGGCCGAGTGGTCTAAGGCGCACGGTTTAGGTTTCTTCATTTGTCTCCGTGTCTCGAAAGAGGCGAGGGTTCGAACCCCTCCTTTGCCATTATTTTTGTGTTTTTTTTTTGCTACCCGGGAAGAGGTTTGTGATATCTAAATCACTTGGTTTTGGATTTAGTGCTATAATTATAGTTTTGGAATGAAATAGATACAAAAATGTACTGGAATAATGAAGCATACGTGGCGGAGAATCAAATATATATTTGCACATCTCGACCAACTGCTACAAGAAATAGCACATCGCGGAAACATCGGCCAGTGTGCAAATTCGGAGATAAAATGTCACAGTGAGCAGGACTATAGGATCAAAATAATTCATGTTTATTTCTTTACCCTGCTATACACATACATACGCTAGGGTCTCAAGTGGACGGAGAGTAGTCGTGTCAAGTAGGCACGAAGGCGCAATATCCCCCAACTTATCATATCAGGCACCTCACATGTAGAGCGAAGCAGCGAAAATAACATCACGCTTTATCAACTCCTGTGCCTGCTGCATCTTAGTGTAAAGATTAGGATCACCAACCAACTTAGCCGCATTCTTGACTTCGCGACATGTCTCATCAAGACGGGTAATGCAGCGAACAATAGTTCCCTCCATGACATCAGTCAGATCAGTAATACGATTGAACGACATGCCCTTGGCCCATTCATAGACAACCTCAGCTAAGCCGAAGCGGGGCTTGCTGGCGAAATCATTGGAGTCCTCTGTGGACTGGATGACTTGGTGTAGGATCTGGAAGTCATTCACTTTCTCGGCGATGGCGATGATCTCTTTCATTCCCTTGTCCAAGCGGGGGGTGAGTGTAGGCTTGCTGTCTGTCTTCTCCTGGAAGACGAATGCAGAGAGGAGGGCGACGATTTCCTCGGGTTCGTATTCTGCAAGGACGTTTTCGAGGACCAGCTCTGTCAGGACTAGTTCGTCGGCGGAATGGACCTCGCAGGCTACCTTGCCCTTTAGCTGCACGCGGGACTGGTCGTCGACGAAGCCGAGTTCCTTCAGGACTTGGATGCGCTGTTCGTAGTCGGGGAGCAGTTGGAGGTTTTGGTCTGACATCAGCTGCTTCAGCTGCGTGATGTTCTCCTTGACTTGCCATTCGTCATGTTGCATTTCGAACTTTTAGATGTTAGCAGAGGCTCAGCCAAAGAGAAGGAATCTGTTACTCACGTGTTTCAAGAATTGAGGGCACTGGAGGCAACGGCATGACTGAACGATTTCTGCTTGAGCCTGTCGCTTGTTCAGGAGCTCACGCAATTGCAGCTCTGTGATGCGCTGCCAGTCCATTTCGTCCCAAACAGAGCTGGTCCATGACTTGGTGTATTTGTGCAATTCTCTGTCGGCATATTTGGCAGCCTCTGTACGTGTTGTGAGTGTTTGTTCCACAATTAATCAAAGATGTTTTTACCTTTCTTGATGTTAAGATACCAAACGGGTCCTCCACTCCGAATTACAGTGTTGGTGATGCACTCGACATCAGCGAGAGGAATTTTACATACTTTCAAGCTCATCTGAGCAGCAGAAGTAGGCAGTGGTGGGAAGAATGGACGGAACATGGGAAGGAAAGGTAGGATATCGGCTGGATGGCGTTTGCTGCTCATGGTTCCGACCTCAAGGACGTGGATACAAGGGGCGGCTCCTCCAACTCCGCCGGCGATTCCTTCACGAAGGACAAGACCAGCAGTACGGAGTCCATCCTATGACACAGTTAGTACGTACGAAATATGATGGCGATACGCCGTCGAAATGGCACCACAAGACGTGAAATTTCTTCAAACTTCATGAAGGAAACCCACCTTCTTGTAAACAACCCACGTCTTCATTCCGATGAGACGCTTCGCAACCGGGGATGATGCCATTGCGGCATGCAGTTCAGCTGTAAGTTTCTGATACTCCATTGCTGCATCGTGACAAGCTACCAGATCCAAGTCGCAGATCTCACAAGGCTCCCGCTTGATCTTCGCAAGACTGTCCTCAGACAGTTGCACTTGCTTCTCGTGCTCCGGCAAGAGAGCCTGTGTGGCATTCTCACTGAAGCTGCGCTTGATCATCTCTTCAATCTTAAGTGCTTCCACACGCAACAGGTTCAAAATCATGTTGTACGTGAGACGGAACTGCGACCTCAACTTGGTGGGCTCGCCGAGAATCATCTTCTTCAGCGCACCAGCGGGTGGTGCTTCATCTTTCCCGCTGTTTGTGACGATCACATAGCCCACTGTGTCAAGACCACGGCGACCTGCACGACCGGCCATCTGGGTATATTCACCGGGGAGGAGGTCACGGAAGCCCTTGCCATCGTGCTTTCGGAATCCAGAGAACACAACGGTACGAGTGGGTAGGTTCAGACCCATTGCAAAGGTTTCCGTGGCGAACAAGATCTTCACGAGTGACTTGGCAAAGAGGATCTCAACAACTTCCTTCATGATGGGCAAGAGACCACCGTGGTGAACGGCAACACCTCTGCTGAGCAACTCACGAAGACGAAGAATCTGGGGAAGATCACGGTCCTCCGGCTTCAAACGGGTGAGAGACTTCTCAATGAACATGTGAATAAGACTCTTCTCAGTAGCGTTACAAAAGTCTTGATTTGATAGCGAATCGGCGTTCTCCTCGCATCGCTTCTTCGAGAATACGAAAACACATCCTGGCAACAGATCTTCCTTGCGGAGATGAGAGACAAGGTGTACCCAAATGTTCTTGTCTTGCGCCGCACTTGTTCGTCCACCACCACGACCGGTTCGAGCAATGTTTCCGGTACCGCGGTTGGTAGGCTGTCCTCTTCCGCCGCCAGCTTGCCCTCGACCTCGCTGGGGAGCACCTCCACCCCGCCCACCGCGTGGAGGTGGGCCACCTCTGCCACCTTGCTGGCCTCGTCCCCTGCCTTGACTACCACCACGCTGGGCCTGATTTTGAGCCTGAGCCTGGGCTGATTGGGCCTGAGCCTCAGCCTCCTTCTTGGCATAGATCTTGTCTTTGCCAGATATGATATCGTTTGCTTTCTTCCAGCCACTTTCGAGGAATCTCTTGTTGGAGTCAACGATCTTGTACTTGTCCTTTCCAGCCCAGAGATAGTGCTCCAGTGGAACAGGTCGCTTGTGAGTGGAAATGACGTAGATGTCCTTCTTCTTTGTGCGGCCCACCCAGGAGGCAAACTCATAGGTGTTGGGCACAGTCGCGGACAGAAGAATCAGGGTGACATGCTCCGGAAGCATGATGATGACCTCTTCCCAGACCACACCACGCTCGGTGTCATTTACGTAGTGAACCTCATCGAAAATGACGAACTCAACGTCACGGATAAGATCAGCACCTCGATACAACATACTTCGCAAGATCTCAGTGGTCATGATGAGACAGCTGGCTTCGGGATTGATTTGAACATCACCGGTCAAAATACCAACATCATCAAATTCAGTTCTAAAGTCACGGTACTTCTGGTTGCTCAATGCTTTGATGGGAGACGTGTAAATAGCCTTCGTCATGTGCTTGGAGGCCAAAGCAATGGCATACTCGGCCACAACTGTTTTTCCGGCTGAAGTGTGAGCAGCAACAAACACTGAATCACCGCCCTCAAGGTGGTAAACGGCCTCTTTTTGGAAAGTGTCCAGCTCGAATGGCCATTCTCTGGCCATGTCAGGAACAAGTTCATTGAAGTTCGGGATTTCTTTATTGACGTCGACAATGTGAGCCCATTCTCTGCCCTTGTCTTTCTTAACCCCTGCGAGCAACTGGTTCCGCGGCTCCAGTGCAGGGAACTCGACTGGCAGCAAAGCATCAATGTCTTCTTCCTCGTCATTGTCGGAGACATCCTCGTCAATTTCAGCATTGGAAGCTTCAATGTCGGGAGTTTCGTCGGGCTTGTCGGCAGAGAGATTGCCTTCTTCTTGGAGAAGCGCATTCTCGACTTCTTGGTCACCTTCAACGTCTTTCAACTTGGTCTCATCGAATTTGAGGCCGCGATCAAAGCCAGGGGCCGTTGTCAAGAGACCACCCTCCGTGCCAAAGTTGATAATCCGGTCAAGTCCTGACTGTTTTCCACCACGAGAATGCTCTGCGACTTCAGATTCGTCTTCCATTGCAGCAATAGCCTCAACGCCCTCCAAGCCACCGGGGGCGAAGGGGAAGAAGCCGGCTGCTCCTCGAACGAAGTCAGCCCGACCAGCAGGTCGGCGAGTAAGTGACGTAGAGTTCTTAGCGGTGGCAGCACTGGCAGCAGGAATAGTGACTTCATGGTAACCGGTGACCCTACCCTCTAATCCTTCGCGTGTAAATCGAGTGACGGTTCGAGATTGGGTGGGAGCAAGTTCGAAAAGATCTGTATGGTCTGTCGAGACATCCCATCGTCTGTGCAAGTCGTTAGCATCCAAAAACGCAGCTTCCCAGCCAGCCAGCAAAAAGAAAAAGAAGAACGTACTTCTGGAGACTGTTCAGCCATTTGGTATTGAACTTATCCGATGGAGTCAGAAATTCGTTTTCAAGCTCAGCCAGCAACTCCTCTGAGGTCTGGTGAGCTTGTTTGCGAGGTTGAACGCTCTCGACCGTGCCGTTCTGCTCATCTGCCAGGCGAGCTTCGAAAGCTGCGGGGCTGACATTCTTGGCACTCAAGCTTAATCGCTCCATGGAGGAGGCGATCGAGTCTGCCATGAGGCTAGCAAGTCTGGATATCGGAGGGAGAATTGGCGTGGTGAAATTGTGCTGATGTTTGACTCGGCAAAAGCCGCACCCCACGCCGATCTGTGCTAAGGCAATTCAATCACTGCCCGGAGATCCGACAGCAATTGTTCTTAATTGCGAAGAAACGGCCTTGTGGTAGCAGTCCTTGCGTGTTTCGGGGTGAAAAATGACGAAGATTGTCCTTCGAGGAAAAATGAGGTAAAACAGTGCCCTGTTGTTGGCTGCGCAGACCTCGTGGTTGGAAGGCTACTGGGGCGGTGTCGACTAAACAGGCATTATCTCCTGGCAGTATCCATGACGTCGTGTGGGGGGCGGTGTGAACCACTGGCCGAACGTTGTTCTACTTTCTTTCGGCGCGTTGAAGGGGTCATTTTGACCTGTCTTTTGCCTGATTGCCAGCGTTAGACTGTCAAAGCTTGACTAACTGTCTGCCTGGCTTACTAATGTTGTTCAGTTCGGAAGGAATCATATTAGCTTGGCAGCATATGTAGCCTAACTTTTTGTACTGTAATCATCCATACAAAGAAGAAAGAATAGCAAAGATGACATAATGGAAACATGGTGAAGATAAAATGTACGCCCCGAAGCGCCAAAGGCCAAAGGCATATGCAAAATAAATCAACAGCAGTAGTGAGAATTAACGACAAGAGAAGCTGGGGAAAGTTTTTCGGTCATGAATATTGAGATGAAACTCGTAAATACCTTCCAATGTAGCAATGTACCTACAAAAGTTAGTATATTTTCGCAATATCAGCCAAAGGTAAGAGTATACTGACAAAGTCCGTCCATCGGCTCCCCAACCAACACCAGCTGTAGAGTCCGGTTCATCGGCCGAATTTTGGCTGTTTCGATCAGGGAGTTCATTGATAATATTTCTGATCCAGTGAGGAGAGTGTGTCTGCTCAAAACCAAGTAGTTGTTGACGATGTCGCTGTTCTCTTTCGAAGGAGCGGTTGTGTACCTCATTGGCGATCTGGCGTTGGCGCCTGAGTCGCTCGGCGGCTACGTTGGCGCGGATTTCATATGTTGTCAGGCGAGACGTGTCATATCTCCTCTGTTCCGATGCCCCTGTTGGTTGTCGATCGATTCGTCGTGGGATAGAGCTTGATCGCTGGGACCGGCGAGTCAGGCCCTGTAAGCCGAGGTTTGGATTGGATGAGCCGTTTGCTTCAGACGGTGTGCTGATTTCATCATGAATTAGATCTGTATCGACTCCCGCTCGAGACAGAATCTCTGATGTGAGGGATGGAAGTTCAGAAGGAGAAGCTGAATAGTTCAGTATATTTGACTGGCGGTCCGGGTGGACAGACGCCGTTTCCGAAGATCGATTATCATGGGACAGGATTACCGAGCCCTGGCGTCTTGGATTGGATGCTGCACGGCCCAAATGGTTATCACGGGAGATATCAGAGTGATCATATGGGTACGGGGGTGAAGTAGGACGACGAGTGCGAGTGGCGCCATCTGTGGAACCATGATGCCGCGCCCGGGCTACAGGATGAGGAGGATGAAGACCAGAAATGGCGGCTGATCGTTCTGGTCTTTCAGTAAGTCCCTCTTCAAGTCGTGACGTCCATCGTGCCGTGTTCAGAAACTCCATAATCAACCCTTTCTCTCTCGGTAAGATCGTACATCACAGATTCGCGCAAAGAAGAACGCTCTGTATCGTCTGTGTACCTCTCAATTTCGAGCTCGTCATCATTGAACATCTGATATGGTGGCTGATCAGCTACCTCTTCGCTGGGACGCGGGCGTTCGAGCTCATCGGTCAGATAATCTGTATACACTTCTTCCATCGACGGTTCGTCGGCATCCAGATGGAGGATCTGCCTGCGTACAAATCCTTGACGAACGTCTGCAACACCGGCTCGGCCATGGCCTTCCAACCAGACCAGAAGGTCCCAAGGCTCTGGTGAAAAGGCCATGCAGCGCACAGCTCCACCCTCGGCGCATGACCTTGAAGCTGAAAATTGGCAAATAACTGGCGTGTCATCCTCAGACTGACCAAGAGTCCCCCAGACGGAGGCAACATCGATGACTGTGATAATTCCAGATTGGGATCCTATGGCACACAAACGGCTGGATGGTGAGAAAGCAACGGTAAAGCAACACGCATCGTCCGCGCGCAGGCCAATGTTCAACTCCAGGCATTGGATAAGCTCCCATTCCCATCCTGCTACCTTTTGATCGGCATCATTGGCACCGACTGACTCCAAATCACGGACAATCTCATAGAAGTAAGCGCGGTTCTCATCTCCGACAGCTGTAAGCAGTTTCGAGTCTGGAGAAATTGTGGCATAGTTCATGCATGTCGGGTGATGAAGAACTTTGAGGACTTTCGTGCGCGTCAGTGAGTACACTGTTACTGTTCGATCATTGTTGCTAATCAAAACGGTTAGCATCATCGGTATGCGCCAATCCTCTGATCCTGCGCTAACCTCAGTACAACCACGTCTTCATCCGCCAAACCATCGCCGCCACCATAGAACCGATGAACGGCTACCGAATTCACTATGCTACCACCAAACTTGTGAAGCTCCACTTCACGTAACGGTCGATTGAGGCGGCGGCGTGCTGATGCAAATTCGGAACTGACGTTATGGGGAGTCCCCGGCGATGTCCGTCTCGACGGTGGGTCGAGATCGAGTGGCAGCGGAGTATCCACATCGGAAGTGTAGAATGGAGGTATTTCGCCATGTACTTGCAGGTCTCGGTCACCAATTCGCACGAAAGCGCATTCGCCATTTTCGGGACCCCCGATGGCTATCCAGCCATGCCCGGCGGCTAGACAGCGCGGCTCAAACGGAATGACCGCTACACTCACTCGCTTTTGCGCAGAAATATGGATCGAGTACACTATTCTCTCAACGACCACATAGATGCGATCGGGATCAGCGGTGCTGATGTAGTTGCGAAGCTGCACATGGCTATGACAAAGTTCGTTAGATTGCGCACAGATAAGAGAGGGACTCAACGAACAAGTTGGGTATCTTGAACGGAAAGAAGCGCCGCTTGTTTGGAAGAATGAGTGCCTCGGTCGGGCGATGTCTAAGACAGTCAGATCAGTTTGCAGGGACATGATCCGGAGACTCACAGTAGAGAATCCGAGGTCATGATGAGAGCTAGTCCAGAGGTGACATTGTTCGAGCGGGGAAAGTGGACAAAAGAAACAGCCCCAGTCGACGTTCGATAGAGAACTGACGGTACTCTTCTTCTCTTTTTCCCTTTTGATAAGAAAAATAAAAAGGAGCAAAGCTCTCAGTTGAAAGTCCAACGCTTTCAGAAAATGATGACGTAAGATGGGCCAAATTGGCTGGTTCCGGTGTCGCAGTCCATCTGGGACAAAACCCGGGGAACTGCAAGCCCAGCGAATCGTGTTGATTTGCGTGCATAGACTTAGTATGAGCCATGTGCCCATGTTTAGTTGTGATTGTACTCTATTTGAGTTGGATGTATCTTGCCACTCCACTCTATACGGGCACTCTCTACTCCAATACAATCCGGGGTTAAGATCCACTCCATACTTCCAACGTAACTAAACATCAAGATCCAAACGGACTTGGCTCTATTGCTAATGTGTCTCAGGCTCAGCCAAATAAGGGAGTTTGCCGACCATGTCACACGACTGTGAAGTATAACTAGTTCTGTCACCCCGCTAGTACAGAGATAGGAGAATGCTTAATGTAACAGCTCAAGTTTGTGAATTATGACATATTCTGCTGCATGTGATATAGTTTTCTACATGTATACTGTGGTGCTCACATAGTCCGTGTCTTGACAGCATAGCTCTGGACCTCGGGACAGCATGGCTGGTATATAGGCATGTAGTATGGAGCATAAAGTACGAGTTAAAAGTACATCTGTACAGTATAAGTTGACCATTGGATATATCTAAATATATACCAATTATTATCTATCAAGAGCTCCAAATAATAAAATCTATTCTCCGTGCTGTATATCGATCGGACTTCCCCTATAGTTCCCCGATGACGCACACAAAGGCGGTGAGCCGGTTACCGGGCAGCCTGCCGGTGGCGTTGATTGGCCAGGTCCCGTGATTCTACCAAGTTCGACGGCCCGAAGCTCTCCGTGCAATTTCTATTCCCTTCTCCCCTTCTTTCTGATTCCATCCTCATTCCCCATCCTCTCCATCCTTTCTTCCTCCCTTTAATACTCTGCGATTGAGTCGTTGAGTTCTTTTCCTCTTTGTATTAATTAATATCCTCACAATGCTTCCTCGCACAATCACCCGCGCTGTAAGCTCCAACTCCCCTTTGGTCCGAAAAAAAAAATCGACGCGTTGACTAACATCTCTTTCAGCTCCCGCGCGCTGCTTTCGCTCGCACCCCTGCCTCCAGATTCCCCGGCGCATCGATCCGGAGATGGAACTCGACGGAAGGCGGTGAGGAGAAGGTGAAGGGCCAGGTCATCGGTATTGATCTTGGTAAGTGATCGCGCGACCTTGATCTATCAACATTTATCCTAACATGGTCAATTATAGGTACCACCAACTCCGCTGTTGCCGTTATGGAAGGCAAGGCCCCTAAGATCATTGAGAACGCCGAAGGTACGTGACAGAAAAACTTTTACACGCGGTCAAGTGGTCAGAGCTAGACTTCGGGAGCTCTGCCGAGGACCGAAATTTCGAACATCAGTGTCTAACTAGATGCTACAACAGGCGCCCGCACAACTCCCTCCGTCGTTGGTTTCGCCCAGGATGGCGAGCGTCTCGTCGGTATTGCCGCCAAGCGCCAGGCCGTTGTCAACCCCGAGAACACTCTGTTCGCTACCAAGCGTCTGATTGGTCGCAAGTACACCGACGCTGAGGTTCAGCGTGATATCAAGGAGGTCCCCTACAAGATTGTCCAGCACTCTAACGGTGACGCCTGGGTTGAGGCTCGTGGCCAGAAGTACTCTCCTTCCCAGGTTGGTGGCTTCGTCCTTAATAAGATGAAGGAGACCGCCGAGGCCTACCTCAGCAAGCCCGTTAAGAACGCTGTCGTCACTGTCCCCGCGTACTTCAACGACTCTCAGCGTCAGGCTACCAAGGATGCTGGTCAGATTGCCGGCCTGAACGTCCTCCGTGTCGTTAACGAGCCCACCGCTGCCGCCCTTGCCTACGGTATGGAGAAGGAGACCGACCGTGTCGTCGCCGTCTACGATCTTGGTGGTGGTACTTTCGATATTTCCGTTCTCGAGATCCAGAAGGGCGTCTTCGAGGTCAAGTCTACCAACGGTGACACCCACCTTGGTGGTGAGGACTTCGATATCAACCTCGTCCGTCACATCGTCGGCGAATTCAAGAAGGAGTCTGGTCTCGACCTTGCCGGTGACCGCATGGCCATTCAGCGTATTCGTGAGGCCGCCGAGAAGGCCAAGATCGAGCTGTCCTCTTCCCTGCAGACCGAGATCAACCTTCCCTTCATCACCGCCGACGCGTCCGGCGCCAAGCACATCAACCTCAAGATGACCCGTGCTCAGCTCGAGTCCCTGGTTGACCCCCTCATTGCCCGCACCACTGAGCCCGTCCGCAAGGCCCTTAAGGATGCTGGTCTCCAGTCCGGTGATATCCAGGACATCATCCTCGTCGGTGGTATGACCCGTATGCCCAAGGTCAACGAGTCTGTCAAGTCCATCTTCGGCCGTGAGCCCTCCAAGTCCGTCAACCCCGATGAGGCTGTCGCTATTGGTGCCGCCATCCAGGGTGCTGTCCTTGCTGGTGAGGTCACTGACGTTCTCCTGCTCGATGTCACTCCCCTCTCCCTCGGTATCGAGACCCTCGGCGGTGTCTTCACCCGTCTGATCAACCGTAACACCACCATCCCCACCAAGAAGTCCCAGACCTTCTCCACCGCTGCCGACATGCAGACCGCTGTCGAGATCAAGGTCTACCAGGGTGAGCGTGAGCTTGTCAAGGACAACAAGATGCTCGGAAACTTCCAGCTTGTTGGTATCCCTCCTGCCCACCGTGGTGTTCCCCAGATTGAGGTCACCTTCGACATTGACGCCGACTCCATTGTCCACGTCAACGCCAAGGACAAGTCCACCAACAAGGACCAGTCCATCACCATTGCCTCCGGCTCCGGTCTCTCTGATGCCGAGATCCAGTCCATGGTTGAGGACTCCGAGAAGTACGCCGAGGCTGACAAGGAGCGCAAGGCCGCCATTGAGGCCGCTAACCGCGCCGACTCCGTCCTGAACGACACCGAGAAGGCCCTCAAGGACTTCGAGGACCGTCTTGACAAGACCGAGGCTGAGACCATCAAGGAGAAGATCGCCACTCTCCGTGAGTTCGTCGTCAAGAACCAGTCTGGTGAGGGTACCGCCACCGCCGAGGAGCTCAAGGAGAAGACCGATGAGCTCCAGACTGCCAGCTTGACCCTGTTCGACAAGATGCACAAGGCCAACAACGAGGCCCAGCAGCAGCAGCAGCAGGGTGGTGAGCAGCAGGGCGAGAACAAGCAGTAAATGCATTCTCCCTAACTCCTCCCCCTGAACCATGTTGAACCTGGTTCCTGTACTTTTTATTATTTCCTCTTCTTTTCCTTTGTTAGAGACTCCCTGATTCTGCATCTCCTTTTTTTCGCATTTACCTGTACACATACTTTTGAAAGCCTCTTTACCTCTTTCCCCCTTTTCGTTTTACGGTGTCTCGGTGTTTGACTACCATGTATGATCATCTATTCTTCTCTCTTTGCCCTCGTGCCTCTGGTCGGGTTCATTGCCTGTCAGCTGGTATGCCGGGATTGTCTACAATTGTATCTAATGACATTACGGCAAGGGGCCACAAAAAAGGATGTGGTAGGCTTTGGTTATTTGGGGCATGTGACAATAGAAATCGGACAATTCTCCTCTCGCTTCAACAATTTTTGTTTTCAGTATCTTTGATCTGTAGAACCAGTAACGAGCAAAGTTTCGTGGCACCGGGGGTTGGAACATTCGCTGCTTCACTTTGCGTCACTCTGCTTCAGCTGCATCTCTAGTTGTTTCCGACCTATCACCTCCCCAGTCCTGATACAGAACCAAGTCTAGACTTTTAGCCCCAAACAAACAATAGATTGAACGTGACTGTATACATTATGTGTACTCTGCAGCGTGCAGATGCAGCTGTCTGGACAGTAGGCCCTTCGCACATATACATGCTAGTAGCATCTATAGTACGGAGTATGGAGTAAGTTACAATCTACCTAGTCTGTGACTAGTACGATTGGAAGAACACAGTCCAAGCTCGTGATTTAATTATAGTTATATTAACCCTGCACTGTACGTACACTTGTACACATCAACTCCAAAGGCAATATGTGGCCGACAACACTGATAGGCTGGATACCTCTGGCGCACGGGTTTCTCTCACTCCTAGCTCCACCTGTACAGCCAGTCATCTGAAACTGACGAGACGCCTTTGAATCCAATCTATTAATTTAAAATGGCCTCCACTTTTGTTTGTTGGGCCAATCGCCTAGGCTTTTCTTGCTTCCGCGGTTATGAGATGACATGTTTGTTTTTATTTGAGAGAAGTAAAGCGATGTACCGTAGAGCGGCTTCACAATGGAATGGAATAGAATACACAGTAAATAGCAAATGATATCCCAGGAATGAGACCGTTATCTAACAGGCCGGCCTAGCCTCACATCTACAGTCCAACACATGCTTAATCTTAATCAGAGTTTTCCCCATTAAATACTGTACATGCAATGCACTTCAACGTGTATACATGCACGCACTCCGTACATGTACATGTGAGCCGAGGGGAACCAGGGGCATGGGGAAAGAACCCAGAAACAAGAACACCACTTCCACAGAATATTGTTAGTGTATATGTACATGTACCCCCAAACAAGGATACGAACAATTGTTATCAGACCAATCTGGACTCGAGAGGGAAGTTTGCGTACAGACACTTCCCTGCAACGAGCGGTCGAGTAACAAATCATCGTCGTACACACACACCCCAGTCAGGCCCAGTCAGGCTGGCATTGTGGGTCCGGTCTTTTTGCAATGACGATGTGAATAATGTTGGTCGTCATCCTTTTACTGTACAGTTACAATTATTCTCAATTATTGTGGGGAGTGATAGGTAGGGTTAGGGGGTGTAGGGAGGAGGAGGAGGACACAATAGGGTATAGGGGGAGAGATGGGGATGAATTCATATAGACTATAGACTATCGGCTATAGAGGCTACTCTCTATACAAGGAGGTGTAGATCATAAAGACTAAGTGAAAATTTTCATACATACCAATTCCACCCTATTCGTCGATCATTTCTGGAGTGAGACCATCTGCTTTAGCGTGCCCCTAGTCTTGATTAATTCTCTTATTTCTCCACTCTGTTTACATTTCCCTTTCTGTAAACCCTGGCGTTTGTACCCGGCTACAATCCGGCTGGTGTTCGGGACCAGTTTTTGTGCCCTGATTTTTAATGGGTATGTTGTGGGTTAGTGTGTTAGTGTGCTGTCAGAATGAATGAATTTTTACCCTATCCTATTTTGGGGGAGGGGGGATAGTGTATTGGGGCTGGGATGGAAGGGGGAATATTGGATAGATTATGCAAAGGACAATAATGTACTATAGAATGTGAATGTACTTCGTAGCATGTAGATGTAATGAGTCTATATCCCTACTGGTATACTGGGTACACCGATTCGATTCTTCCCGTTTCTCACTTGTACCATGGAACTGTTCAGGAACCAGGTTACATAATATCTTGGCAGCCCTGGAGATTTACTGATTTTAGTTGTTTTCACTTACTTTTCCCTTGTTTAGGAAGTGATCGATCGACGGGGAAGGTCCGTCGCTCTCCAGATCCTGCGGGAATTCCAATTTCCCCTTGAAATTATCCTCTGGAACCAATAGAAGTCAAGGGAATCTGCAGATGGATTTTTAGACAGATCATGTTTCCCCCCTGAAGAGTGTCAAGTGACCTACAAATAACATGGACTAAGGAAATTGCGATCATTGGGACCCATTCTGATCCAAAGATGTGTAAACTGGTTTGAACTTATCCACTACGGAAATTAAAAAAGATGATAGTTTGAAGCTAGAAATCGAGATTTCGATTTAGATCCCCTTACGCCGTTACGGGACATTTCATAACGGGGGTGCAGAAGGGTCGCGCTAGTGGAAGTCATTTCTTATTTTCTTTAGAATTAGAATGTCAATGACCCATACATCGGGAATGGGTCTGTTTTCCTTTTCCTGTTTCTTCTTCTTCTGCTTTCTTCCTCCTTTCAGCCCATCATGACAGCTGCACCACCGGTGCACCACCCTGTTACGGACAGTGGCATGCCTGGTCACCTGGTTAATCTCCCGCGCTATCATCCCATTGCCATGAATCCTAATCCTCCACATCCATCAATGCCTCCTCCGGAGCAGATGGTGCAGAGTCACCACCATTTCCGCCATTTTGCGCCAATGCATGAGCATCACCAACAAGGCGTACCTCCAGTACACAGTCCAGCCACACTAGAACATATTGAAGCTCGGCTCCGCCATCTAGAGCATGAAGAAATGGCTCGCATGGCCACTCGCAGCCGCATTCTGGCAATGCGCAAGCACGAGGATGAAGAATTTCGATCCATGACTGAACGGGCCGAGGCGGAGGAAGAGGTGAGTCAGATAGTCATTTAGATCATAGAAATCAAAACTAAACAGATTCAGGACCTACGGAGACAGCGCAAGAAGCTGAAGAGGGAATCTATGGGCCTGGGGCCCAATGCCAACGCCGACTCGCCGCCTCTCCGGCCAACACCTCCGCGGCGGCTATCAGAAACCAGCGCCGCAACAACATTGGCCTTCTTTAAGCAACAGAGTCCTCCCGAGCCCCGCCAAACACCTCTCCCACCTTCACAGGCTCCTCCGATGCCACCACCACCACACATCCACCAACCTCACCACCATCCAGCTCCCCCACCACCCCCACCATCCCAACATCCCCATGCCCACCCAATTGTCACCCATGACTCAATACACGGCGCTGGTTCCATCCGCCGCAAACAAAAATACACCATCAAAAACGTAGAAGCGTGGGGCGAACGCCACGGCCGACCAGCAGCTCACGACTCCTCAGGCCGAGCTCTCTGGAAAAGACCCTCAGACGGAAGCCTGGTCTACCTAACATGTCCAATCCACGGCTGCAACAAATCGGACTTCGTCACCCTCCACGGCTTCATGTGCCACCTCACAAAGAAACACAAAGACCGAACCCTAGGCAGCCAGTCACGCGCCCTAGAAGTCTGCGGCGTAGTCTACGACCCATCCGCCCCCCTCCCGCCAGTCATGAACACACACCGCGCCTCAACAGAAGAGAGCCCACACTCAGCACACATGGACCAAGACCTGGGTGACGGCGACGGCGACGGCGACGAAATGGACTCGGACTCGGAAGCTGATGAACCGTACCGCGTCAAAACTGAACTCCCAGATCGAGATCGATACATGCCTGATGCAGAGGGGACGCCGGTTGATTCGTTCAATGCTGCTTCTACGCCTCCCAAGCCTGCCCTTCTTAATGGCAATGGCTCAACTAAACAATCCATCTCTTCTATCATCGACCGCACGCCTGATTCTGAGCCGAGAGAGGCGCTGGCGCACTTGCCGGCTTCTGAGGCTGTTGTGCAGGGTCCTTCGCCTACGCCTACTGAATCTTCTATTTCGGGGTTGAAGCGCAAGTTTGAGTACTCGCAGCCTGAAAAGGAGAATACTGAGCCTAAAAATGGTGTTCATGAGTGATAAGTTGATTCTTTTTCCTGCATCGTTTCTTCACATATTGTCCTACTCCTTTTTTTTTAAATTTACTTATATTGTCTATTGCCGCTGGCTACTCATACATAATTGTCTTACTCGGTTATCTGGTGATCTGCGGATTTCATCGGGTTTCTCAAAATACGATAATCAATTGCATTTTGTTTATCTATTCTGTTGCTGGTTTTCTTCTCGACAGCATGTTGTGTTTGTCATCATGCTGTGTCTGTGTGTGTGCCTGTTGCATCTCTCATCTTTTGAATACCCTCTGTTTGTGTCTGGGTGGCCCTGGTGTCTGTTTTGACTTTTGGTATGTCACGTCTTACAACTGTTGATTTTTGTTAGAGTGGCTGGATCTGTCTATATTTAATTGCATAGCATATTCATATTGACATTTTACTGTCTACATCGCTGTTCAAGCCCGTAGCTATTGCAAACCATTATCTCGTTCTCTATACTCTATCTATGATCTATGTCTATGTACAGCTCAATCTATATGCATGACCTATCACCCACCAGTATGTACGCAACATCATCTCATCCATCTCATCTAACCATCAACAAATGAACCAAATATCCAGTCCCACTCTTCAATCCCTGCCCCAGAACATCATCCGAAAGCCTCCAAACCCTAAACTCGCGCATAGTCTCCCTCAACCAAGTCTCAAAAACATCCGGCGACCTCTGCTGCTGCGCAATAATACAAATAGTCGGTCGACGGCGTCCCTGTCCCTGTCTCTGCTTGGCTGGATCATAAACCGGACGCAGCCGACAAATTTCAGCGCAAGTGCGCACGAATGGGGAGACGAGGGCTTCGTTGTAGATGCAATCGCACGAGAGGAGGAGATCAAAGCCGCGGTCTTCTTCTCCTTCATCTCTTTCATCTCTTTTGTCTTGGCTATCTTGGTTAGAGTGTGTTCTTCCAGAGGGAATACATTCCTCCTTTAATGAACCCGGTTGATCAGTTTCCCAATCTAGAGTCGTGAAGCTGATATTGGACGTATTTCCAACTTTGGGACTTGAGGCTGTGGAGGACTGTTTTGATTTGGAAATCTTGCTTCCTTTCCCCTTGCTGCTTTTGCTTTTGCTATTTCCTGTCCCTGTTCCAGTTCCAGCGGACGATGAGATGGACACATTCGCTTCCAGGTTCGTGCGGAATAACCGCTGCACGTATTCCTGGTCTGTGGCGATGTAGTAGCTGACGGAGGGGGCTAGGGTTAGGGCTACCAGGGCTGAGATTCCGGTGCCTAGTTCGACTACTGTTGAGGAACTGTTTAGGAGGGTTGTTGTCCAAAGGGGGTTTGTTGGGGAGGTTATCCATTCTGCGAAGAGGGGGGTGATTTTCCAGAGGACTGTTTTGTCTGGTTAGTCATTGTTCTGTTATTTGTCTTCGTATTTGGTAGTTGGTAGTTGGTTGGCTGGAGGGATTGGCAGTGGCATTGGCAGGCAGTGGCAATGATAGAAACCATGGCGAGAAGCGGTAAAGGAAGAAGCCACACGAGATGAATATATAGAAGGCCAAGAGATAGCAGTGCAGGTGACCGAAGCCAGCTCGTGTTCAAACGAAGTAACATTCGGAAGCACCTCGAGCATCTGTCAAATGAAAGACATTCGACCTCGGCTCACACGCGCTCGACGATTGGACGCCCCAAGCCCGTGGGCCGGTCTGGGCAAGACATTCAATCAAAAAGAAAAGCAGAAAACAGAGTTTGCGGGGCAGAACAACCGGAGTCCGTGCTGGAATGGGGGAAATGGGGGAAACGATATTCGGTGCAGATCATGCGAACGGCTATGCATTCTCATGTTCGTGGAGTAGGACTCACCGGCGCCTGTAGTACCCCCGGCTCTGTGACCAGAGAGGAGAGCAGGTGATTGATTGATGGTGTATTCATTGCCGTGGATTGTTAACTCCACTGATTGTGCGCGGGAATCGATCATGCCCAGATTGTTGGTTGGGATGTCTTGCGCGAAGAGGAGGAATGACTCTGTCGGGTGGTTAGTGTTGGCCTTGGCTTGGCTGCATTGGCTTACCCTCTTCGACATCGAGGACTTCTTCGCCTGTGGCGAGTAATTCGCTGATTTGGTCCATTGGTTTGTGGTTTTAATATTCGATCTGAATGAGTGCGGGTTTTCATATCTACGATCACGGGACCAGAGGCTCTACGGGAATTATATCAATGGATTAAAGGGATTTTGACTTGGCAGCACACTGTATTCCTAATTGGGAGGCTATGCAGTCATCATCTTGTTAGAATTCAACATGCGAGTAATTCGTATTCACTTGTTGGGACCCAACAGAAAGAAAACGGAATTGATCAGCCGGTAAAGACAACACTAAGTTCAGTTAGCCCAAGAGCTTTTAGCTATTTGCAACAGAAATGAGCACAGGCCTATGTGGCGTACGTTATGCAAATATAAAAAAGCACTAGTTTTGAAGGAATAAAAGATTAAGGAGACTAACGGAGTGGTACGGAGTACTTTGACTCCCGAGACAAGGAACCGTAGCTGCGTCATATTGCCGACCAGCCACATCTCCGACTTCAGGCCCTGCAGCTCAGGCACTTCCTCTTTCTTTTTCTCGAAGCTCATCCTCTCTCTTCCAATTAATTACTCTCGGGTCTCTGGTAAGCTCGGCGCTGACTACTCCGCAGCTCGTGTTGTTCACGGGTCCCCATTCCGCACTAGCTAACCTCCCCCCCCAGACAGAACTTTTCCAACTGCCTGCCCGACGAGTATCTCTGTCGATCCCTGGCACCCCTCTTCTCCTGCTTGAAGCTATACTCCCAGTATGTCGAAGCGCGACCTCCACATCCAACCGCGCATGGCCAAGAAGGGGCCCTTCTCCGTCGAAGCCCCCGGCTATGAACCTGTCGAAGGTGAGACTATCCCTCGGCGGCACCCCTCGGCCAAGGACGGTCTCATCCTGCGTCCCTCTGAAGACGTTAAGACTACTTATGACAACTTTCGCCGATCTGCCCGCGTCTTCGGCAATGCCAAGGCTGTCGGCAGTCGCAAGTTGATCAAGACACATGTCGAGAACAAGAAGGTCAAGAAGATCGTCGATGGCGTCGAGAAGGAGGTTGACAAGCAGTGGACCTACTTTGAGATGAGTGGGTACACCTACAAGAGCTTCCTCGAGTACGAGCAGCTCTGCTTGCAGCTTGGTTGCGGTCTCCGCAAGCTTGGCCTCGAGAAGGACAGCAGAATCCACCTCTACGGTGCTACAAGGTGAGAACATCCGCTGCAATGTAGATCTGACACGAAGACTGACTTGATTTGTTTACAGCGCAAACTGGCTCGCCATGTCACACGGTTTGTTTTTCTCCCTACCTCCTTCGTGACTCTCCACTAACCAACTGCGACAGGTGCTGCCTCCCAGTCCGTGACCATTGTGACCGCATATGATACCTTAGGCGAGGAGGGCCTGAAGCACTCTCTGGTTCAAACCGGCAGCACTGCCATCTTCCTCGACCCTGGCCTGATCAAGTCGCTCATCAACATCCTCCGCAGCGTCCCCTCGATCAAGCACATTATCTATAACACTGACGGAGAGGTGGACCAGAAGCTGCTCGACCAGCTCCACAGCGAATTTATCCACATCAATGTGCAGAGCATTGAGGACTTGCGCAAGCAGGGTGAGGAGAACCACGTGGAGCCCGTTCCTCCCAAGCCCGAGGACCTTTGCTGTATTATGTACACTTCTGGCTCGACCGGCCCACCCAAGGGTGTGCCTCTGACCCATGCCAACGTTATTGCTGCCACCGCCGGTGTTAACGAGATCGTTGGCCCTTATATCAACCACAAGGACTCGTTGTTGACATACCTACCCCAATCGCACATTCTCGAATTCATGTTCGAGAACCTTTGCTTGTTCTGGGGTGGTACCATGGGATACGGTAACCCCCGTACCCTGTCCGACGCCTCAATGCGCAACTGCCAGGGTGATATCAAGGAATTCAAGCCTACTATCTTGGTCGGTGTTCCCGCCGTGTGGGAGTCGGTGAAGAAGGGTGTCTTGAACAACCTGAACAAGAACAGCTTCTTGGTCAAGGGTATGTTCTGGGGTGCTATGTCCGCCAAGAACTTCCTGATGACCACCGGCTTCCCCGGTTCCAGCATGGGTGCCTGGTTCCTTGACACCATTGTGTTCAAGAAGCTGAAGGAGGCTACTGGTGGCAACCTTCGTATCGTTATGAACGGTGGTGGCCCTGTCTCCAAGGACACCCAGAAGTTCCTGTCCATGGCCATTGCTCCCATGATCAGCGGTTACGGTCTGACCGAGACCTCCGCCATGGGTGCTCTGGGTGACCCCATGGCCTGGAACCCTAATGTCCTGGGTGATATTCCCGCCTCAGTCGAGATCAAGCTGGTTGACTTCCCCGATGCCGGTTACCTGACCAAGAACACTCCTCCCCAGGGTGAGATCTTCATCCGTGGTGGCAGTGTTACCTCCGGCTACTACGACAACGAGGAGGAGACCAAGGCCGCGCTCACCGAAGATGGCTGGTTCATGACCGGTGACATTGGCGAGTTTGACCACAACGGCAACCTGAACATCATTGACCGTAAGAAGAACTTGGTCAAGACCTTGAACGGTGAATACATTGCTCTGGAGAAGCTCGAGTCCGTCTACCGCTCTTCCCCCGTCGTTGGCAACATCTGTGTCTACGCCGCCGAGGACCAAGACAAGCCTGTTGCTATCATAGTTCCCGTCGAAGTCGCTCTCAAGAAGATTGCCAGCGAGAACAAGATCGAGGGTGACACTCTCGAGACCCTTGTTCACAACGACAAGCTCAACAAGATTGTGCTCCAGCAGCTCCAGGCTGCTGGCCGCGCTGGTGGCCTCCGTGGTATTGAGATCATCAACGGTGTTGTGCTGTCCGATGAGGAGTGGACTCCTCAAAACGTAAGTGATAACCAAAACAGATAGAATGGCGAACTCAAGCTAACATAATTTATAGGGTTTCATGACCGCCGCACAGAAGCTCCAGCGCAAGAAGATCCTCAACACCTACGAGAAGGAGATCAACAAGGCGTACGGCAAGAAATAAAAAAAAAAAAGGCCCGCATTGAAATGATTGCGACTTCATTTGATTTCCTAGTTACGCTACCATTTGTCTTTTCTCTTTGCTTTCATCTGATTCAGCTTTGACACCCTCTCCGTTCTGTTGGTTTTGCTCACTTTGCGGTTCCTTCGACTTTTGATCCTGTTCATATGCCAGTTTGATGGGATATGGCTTGACTGTGTTTACTCTCCCCTCCCACGATGTGGACGAAACAGTGATGAATGCGGACATGATCAGATCGACTTCACGATGGATCTGGCTTCTATCTTATTCTATCTAGTTAGCCTCATCAATTGTGCTCTAACTCTATTCTGGTGGCTCCTTTTGGTTTCTGCCTTCTATGCTTTACACAACACTAATGAATTCCCTCTTAGAGATATGTATCCATCCTCTGCTAGATCTAATAGCCATATAAAATGGTGGTACCTGCATACATTGTCAAAAGTACCCAGGTACCTCACCGATCAGCCACAGTTAAACTAGCCCATCTCCATCCCCCGTACCCATATGGTACATGTACCTGACAGGACATGGTACCAAGCAACAAACCCACACACTCGAACCCGTCCCATTTGTACAATCCAAGTATGTAAATCGAAGTATATAATAAAGTTACGAGAGCCTCAGGTACCATCCCGTGACACTGTCAGCACGTGACCAGGTCATCCCAAGGAAACACTCAACTTCCACCTTCAGAACGGTACTGTACATAGTACATACTCGCCTAAATCCTTCTCCGACTCGACCAGATTAAGATATCCCTGCAATCCAATTGAACACAATGTCTCTCTGGAGGTACGTGACACAACCACAAAACCCAATCACCCAGCAACGACAAAAGAAAAACAATCCCAAGCTTGAATCCCAGACTAACAAGCCTCCGCCGCATACAGCTCCTATCGTGGCCTTAGCCCCAAGACTCGGGCTCTTTTCGGAATCGGTGTCATGGCTTGGGCGGGTATCGGATTATGGACCGAGTCGAAGATCGAGAGCGCGCTCGGTATGCAGCCCTCGAAGGAAGAGCAGGAAGCGCTGGATCGGCAGATGGCGGTGCGGGTCTCGCGTGTTGATGGGGATGAGCTGACCCAGAGCCCGGCCAAATAATTCCCTACTTTGGGGTATGGGTGTCGGGGAGACGTGAAGCAGCGTGGAACTACAATGCTTGGATGGTTGGACATAGGAAAGTGAGAGGGAAGGGGACAAACATGGCGCACAGATCCTGGCGCGCATTTCCCGATGCTCATGTGACCGATGATATACCATGACGATATCTGCATATGATTTTCTCCGAGAGCTGTCTCTGTCGTGGATGCCTACGGAGTCGGAAAGTCAGCCACAGAACCCTGGGCTTGAATGGGACTGGCTATGCGGGGGGGGGGGAAGAAAAAGAGAAACCATGTTAGTCCGGCCCGTTGCTGGTTTGGCTAGGTTGACCTGGGAGTGCTCATCTCCGAGCCTCAATCAAGTCTACCACGAACTGAACTGCAAAGCAATGCTGCGCCCGTGCACTCTGCATCCAGACACCAGGAGCCAAAGACCAGACTTCAAACCAAGCATCCATACACCCAAAATTCGATTTCGGATCGGAGATCCCGGGATTCAAAAAGGGACCAGGTTCGTTGGGGGGAAGAGGCGGTCATAGCAACCCTGCGCCTATTTGTCTGTCTTAAATTTTTGTCTTGTCTCCGGAAGTCACCAGCCAGAAAGACAAACAAGCAGTGGGGACCAATGATCAATGACCAATGGTCAGCACCTGCAGTACAGAAGAGTATTCTGTCGTGCACGCAACGCGACATGGCCTGATCTCTCTGCCCTGCCTTACCCCCAACTTTCTTTGTTTTTCCTCATGCATATCGCATGTAGCATACCTCATGTAATGTCCGTGCGGCTGTTCAGATACCCCGGCTTCCACCGCCCTGTTCAATGCGCACTGCGCAGAGTTATCAGACGCAGACGCAGAAGCAGGGGAAAAAAGAGGTTGCGCCCGCCTACCCCCGTCTACCCACCGTTTTTTGTCTTTTCTTTTCTTTGTCCAGGTTAGCACACATGGCTCGGAAGAATTGCTGCGGCTGAGAAGGTGGATCGTTGCTTAGCCTGGTCCAAATCGTGACGCGCTGGCTGGCTCTTGGACTGACAGTCCAATTAGCGGGGAATCTTTATTTTCCCTTTTTTTTATTTGCTCCGATTTGGGAAAGACATGCGAGGGGCAGGTGGTCTGGTTAGGATTGTTTTGAAGTGATTTGGAGTTTGCTTTATTGGTCACAATTTGATATTTGAGATATTTGCTCTAATATATGCGTCTAGATTAGCACTTTTCATCTGATCACATATTGGCTCTGTTTGTTTTAATATTGGAGTATATTTGTATCTTTGTTAGAGATCAAGCCACAGGTAAGTAGCTGGCCGACTCATTCGCAAGACTAGACCACCAACATGGGTATGAGATTGCTAGATTCGGGTTTCTGAACTCTGTCTTACATACACTCAAGCTGGATCATGCCATATCATCACGTAGATAGAAAGCTCATTCCTATAGCTGCGCATACCGTGCGGCTCTAAGTCACGAATTCCTCGGAACAGAAGTAGTCTATATCGTTAGAACTGTGCCACAAGGAGCCATTGGCTATTGAATGGCAATACTGTGTATCTAAAAGATCAGGATCAGATACCTAATGTGGAACTGAGGTTAGGGGAGTCCTAGCTCAATCCTGAGCCGACTTTATGCTTTGATATGTCCCTTCTTTACAGCTCTGGAGAATATGATATTGTTTTCGAGGCCGGCAAGAAATGAGACCAATGCCCTGACTTGGACAGAATGAATTACAATACGTATGGCGCTCAGACAGCGCGGTCCCCTCCTGAGACATGGACCATGAGGTATCCCGGAGTATATAGATTCAAGTGTCAGCTAGGAGTCCAATGACTTGCAGCGAAGTATATATATATAGATGTACAAGTATTCTTGACAGAAAGCTATTCCTGTACAAGTCCAGCTTTGAAAGCCAAATTTTCACACCAGCCCCCAAACAATTCCATTTCAATCCCATTAACAGCCCCATTATCGGGCTCCGCCTAATTGGATCTATAAAATAGGTCATGTGGTTCTATTCCCGGTGAGACTGAGCTAATGTCACACATTGCTGGGAGGACGTTGAAGTGGAACACGGAGATAGAGACCAACCTTTTCGGATGGACAATAACAACATTGCAAAGCCCGGGGTAGAGAGTCGGACAGATATAATTCAAAGCAGAGCAAAGTAAACCCCGATCTAAAATGATATCCCCGACGTGGCAAAGCATACTCGATTGACTTTTTGGCTATGCACTGCATACTAGGACCTGATTCTGGACACATTTGGTCTTTAATAGCTACACATGGGTAAAAATTGTTTGATTATTAGAGGACATTGATTGTGTGTAGGGTCAGCTTGACTGTTGCTCTTTGGGCGGCAAGCAATGATAGTTCACTACCTGGACTAGATAGGAAGGCCGAGATACACAAGAGTGTCTTGCCCTGTGGATGGTCAGACATTGTATGACGTATAGGAATAGTTGGATCTCGTCGTACTGACAAACCAGGGTCCATGTGTTTATATCATATGCATGGGCAATGTTTTGAAGTTATATTTCATGGAATCCTTGCTGTCCATGCTCTGGTGTACATGTTGACATTGTATGGCACATTTCAATGGAACCTGACTTATCTGCCTTTGATATTTGATGCTCTGGAGCTCTTCTTGCTTAACATGTTGTGTGACAGATATGAATCTGAGCCCAAAACAAGCCCCGGAGATCAAGTCTCAAGGACCCATAAGCATTCTGCGACCTGTGTTAATTAGTAGTCTTGCAAAAAGATAGCATTTAGAAGAACTTTACTTCTTCCGTCCTATATTCAACCTTGAATGAAAGCATTGAGTGTCTATTTCATGAACTATGTCAGACGCTCCCTGCTGCGGAATCAAGCACGGAACGCGGAGGGTCCAAAACGTCATTGTATCGAAATTGAGCAATTATCGTGACACCATGAGACACAGAGAGAGAGAGCAAAGGAGACAAAATGCTATTCATTACGCTCGAACTCTTGAAGGCCTGACAATAGCCCAAAATCAAGAGATCCCGGAACGTTGGATTGTCAAATATTACGCCCCAATCTAGGCAAATATAGGCGATGACTATAGATACTAGCAAATTTCTTTCCAAGTCTTTTATCGACCATATAAATTGATGTAAATTAACCTATATACCGAGGCAAGGCGGTCAGGAAGCTTGTGTTTTTACACCTCGAGCCTTCGACACATGTGAGCTCTCTCTCGATCGTCACGAACAATTCGAAAGAGGTAACTTGAAGACGACGCAGGTGAAAGAACTATAGTACAAAGTACTCGGACCCGAAAGGAAGTAGAGTTCTGTCACGAGAAGTAGCAAGACGATGATATAGAGAGTGGAAATAAAACACGGCCCAATGCATATAAGAGATACCTATACGCTGGGATGATGAACCAGCAATAAAAGTGTACGGTAGTAAATATTCCGATTAACAAAAGGCGCCTAGGATTGTCCTTTTGCCTAGCCCCCTTTGTACGACGTGCATAAGTACTTCTCGAATCGGCCCTGAGAAAACGCAACCTCCAATAAGAAAATCTTGACCTAAGATAATACATGATCACCCTTCTTACTAAACTCATTTTCTGCTCATCGGGATCCGATGTAGCTCCCCGGTGGCAAGCCAGGTATACCGATGCGGTAACTGGCACTTGATTGAAATGAACCGAAATAGGTGTTTCAGATCAAAGTAACAGAGAGTCTGACCCCCACAAGCAAACCCTAACTGATCTACAGACAGCCAGTACTTCAACCTCTTACTGCATGCGGATATTACCACCCCAGTCCATAGCAGACAAAGTTGATCAGGATTATAGGCTTGAGAACATCGGAATTTGCCGAGATGCATGGGGAGGCTGAGATGATACGAGAATCATTTCCACTTGGGATAAAAAGACATCAGCCATAATGGTGACCATATTGAGTCATGGGTCGATCCATACCCTCGTGGACATAACAAAACAAGAAAAAAATTAGAGATCAAATCAAACCCCCCCACCAAAAACCTGTTTATGTTTCACTCCGTACGTATATATACCGAGAGCATGCCAGATTTGAAAACACTCTACATTGCTGCAATAGCAAACAAGGCTGAGCTGGCTGCAATAAAGTATCAGCTGCACATGTACCGTCGATCACGATCTGCGCCTTTTGATTCATTACATACATACACAATAACACAAGTACGATACATAACCAGAGAATCGCTTCTCCATAGAGATAGAAGTTTATTTCTTACTTGAAATAAGAATAATCTCCAACAGCAGGCCTAATCTCTGCTGCCTAGTAATAAACCAACAAGAATTGCAAGCCCAAAGGCCTAACCCCAGCGCCTTTGAAACTCTACACCCAAACAGGATGCTGCTCAACTTCCTGATTGGCTCTAGTCTCTTCCAGTGTGCATCTTCCCACCCTTCCAGCTGGTGCTGGTTATGCACAGTACCTAATCTGCTCTGTTTGGTTTCGACCGCGGAGTTCCCCGGAAAAAAAGGTCATAGAAACAAAAAAAAAAAAAAAAAAAAAAAAAAAACAAAAAAGAAAAAGCAAAAGACTAAAGGCGATCCATATCGTAGATTGCCCCATACGAGAAAAACACTTTTATCTTGCATGACCCCGTAATAACCAACTAACCGATTCTTGCCGAGGCCACCCACACCCATATCCATGCCGCTGACAGTACAGATACAGGTACAGGCACATGGACCAAGGCAGAAATCAATCCAAAAACGTAGTCTAGAATGGCCAACGCATACAAAAGTACGAAAATAGACCCCAGAGGCAAATGATCCTGGGTCGTTGCATGCCTGAAATTTGATTGGATTGGGCTTTAGAAGAATACCTGACAGACGGGGAATAGAAAAAGCAAATAAGGTAAAATGGCAAGACTGCAAAACTGCCTAAAATCCCGGGCATTGTGAATGGGACTGGGAGCCCTGCAAAAAGATGCGGGATAAGACCAGGACCACAGGAAATAACGGTTCCTGGCTATCGGATTTAGCAAA